GAGGCGTATCATTGGCGGTGCCGCCACACCTGTAATCAGACAAGCCTTAAGTGGCATACGTGGCAAACATCAACCTGTCATATGCGGCAGCGCTGCTTACTGTCGTATCTCTACCCCGGAAACACATATCCTGGATGCTCCTGTCGCTGGCTAAAAGCATCACACGGCTCCACACAGAGCGCGCAAAACGCGGAGTCGTTGGATCCTCCACGGGGAAACTGCGAGAACCAACATGCACAGTACCGACAAGTACTCCGAAAGTACTCAACGCCAACAGCCGAGACATCTCGGCATCGCGGCACAGTGGCTCAAAGCCACACAGTCGATACTTAAAACTGGGATGAGGCGACCGGACTTCTTGGATCCGTCAGCCAAGCTTCTTATCGTTCTATCAATGAGCAGCTCAATGAGCCCAGCCTCACAGCGTCTGTCGACTATTGGTCCCGCCATAACAGCTGTGGGTACTCGTTTGTTCAACGGCATCAGCTGATTAAGGCGATTGTACATACTGGTGTAGCACACGCTGTAATGTAGACGTTTGTAACCGTTAACGAGGCGTGGTGGACAAAGAGTTCCAAGCCTCTCCACGCTTGGGGGACCCACGTCGCTCGTCTAGCGTGCTAACCCCGCCTAAACCTGGTAGGACCAACTGCCTATAAGGACCCCCCCGCAAAGGCGCATTCTGTCTCTTCACCACCGACACTACCAGTGTTATCACATATACTTGAATGGGTGAAACTGTGCTACTTGCCGTCGAGGAGACTTCTCCTAACGTCGATGAACCCCCTATATGTGGTAGTAAGGATCCGCATACTGCACCCAACCAAAGGCAACTCCAGCCGAACCCTACCGATGGCGACACTTCGCCCACACTCCACGCTCCGCATACCCTCACCTCCGAGGAAGTTGCACAGAAACTACGAGTGGACATCCAGTAGGGCTCACTGCTTATGTTTGTATCTTAATCTCTTGTGCTTGTGCTAACGATCGCAGCCATGGACTCCCTCACTCTGAAGCGCAATCTCGCCTCCAGCTCTATGGCCCTAACAAGGTTAAGGGAGCTGAAGGGCTTTCCATGTGGAAAATTCTGTTAAGACAGATCTCGAACAGTCTCACCTTCGTCCTCATCATTGTCATGGCCATAAGCTTTGGCATAGACGATTATATCGAAGGCGGCGTCATCACCGCAGTTATCCTCCTGAACATCGTTGTCGGTTTCTGGCAGGACTATCGAGCCGAGAAGACTATCGAATCTCTCAAAAAGCTTACGGCACCTGAGGCTACCGTCACCCGAGACGGAACGGCGGACATCAAAGTCAAGGCAGTGGACCTCGTCCCTGGTGACCTTGTACAGTTGTCCGTTGGTAGTATCGTACCTGCAGATATTCGCCTCATCGACGGTGTCAATGCTTACACCAATGAAGCTTTCCTGACAGGAGAGTCTGCACCTGTAGAGAAGACACCATGGAAGACCTTCGACGAGCTAGACCTTGCCACTGGTGACCAGACCAACCTTGCCTTTTCCGGTAGTGAGGTGACATCTGGACGCTGCCATGGTATCGTAGTCGCAACTGGCATGAACACTGAAGTTGGAAAAATCGCCACTATGCTTCGCCAGAAGAAAGACGCTGGCCCACAGTCTGCCAACATCTTTGTCCGAATCTTCAAGCGTTTCACGAACGGCGGTAAGACAATCCTAGGCCTTGTTGGAACTCCACTCCAGATCACGTTGAGCAAGTTCGCTCTCCTACTCTTTGGTCTTGCCATCCTACTTGCCATCATTGTCTTCTCTGCAAGCAAATGGCAGGTTGGCGGAGAAGTCCTGATCTATGGTATCTGTGTTGCTGTAGCTGTCATTCCCGAATCCCTCATTGCAGTCCTCACCATTACGATCGCTGTTGGCGGCAAAGCCATGGCCAAAGCAAACGTCATTACTAGGGTCCAGTCGGCCATTGAGGCTGTTGGTGGTGTCACAAACATCTGCTCTGACAAGACCGGTACTCTTACCCAAGGTCGCATGGTCGCAAAGACGGCCCTAATGCATGGCGCTGGCACATTCACCATCGACGCTATTACAGACCCACACAACCCTTGTAGCGGAAACGTCGCCCTAGATGACCAGCTCCTCAGCTTGGATGAGTACAGGCCGAATGCTGTTGTTACTCGCTTTCTGCGTACCATCGCTCTTTGCAATAACTCCAAGGTCATACCGCCATCTGAGACCCACGTCGACTCTCCAAGCGAGAAGAAGGCTGCAGCTCTAGATCAGTCAGTCAGTGGTGACGATCGCGACACCGATGCCTCCACTATCGATACCATCTCACGACCGCCCACTGCCATCATGCAAGACATATCTGATGGACCTTGGGTAGCGCACGGTGAGCCAACCGAAGTCGCATTGCATGTTCTCGCTTCCCGTTTCAACATGGGCAAGGAGAGACTTCTCTCCACTCTCAACATCCATCTCGCTACTGAGTTCTCTTTCGACTCCAAGGTCAAGAAGATGACTGTCGTTTACAAGGACAACCATCAGGGTTTCATGGATGTCTACACCAAGGGAGCAACAGAGTTCATGATGCCTGCACTAAACGTCTCGGACCAGGAACGTACTGAGATTCTGGAGGCCGCTGAAAGAATGGCAAACCAAGGTCTCCGCGTCCTGTGTATCGCTCATAAGACACTACAAGCCGGCACTGACATCTCGGAACGTGATGTCATCGAGGCTAATCTCAACTATCTCGGTCTTGTCGCTATCTATGACCCACCTCGCCTGGAGACCAAAGGTGCTGTCCGCGAGTGTAAAATTGCTGGCATCACTGTTCACATGCTCACTGGTGACCATCCTGGTATGCATTATCCCCTTCATAAATGGCAAGCGAAATCTATACTAACCAAATTGCAGGTACGGCGAGAGCCATTGCTAAGGATGTGGACATCATTGATGATCGTACCCCTGCTTCAGCCGTCATGGTCGCTAAAGACTTCGACAGGATGACGGAAGACGAGGTGGACGCTATGGAGACTTTGCCTCTTGTCATTGCTAGGTGTAGTCCAACTACCAAGGTCAAGATGGTACAGGCTCTCCACAGAAGGGGTCGTTTCTGTGTCATGACTGGAGATGGTGTCAACGACTCACCTGCGCTCAAGCAGGCTAACGTCGGTATGGCTATGGGTACTGGTAGCGACGTCGCCAAAGACGCCGCTGAGATGGTTCTCACCGACGACAACTTCGCGTCTATCGTAAAGGCGGTCGAAGAAGGTCGACGTCTGTTCGATAACATCCAAAAGGTATGTGAGCTTCTTGTCCCTCTTCATACTATGATCAGTCAGTAACTTTCGGCAATATAGTTCTTGATGCATCTGCTCATCTCGAATATCGCTCAAGTCATCCTACTTCTTATTGGTCTCGCTTTCAAGGATCAAGACAATCATTCCGTCTTCCCGCTGTCCCCTATCGAGATTCTCTGGGTCAACCTCATTACTTCTTCCTTCCTCGCCATCGGTCTCGGTCTCGAAGAGTCACAGGAAGACAGCATGTACCGACCACCGCACGACAACAAAAAGGGTGTCTTCTCAGCCGAGTTGATCACGGACAAGTTTATCTATGGCTTCTTCATGGGAGCCCTTTGTCTCTTCTCCTTTGCCATTGTCGCATATGTCGGTCCTGGCGGAGGCAATCTCGGCTCTGGATGTAATGAGGGATACAACGATACGTGCGACGTAGTATTCCGTGCTCGCGCCACAACTTACGCTACTATTACCCTCCTTCTCCTTGTCACGGCCTGGGAAGTCAAACACTTCGCTCGCTCTCTCTTTAACATGTATCCCAATACTCCCTCATCGGCACCACCCGGCCTTTCCGTCTTTTCTACTGTCTGGCGCAACCGCTTCCTCTTCTTCGCTGTCATGGCCGGATTGGTCGTCGTGTTCCCCATTGTTTACATTCCTATCATCAACGAGAAGGTGTTCAAGCATGGTGCCATCACCTGGGAGTGGGGCGTTGCATTCGGTTGTGTCGTCATCTACATTAGCGCAATCGAGAGCTGGAAGGCTATCAAGCGCAGTGTTGGTATCTGGAGCGGTGCGCACCGCGTCATTAGCCGCGAGGATGCCGAGGCCCGTGCCGGACTGAACGGCAGTGTTGCTGTTCGCGAAAAGTAAGAAAGGATCGAATTTGATTGGTGGTGGATGGAACAAATTGTCACACTTTAGGATGTAGATGGAGGCGGTATAGTTTGGTCTCATGTCTCTTTGGATTGACCCATGGCCCCTCCTTACTCATGACTTACGATCACGACAACACACACTCTTTACCATAGCTTTACGATGAATACCAACTTAGTCAATCGTTGACCATTACGTTTGTTAAATGACTTAATGAAATTGGATGAGCATCGCCAACGCACGATTGTGCCAGTGGCCCAAGCGTTCACTCTTGATTTCGTCATTGCCGATTTGACGAGGCTGGTAGCCCGAGCCACACTTCACTTGTAGATGCCATGCATTCTTTCATCATTCTTGCTTTATTCTATCCCTGTATCCATTCGCTCATCAACCACTACTCTGATATGCTAATACAAACTGCGCTAGCTATGAATCAATGGTCATTGCACTACAAACCTCAGCCTCCGGCAGACCCAAGCGATACATCTCTATTCTCAGTCTTTCTTGGCCTCCGGCTGACTTACAGCTCGCTGGGCTTCCGAGATCAGGCAGAATACCATCGAGGTCATTGTGGAAACGTGCCTCTGGCTATGGAAGATTCAACCGTATTGCGTGATCTTGTTTGATGGTATAATCGTTCTTCTTATTGGATGGTATCCTAGTCTACTACCGGACCGCGTTCTGCAATGGTTTTGCGACTCGGCATTGGTATGTCAGGTAGTGATGAGGGAGTTAAACAATTCACGTTCACCACTGAGGTTGACTTAGAGCAATGTGCTTCACGAGGTTTATTGCCACTTTATTTCCAATATGACGGTTTCGCGCTCTCCCACAACCTACTGACTACCGGCGAAATCAAACTGCATCCTCGGCATTGTCCACCTCTGATCCGCAACGACTGATCCGTTTTCTGCCATGGTGTTGTTCGCGAAAGGTCCCAGGCTAGGGGGCACATCCTCCGGCGCCCTTCCCCAGCTACTTTCCTGGGGACCTAGTGTCAACTCGAGGACACCACCTTCCAAGAAGAAGTTGTGCTGGATCCAGTTGCGCGTGTAAGATACACCATCGAGGGTAGCAGATTGGATGTAGATGTTCTTGTGACCTGGGTCAAAGTTGATGTTGCGGATTGTTGCTGTATTGCCTGTTTGGCCATTCTTGATAGAGATGGACTCAAAGAAAGGTGGTATGATAAAGTAAACATCTTGTCCAGCATTGGGGAAGAATCCCATCATAACGAAAGCCTCAAAAGATCCCATGGCGCCACTATCGTCATTACCGGGTATGCCAACGACAGTATCGTTGAACAATGAGGGAATGTATTGATGAGCGCGCTCAGCAGAGAGAGCAGGACGTCCAGCGTAATGGTATAAGAAGACATTGAGGAAAGCCTGTTCATCTCCAAGATACAAGACACCGGACTCGTGCAGCCAGTTCATGCGCTCAACAAAGCGCTCGCGTCCTCCTAGGGTTTGGATAAGAGTCGCCATATCTCCAGGAGCAAAGAAGGTGTATAGCCACACTGGTCCTTCGTAGGTCTCGCCTCCGCTAGGATTTAGGTAGCAGCCAGTGAAATTGAGTAGTGGAGAGCAAAAGATCGGATCTTGAGAGCCCCATGTGCCGTTCAGGTATCGAGGCTGCAGGAAACCTTCAAACCCGGTATCAGTACCATTGATAACGCTACGTTGATCGGCCTTGAACATGTTGAGCCAATTACCGGAGCGGCCGAGGTACTTCTGGTAATCGGCTGTATTGCCGAGTTCGCGGGCCAGAAGAGCGATGACAAAGTCGTTGTAAGCATATTCTACAGTTCGAGAGATAGATCGGGTTTCTGTACCCACGCCTTCGATGTCGAGATTTTGGGTAGGAATATAGCCTAACTCTTTCCAAGATACGAGACCACCACGGCCTTGATAATTAGTACTCAGAACCTATCCACTCAGAAACTGTAATCTTACCTTCAACATCCCAGTTTGGTGGCTCGACTTCCGCATCCTTGACGACAGCCTCGTATGCTAACACCCAGTCGATACCAGCAGTAATGTTCTTCAAGTATGCATCCGCGATAACGATATCTGCATTCGAGCCTCCTTGTGTAAAACCCTTGCAGTGGCTCATGCGACAATCCGGCAGCCATCCTTCATGACGATAGATGTCGAGTAAACTTCTTATCATAAGCGTTTGACTATGTGGGTCTAGAAGTGTGATCAGAGGATGAATGGATCTGAAACTATCCCAGATGCAGTAATAGGAGTCGTAGTATGGTTCGTCAGAGTTCCAGAGTGGATTTTCTCCAGTGTAATCTTGAGGGCTGATCATTGACCTGTAAATGCCGCTCCAGAAAGCGTTGAGGAAGACTTGATCGACGCCGCCATCTTCGACGTTGATGACATCAAGCTTGGAACGCCATGCAATCTCAGCAGCGGCAGCAATGTCGTCAAACCCCCATGAAGGCATCTCACGTTCAGCGTTGGAACATGCTTGCTCTTCGCTAATGAAACTCATTCCAACCCGCGCATGGATTTGATTATTCTGGGTAGGCTTCTCGAATTGTACCCATCCACCTGCTGGTGTGTTACTGGGTGTTTGTCGTACATCGCTGGGAAATATCCGTAGGCTTGTTGCTCGGTTTGTCGCGCGAGTGTTGGACCATACGCCAGCTTCTTTGACCTTTGCACCATTGAAGTCCAGGCAAAAGTACGACTGATATGTGCCTAGATATAGGCGTACAAAGTTAGTAAGTGTCTCAAATTCAGTTTGTATGTGAAGATGACTTGCCGATGCCGAATGACGGCGAGAATATTCCACTTCCTGTCATGCGCCCAGTTGCAGCATCCACAGTAATATTTGCTTCGCTCCTCGTGTTCGGCAGATCCGTTAGGTCAACCAATATATGTGGTGACAGTGTTGTATTCGGAGTCGATGGTGTTTCCGGAAATGTAATGCGATACAAAGCCGTACGATTTGTGACAGTTGACTCAGTCCTGATGTTGTTGACTAGTGTGATATCAAAGTAACCAGGTCTTGCATGAACACTTCCGGGTATGCGCTCAACGGCTCGTTCAGACTTGAAATACTGACACCCGTTGATATCATCATTTACACATCCAGATTGGGCAAAGATCGGGAAGTTACCAAGTGACGGTGAACCACCGGTTCCCGAGTCGTGCATGTGGGAAAATCCATATATCGGCTCTGAGTCGTTGGAAGAGAACCCTCCTTGGTTTTCGCCTATCACATCGGGCCCCGCTTTGGTCATTCCTAGTACTTGTTAGCAAGTTTTGGTTTGTACTACAAAAGTCTCCACCCACCAAATGGCAGTGTAGCACCAGGAAACACATGGCCTATGATGAATGAGCGATTCGTTATCTTCTCAAGAACACCTTGATCCTACCTCCATTGATTGTGCCAATGAGAGGATTAACGTAGTCAAATCCGGATCGTGGTTGTGGTTGTGAAGAGTTGTTCTGTGCGCCTGTAGATGTTATGAACACACACAGCAAGGACGCCGAGGCGTGCTTCACAGAAAGAATGCCCATGATTTGGGTTGAGCGCAGACTCTTCAATGAGAAAAGCCAACTCAACAGAAGTGTCAGCTACGCAACGCTCCTCATTGCGCTTCCCCGCGCAGACTATTTATCCCTTCCTTACATGACGCTTGGCAGTGACGCGATGGTCCGCGAGCATGCTACCTACCACATAAGCAATTCGGGTAGCATTTCTTAAGTCATCTTGTACTGTCTATCATCTCCCAGCAAGGCGATAGTCTGGCTCTAAAGCGCTGGTGTTGCGGTGGTATGCAGATTACAGCCGAGTACGGATGGCTGCGGGGTAACATCGATGGTGGGTCCATGTCGTGCTATTAATGAGCCGTAACCTCCGGTCGGTACTGCTACTACTACAGGTAGCATACGGGTTGTTTCCGAGCGAAGCTGTGAGCCGGGGTTGCGGAGCGGTACACAATTTAGCCCTGTAAGTAATCTCGGCATATTGAACGCGTAGTGAAGTTTCCGGATACAGGAATACTATGTGCTATCAGGCCTCATCATGCTTGCCTTCCAACTCTAGTGTAACATCGAAACCAGTCAGTGCTTAAAGGGGTGAATCGAAGACCAGAGGCAACAGGAGCAGCCGTCTTGGTGTTGCTCTTTCCGATTTGGAGTCGGCAAAATAGGAAGATTAGACCGAGCCACGCTAAACCTCTTTCCGCTTCCCACATGGAAGATGTGTACGTCATTAGGGGCCTAGAGCGAGCACCATCTTGGGCTGCCTCAAAAATACATGCTTCACTACGCAAATCACTCCATAACTGCCAACTCGGGAATATCTGCTAGAAAGCTCAATCGTGACAGGAAAGAGCACATGGTAGACGATATCCGTGTATAGAGGCATTCGTCTACTCGGCAAACGCCTGGGTTGTCTTATACTTGCTAGGATACATGGATTCGATGTTCATATCTTGCTGACCAAAAGGTTTACGACCCAGGATTCCTAGCTCTCAGCTTCACCATCAAGCTTGGTTTTTGCCATAGCACAAAAACCTTTTGATCGTCCCACCTCTTTTCTGGTTTAAGCAACTCGAGTTCGAAATGCCATACCAATCTCGCTAGAATGCTTCTTATCTCTGCCCATGCGAGATTCTGGCCGATGCAGTTCCTTGGCCCTACGCTGAAGGGTTGAATGACGTGACGCCTGTCCTTTGCATATTTTTCAGCGCCGAGGAAGCGTTCTGGTGCGTACACTTTGGGATCAGTAAAGTGAGACGAAGTATGGTACATGGCATATTGCGAGATACCGACTTGCGTGCCAGGTGGTAGAGCATCGCCACAGACTTCCGCCCCAGCAGGTGGTAATACGCGAGGAAGCGCTGATGGTGCCGGGGGATAGATTCGGAAGGTCTCTTGGATGACAGCGTTGAGGACTTTGAGCTGGCTCAAAGATGCAAAGGAGATTTCGCTTTCGGATTTGAAAGTAGCTGCGAGCTCTCGATGGAGCTTCTCCATCCAAGCTGGGTTTTTGAGAAGGTGGTAAATTGCACCACTCAGAAGCGTTGCAGAAGTCTCGCTACCTCCGAGTATGATAGTGCCACAAGTATGCTTGAGCTCCAGATCCGTTACTTCCCCCTTGATGTTTTTGACGGCATAACTTCATCGTCGTTAGTAACCTGGGCGTTTGAAACAACCGTACAGCCACTCACCTGAGAATGTCTTTACGCTCAGTTTTGGATGCCAACCTCCTTGCAGTCTTCTCTTCGGTGAAGTTGTTATGCTCGAACTCTGCTTTCGCCAATGCAGGCATCCACTTCAACAAGTGCGTCGCAGGAACTCCGACGATGGGATAGCGCTTAATGATGTGAACGATACCAGCGAATCTCAAGGCTTTAAAAAGATTGACCATCCAAGAGTTATACATTTCTTTATCTAGTGCGCCGAACGATTCGTCAAACGTCAGGTCGCCGATTATATCAAATGTCGTAAAGTTCAACCAGCGCGCGATATCGACAGAGGTTTGAGAGTCGGCTAGTTGGCGTATCTTCTCGATCAAGAGATTGATGTATGAGGTGATGATACTTTCCTGGCTTCGGAGAGCTTGCTCGGAGAAGGCGTGATTAAGAGGTCGGCGGATTCGAGCATGGTCCGAATTGTTGGCGGCTATGTGACATCAGTAAGACCCATGTGATGGAAAAGGCTCGACTACAGCTTATATCGGTCGGCGGACGATAGTAGAACTTAGGGTCTTTGAGAAGCGGCGTAGTGGTGCCATAACCGTACACATCTATTTGAAGTTAGCCGGACTCAGATAACAATTGTTCGAAGCGAAAGATCATCACCTCGCCACGCTTCAGGCTTGACAAATGAGATTGTATTCGGGTTTATGCGGACGACATCTCCATACTGTTCGTGAAGCTTCAGACAGCTGTGCGGAACGGTCCCAGCGAGTATGTCGAAAGAGTTGGAAATCCAGAAAGCGCCACGCAACTTCGGTCCTGGATATTTGGAGAGCGGATGAAGGGTTATGTTGTAGATTGCTTGGAACAATGAGTAAACCAGATACTGCGCAAAATGTTAGTGAAGCGCTTTCTCATTTCCACTCTACTAGCATACTTGCAGCTAGTATCAAAGAGATCGAGAGTTGGACTACAGATGGTTCTGCTATGCTGTATTCCATTCTGAATTCGCTGTAGACCTGGCAGACTTAAAGTCTTTGTGGTTTCCAGGATGTTGCTCATATGTACATGTGCTGACAGCGGGGCGTTCTAGCCCTTGTCACTGCACACGAAAGGATGAACAATGCTATTCGTGAGCATCCTGAGTCAGCTGTTGTATGCCCGATGCTAAACAAAATGTGATGGTTGGCCCTACCATTTTAGATAGTGGAAGATTAAAGGTGCTCGACCAGATATCATCGGACGTACGCGGCTCTTATCTTACACACCCTGGATTCCTTTACGCTCTACGCCACGCGCTTGTCTCTTAACATGCTTTCGCGCTGTTTCCTCTCGTTTCGACAGGAAGCAAAAATGAAGAACAGATCTGTATCAAAAAGTCCCCAAGCAAAAAGAAACAAAAACATACAACAGCGGGGATTCGCTAGTGGTCACCCACCTAACTACTAATCCGCCGGTACACTGCTTGTATATGGCTGAGCGGACGGGAAGCCTAATTTTCAGTGTCCTATGGTCGTATGTGAAAGATGGCGACTCATGATTTCTCTATATACCAAATTTTGTTGCCACCTCGTCGAGTATCGTACAACATTCCTATCCTACCTCCAGCTATGCCACCAATACCGGCCAGCCCTTGACATACTCGATTGGATTCCATCCCAAGAACTTAAAGTTGTCTCGGTACAGCGGATCGTATGTTGTGTTAACATAATGGTAGTACAGCACGTCGCGTCCGTGGTAGTTGGAAATTACCGCCTGTCCACCGGGGCCGTAAGTGTTACCGTGGCTGCCGTATACCATGCTTCCGCCACCTTCAGCAAGATCCTTCCCATTGCGGTCAACGAAAGGACCACGGGGAGACTTAGAACGACCAACGAAGATAGTGTACTCAGCACCAGCTGGGGGCAGAGCAGCGGGGTTGTAGCCACAGCACAGTCCCGCTGAATACCAAAGGTAGTAAAACCCTTGCTTCTTGTTGTAGTTGATATACGGTGCCTCCTCAGCGGATGCACCTCCCCAAGCAAGGGACATGTTGGCGTACGCCTGCTCCTTAGTCGGCAGCACAGGGTCGTAGGTGTAGCTCAACTGACGGGCAGTAGGGATCTTGACGGATTTGAGGTCCTTGGTCAACTCGAACTGCCAGATATTGGCCCACCACGAGCCGTAGGTGAGGTAGTTTTTACCCGTCTTGGCATCTTGGATGAAAGCCGCGTCGATAGTGTTGGTCTTGCTCAACGGGAAGGGAGCATCAGTGCTGTTAGAGGAGACAACCATGCCGTGATCAGTCCAGGATCCATTCTGCAGGGTCTTCGAGGTGGCAAGCCCGATGAAGGACTCTGAGACACCGAAGTCAGAGACAGTGTAGTAGCAGTAGTAGGTGTCGCCAATCTTGTGGACATCAGGAGCCCTGCATTGTCGTTTTAGAATATGAGGTCTTGGGGCAATTCTTAGGCTACTGTTTCTCACCAAAGACGGCTTGCCTTCGCAGGGTCATCAATGCTGCCAGGCGGCTGCAAGACTTGGCTGACAACCTCCCAGTACCCTTCCAGGCTATTCTTCTTCGAAGCACGAGATGTTGTGGCCAAGCCGTGAGAGGAGAAAGAGTAGTAGTGGCCATCTGGTCCAAGCACAACACTCGGGTCGTGAATGTGGACACCACCAAGTGTACCGTTCAAGTCCTCACCGGTGATCTTGCGAGGCGCGGGCCAGTAGTCCCTGGAGTACGGGTCCTTGACAGGTTTGGCCGGGTCATAAGATGCTGAAGGAGCACCGAAGGCTGGGGTGAAGAGAGAAGAGATGCCTAGGGCGAGAGCCGTGAGGCTGGTCTTGGTGGACGACATGACGGGATTTGTTGCGGAGACAAACCTCGCTGATCGTTGGAAGACTACCTAGGTATCTAGTCTTATATAGCAGACTGCCGTGCGTCAATGCAGGGCCAAGAGCCCACAATGCGAATCTGGATCTCGCGCCTGGGCAGATGTTGTTTGCCATGTGCATGCGAACGCCATCGTACTGCCTTTACAGCAAGTCCCTTGGCATGAGCCACGATCCGTCCGGCCGGGTAGCCCAAGCTAGGTAACGTTTCCCTGGAATGGTAAGAGCAAAGAACAATTCTCCGCACTTAACGTTCTAAAGGTGGAGATAGAGCCTTGGGGTAGAGGAATTCACGGGACGTGGGGGAATTTGTTCGCACGAATCAACGACTAGCACAGCCAGCTAGTAGACCTCGGAAGTCAGGAACAGGCGACCTCACCCCATCACTGGACCTTGACATTGAAGAAGCGAGGACGATCGAATAGCAGCAGTTTACCTGGCGGTAGCTTGATGATTAGCTAGGAGACGTGTCGTATGACTGCTAAGAGAGGTTGTATGGTTGTCAAGTCCCGAGGTCTACCCTTTCTAGTTAGCATGAGTACGTTATCAGCACGGCCACTCTGCTTGGCGTATATAGCACCTCGGAGTTCGACCGACCGTGAAGAAAAACCGACTTTCGGGGCCTTTTGATCGCGTGGGAAGGACCGAAGTTCTTATCCATTCAACAACCTGGCATGACCGCTTATAACCAAGGCCTACATGGAACCTGAATCTGTAATCTCTCCACCTCCTTCCTCGAGTAGTATCTTCTACGCTTATCTGACGCAATATAGCTCTTCATTAGCACACTGCAGCTCTCATATTATAAAGGTGGTCCCTGACTTCGAAGGTCTGTACCCTCTATTAACCCCACCCTCTCACATTCCTTGGTCTCCGCCACGAGTCCATTGCATCTCATTCTACCATCTCAAACACAACCTCAGCATCTGCATAAATTGAAGGCCTCGGAACGTCATGTGAGAACGAGGATTTGTGGGGTACATGGATAATCGTGATTATGCGACTACGCGAAACACTTCTGACACGCTGCGACCGCAACGACACCAGGGTAGTATTTGCGAACCACGAAACGCGACCCAATAGGAGAGACAAGTCTGAATGATTTTCCTGGGGCCTGTGAGCCCAAGTAGTCGGAAATGTGTGATTGGTGAGTCATGTTGTTATGCGGTCTCTGAGTACAGTGTATTACTGGACACGGCGGCTAGGTATGAGTGGTATAGACATGAGATATCTGACTGTCGTGCTTGAGGGTAGTTTCCATTTTCTTTCGCCTCTACTTTCTACTCGACATTAGCGCAATATCAACAATCCGTGTATATTCTGCGATTGGCAATATGGAACTGCGAGTAAGACAGCTGATGCCCGGTCCAGAGCGCAATGACACCCAGGCGCCTCTTCTCCTTGGCGTATGCGGTAGTCTAACACTACTTGCTGTTCTACTACTTTCCGCAAGACTCTGGTCGAGAGTACGCCCGCTATGGAATCTGCATCTGGAGGATTGGACGGCCGTCGCAGCAACAGTAAGCCAGACTCCATTGCCTACCAACGCACATCTGATTTCGAACGCGCACAGGTCCTTGCGATAGCAAAATACATCATCGTTTGCCTAGCATGCGCTCACGGCTTTGGTCAGCGCACGAAGTATGTTTCGGCAGCCTCGCGTCTCGCTGCCATGCGACTCATCTTTCTTTGTCAAGCCCTCTGGAACGCGTCGATTTGTCTTGTCAAGATTTCAGTCGCCCTTCTCTTGCTTCGCATCAAGCAAACACACGCATGGCGCATCTTCCTCTACAGTACGATGGTACTACTCATCCTCACAGCCATAACATCGACGCTATTCCAGTTCCTGCAATGCCAACCATTCAGCGTATACTGGGATTCTAGCGTCTTTCTCAAAGGAGGTGTATCATGTGTACCTCAGGAACTCATCACAGGGAATATCGTCGCTGCGAGTACCGTGCACGTTTCAACAGACCTGATATTTTCCTTCATACCGATAACTTTCATCCGAAAATTGCACCGACCGCGTGGCGAAAAGATTTTCCTAGGCGTACTGATGGGTCTTGGACTGTTCGCTTCGTCGTTCGCCATCTTGCGTACTGCAGGCGCAAACATGATCTATACATCTCATGATGTCTTTCGCACAACTGTTATGCCTACGTTGTGGTCGATGTTGGAGCTCGAACTCGCTTTGATAGCGGCTACTATTCCGACTCTCAAGAGTTTCGTACAGAAAAGCCTCATGAAGCTTGGACGCTTCTTCTACGATGAGAAAACGGAAACACAAGTGCGAAACCGTCTTGTGGAGCTGGGGTTCCTTAATGAGAACAGTGATGAGTTTATGGGACTGGGACGGAAGCTGTCGAAACCAGACATTGGCGATGATATGACACTGGCAAGTGTGCGAACGTCGCGAAAGAGGAAGGATGAGTACGCGATGACGGTTGAGGAGCTTGCAGCATCGGAAAGTGAGGGTCATGGGATTATACGAGACTTGCGAGCGTTTGGGCCTTGAAGGCAGTTGGAAACTGTAACATTAAAACTAAGTAGCCACGATTTATGAAATGCAAGGGTATCTCTTACTCAGACACAGGACAGCGGCCCCCTCTCATTCCTTCTTCAATACATCAACAATCCACTGGGTAGCGTCTTTTGCTTCTGCTAACCCGTATGGCATAGTAAGGACGAAGCAGTGCATCTGCTTCTCCCAATGAACCCACTCGCCGACGACGCCTGCTTCAGCGCACTTATTGCGGAAGATGACGCCGTCAGGACTGAGCACATCGCACCCAGCAGTTATACCGTGTACCTTGATGCCCTTCTTCGCAAGCAGTGAGACATCAGCGTTGATTGGTGAGATCCGGCGATCGGCGGGATCCCAGTCGCCTTGCCATGCTCTTGCTGTCAGCCTGATTATTTTGGGTGTGAGCAGAGGGTCTCGAGGTGCGACTTTATCGATATCGGGATTGGCGCGCGTAAGGTCGGTCGACGGGCACACATTCATAATGGCGACAGGGTGTGGTCTTTGCTTGATCTCTACGCCTTCTTGTTCGCTGTCCTCGCGGAGAGCTTCTAGTACAAGACACAACGCAATGTTCGCACCCGACGAATCGCCTGCCAGTATGACCTTCTCTCCTGCCTCTTCTGCCTCTGCCATCAAAGCGCGATACATGTTTTGGCAAACAGGAAAAGACTTTGGCGCTGGATCGTTCGGGGCAAGCGGCGTGGAGACAATTGATATGGAAGCATCGGACATGTCTTTGGCTAGCTTTGCACATATCTTGTAGTGTTGAGGCGAAGGCGGTTCTTGCCAACTACCGCCAGCGAAGTAGTATATACGTTTCTTCGATCTCTTGTCTGCTTGATTCGGTGGTATCACATCGTATATGTGCACATCGCTGACGGTTCGTTCGTGGAGGGTGCATTGGGAGAGGTTCGATTTGCTCGGGTTCAGTTTGATAGAGCCGTCTTCGTGCTTTGCTTGACGGTTGCTGATGCGAACTCGCATTAGTCGTACTAACGATTGCACCACCGACATGAGAAAGGTACGCTCATCGCGGTGTGTGAGCTGTATCGAGGAGCTGGTTTTAGCGGTTGTGCCGGACATCTTGTCGTCTGTCATGGTGCAGATGCGAAAATTGTGGTAGTAGACACTGAGCCCGAGGAAGCTCCGTTACAGGGAAGAATGAAGGAACTCCAAATGCAAGGGAAAAACGGCGCTTGTATGGATCCATCTTGGGGCGAAAACAAAGAGGAGTACGCATCGTCGATTACGGGGGCCTCATGCACGGCCACGCGCGTTGAACGGCTCGTTATTTACTAGAGGACGGGATCTATACGTCATGGCGCTGTTTCTAGGCCCCATCCAGGAGACCCTGACTAGAAGGGGGAAGTCATCAACTCCTCCGGGAGTGGGTCGATCTGGAGGTGATATTTCGGAGGTCGTGAGCATCACGCGTGAAATGCGGTACGCGTCGCGGGTCCAGCGCTGGCTTGCAAAAAGCACTTGGGATGACGTAGCGTGCATAACTGTGCCGATCCTCCCATGCCAAGCCCTGAATTTCTTGGGCGACAGCAACCAAACCTTCTGACGTTCTATTCGTATTCTGGCTATCTTGGATACTTTAACAGCTACTGGCAAGTCGTCATCCGAGTCAATGGATCAGTAGACAGCCTTGAGAAGAATGGACCGCACTGTAGGTGCTGCAAATCCCATTTAATAGGAAGCGGCACGAAAGAGCTATTTCTGCGCCTTGTTCTCGCCTGATATGCGGCGCTGACCCATTTCATTTGTGGCTGAATGCCATCTTCCGACTTCCGGTATCCTTGTTCGCCGCGCATGCATGCAGAGTAAACACCTGGGCGGAGGTCTTGGTCCAGCCGCTGAGTGGCTGTGCAGTAGGCGGAAATTGTGCCTAGGAGTAGGTTCCGCTCCGCCAACTGTTACAAGTCGTGTCCGCCGGCGCCAACTCCGTCTTGGGTGCTCTTGTTTTCTTAGCATTTCATTGTTGAGCCCTTCTTATTGGCGACACTTTATCGGGATGCCTTGGCCTACGTGGGTCGACCACCAACAACCAAATGAGCTGATCAGGGAACTGGATCAGGAAAATCTTAAAGATGAACATTGCCGTTGAGCCACATGTGGCAGCTGATCCATCACCTACTTCCGCAAGCCGATCATATCCATTCCCGGAACTACCAGCACGTCGATGGCTTCACAACAGTTCCTTACCGACGAAGAAATCAAGAAGTTTATTGACGACCTCGATCACGACAAAGATGGCAATGTCGACTACTGGGAGTTAGAACGCAAGTTGGACCAAGTACATAAAGAGATAGCCCCCAAAGCGCAGCCACACAACCTACACCATGGATCCCGGGGCGACGAAGCTCGACATGAGTTTCTTAGGAATGTCATTGGAACACGGGAAGATTACATCAACCGAGAAACCTTTACGAAAACAGTGAAGACGTGGGAGATACCATCCTTGGAGCAAGACCGGAAGGAAGCAAAAGATGAGGATGACTATCTGAAGCAGGTGTCCCTGTACCGACGAGCGCGAGCGTATTGGGCCGTTAAAGGGCCTGAGATCATGTTTCTCGCACTGGTTTTACTTTTGATGATTGGCTTTGGCGTCTGGCAATTCGTCAAATACCTGACCTTTGACCAGTATACGCCTGCGTTCGGATGGGGAGCAGTCTTATCAAAGACATGCGCTGGCGTGCTCTATCCGACCTTCTTCTTCCTCATTCTGTCCATGTCAAGATGGCTCTCGACATTTCTTCGGCGCTTCTACTTCATCTCGCGGTTCATCAATTGGGATTTGTCCCAGAGTTTCCATATCAAGATGTCTATTGTCGCATTGGTCTTTGCTACACTCCATGCTATTGGCCACCTCAGTGGCTCTTTTGTCTTTGGAAGTATGGCTAGTCGACAGGGTGCAGTTGCCAATGTCATTGGACAGGACGCAGTGCCGCGCTCATATACTGATTACCTTCAGTCATTACCTGGATGGACTGGTCTCACATCACTCGGCTTGTTCTACCTCCTCGCACTTATGAGTATGCCTCAGATACGAAAGTGGAGCTACGAAGTCTTCCAACTGGCTCATCTGCTCATGTTCCCCATCATTGGCTTCATGATGGCGCATGGGACTGCGCACCTGCTGCAATGGCCCATGTTCGGCTACTGGCTCGCATTTCCAACGCTTATGGTGCTTTTTGAACGCATCTGGCGCTTGGTCCTGAGTTTCCGTCCTATCCTTGCGGATCTCGAGTTGTTGGATGATGAGACTGTCGCAATCACAGCGCAGGTACCCAAGACCCGTCCCTGGGACTACAAAGCTGGCCAGTACGTCTTTGTGCAGGTTCCGCAACTATCCCGATTCCAGTGGCATCCCTTCACTGTTTCCACATGCATCAACAATACCATGCAGGTTCACATCAAGGCTGATGGCGACTGGACAAACTCGCTTCGTGATCTAGCGAAGGAAGGAGGTCGATCGACGATCAAGATAGGTCTTGACGGACCATTTGGTGCACCTGCTCAGCGATTCTACGACTTCGAATACAGCATGGTCTTTGGGTATGTTGAACTGCTTGCTTTGCGACAATGCAGATTACTAACACATGATAGTGCTGGTATTGGCATAACGCCTTTCTCCGGTGTGCTTACGGACCTCCAGCATCACGAGCTTGAGCGTGTCAAGTCTAGAGATGACTCCCCAGAATCATCCGACGAAACCCCCAGGGAGCGTTCCCCGTACTCGAACCACCGCCGAGTCGACTTACATTGGATGGTGCGCGACAAGAACAATCTCCTGTGGTTCTCTGATCTACTGAATGAGGTCTTTCGCCACAGGACAGACAGCCCGGATCTCGACATCCGTATCAACACCTACGTAACCCAGAAACGCAAGCAAATATCGCAACACGTTTTCCGTTGGCTACTCGAGAAGCATCGAACAGATGATCATCCGCAGTCACCCATTACTGGTCTTGTCAATCCAACACATTTCGGACGTCCAGATATTCGGGGTATCATGGAGGCACATTACGACGATATGAGCAAAGTTTTGGCCGATCGACTGAATGAGAAAGACGGCAACAAAGAGGATGAGATCAAAATCGGTGTCTTCTTCTGCGGACCGCCTGTCATCGGTCAACAGATTGCCGATCAGTGTAGCGTGTTGAACGCAAGGGCAAGGAACGAGGACAGAAAGCTTGAGTACCGGTTTATGATTGAGGTGTTTGGTTAGCGACGGACGATACTTAGCTGAACTGTAATGAAACTCTTCATATCTGACTCAAATATTCCAAGCTAGCGGGATATGGATTATACGTGCTGCATGATGAGTTTGAAGGGTTCCAGACCGGTTTTCAAGATGGATTCATCGCAAGTACTTCATGGCAGAAGTGGAGCACGTGCCTTGGCGCTAGACCCGCGTTACCAAACGCCGACGTGTCGGAACCGTCATTGACCGCCCGGAACGCTTTCACCCAACCACCCACGACTCCGTCTTTCTTAGTATCGGCATCTCGGCCACAGCGCATCACGTTGTTCACCTACTATAGCACGGTTCCTTGCTTCACAACCCAGACCCAACACACCAAAAGCCCCGCCCCTCACGCCCAGAGCACTGCTGCCACCTTCCGCGCATACCCACTTCCGATTCACACCATGGCTTCATCGGCTTCAAAGCGCCTTTTCAAGGAGTACCGCATGCTCTCCAACGACCCGCCAGAGGGCATCACTGCCGGCCCGGTCAGCGAAGACGACATGTTCATCTGGGAAGCGCTGATCCAAGGCCCGGAAGGCACACCCTTCGAAGGCGGCGTCTTCCCCGCAGAATTACGGTTCCCGAAAGACTACCCACTCGCGCCACCAAAGATGAAGTTTGTAACCGAGATGTGGCATCCAAATGGTATGTTTGATCACCTAGGACATGCTTCCTGATGCTCGCTCACCTCCGGGCGCAAGAAGCATGAATTAGTGAGAATCCGAGCTAACGTTAAGAACAGTATACCCCAACGGCGAGGTTTGTATATCGATCCTTCACGCGCCCGGCGAAGACCCCATGCACTATGAACAAGCCTCCGAGCGGTGGTCACCCATACAAAGCGTCGAGAAGATCTTGATCAGTGTCATGAGCATGTTGGCAGAGCCGAACGATGAGAGTCCAGCGAACGTGGACGCGGCGCGGATGTGGAGGGAGAAGAGGGAGGAGTACGAGAAGATTGTGCGGACGAATGTCAGGAAGAGTCTGGGACTGTAGGAAGCCTGGGACAGGGAATGTATGAGAGGGGACGGATGAGGATAGAGAGGAGTTATGAATCATGAATGCATTAGCGTAACGGGAGTTTCTTGGTGGTGCTTGGTATTAAGCTTCTCAATATATGGAAATATGATATGAGCATATCCATAACTGCCTTTAAGACAACAGTGGTCAGGTGGATTCGCTGCTACAAGGTTGAACTTGTTCATTCATGACATTCGTAAAATCGTGCTGTGCTACCAATATATGAGCTAACAGTGTGAATGTATATCAGTCTGCCACATCCACTGTTGATATAACCAGCCATCACCCTCAGGCAACCTCTAGTCCAGAAGCTTCACCATATCCGTTGTACGCCACGCCCCGGAAGTTCCACTTTGGACATTTCTCCTGCATATTACCACTTTTATCCGTTGCGCGACTGTAGATCGCGACATCCTTGCCCTTCTCGACTTTGACCTTCAACTTCCATAGCGCCCACGCCCACTTGAGTTCAACATCCTTGGCGTCTTCACCCTCATAGTTCTTAATCAGTTCTGCCTCTGTCCATGACTTTCCTCCGTCAACACTGACTTCAACTTTTACGATAGGTCCATCTGCACCACTAGGCAGGGCGTAGCCCTTGACTTCAATCATCCCATCTGCGTCCTGATGTACAGTGGTACCTGACTTCGGAACTCCGATGACGCTGTTGACAGGCATGTCATGCAGCGCGCCAACTTTGTCCCAGTACTCCTCTGCCTTCTCTTTGGAATCAGCTTCCGGAGGTAGAATCTTGTAGTCATGTTGCTGGTAGTGGCTTTGGCTCTCGCTTAGCTGGACTGAGATAGAGTCAAGCCACTTTACGCTCCTCGCTCCAGCGATACCTGGTGTGACGACGCGGACTGGAGCTCCATGATTAGGTGGAAGAGGCTTGTCGTTCATCTTCAGCGCAAGCAGAATCGAGCTTTCGCGATTCATAGCCCGTGACAGTGGAATACTGGCACCGTAGAAGTCATCTTCTTGCGTAATCGTCTGATAGCACGAGAATGCTACATGCGCTTCCTTCAATTTATCATCCTCGACCTTGACACCAGCTTTTTCCAGAACGTCCTTGAGCAGAGGGCCGGTCCATTTGCAGTTCATGACAGCACCATCGAACCAGTCGATGCCGGACACCTCCTTCAACTTTGTACGCATGGTATGACGCCGATTGCCGGCGCATTGTAATGCACATATCACGGTATGTTGTGGAAGTGCTTGGAGGTCTGGAATGGAAAGCGAGAGTTCATTGTTGACGAGGCCGGTAATGGAAACTTTGTGTGTGCTGACATCGATGTGGGGAATGGGTCCGTGGTTGCGGTCGTAGCCGTCTTTGGTAATGAAACTGTACCCAGAATTAGTATCGTCATGGCTGTGATACTACCAATAGTATCTAGTGAATGTCATAGTTTTCCCAAAAGAAAGAAGACTGAGCTCCGTTCCAGCGCAAATGGACACCACGCATGGAATGACTCGCGCTGAACTAACGCCTTGCATCGCTATCTCCACATGACATGCTTGTCCTTCCATACTGAGACATTACACACATACCTTTGGACTAACTTCTCAAGCTCTGGCTCGCGATTAAGCGGCTCCTCGACCGAGTACTCAAGCTACGACCAACCTGTCAGCCCTGTCATGCCAAAACCAGCCAATCATGAAGACATAGTCTACCACATTAGGAAGTCGATGCAAAAAATCCGGGGGCGTACCTGAACCATAGTGGTCGAACGTAGTTTGGCGGCGCACGTGAAATTGCGTGATTGAAAGCTAGGACGGAGGAAAAGTGGCGGGGGACACAGGTATAAGCGACACAAGCGGGGGCGGGGTAAGAGCGAAGTAGGCCCGACGAGGTTGTTTGCTGAGCCACACGTGGTGTATGGTTTGGGCAGGTGCGAGGGGGGAAGCCGGGTAGATGCGGCTTTTTACTATATACCTGCAAAGGAGGAGGGCAACTCAAGCAATGAGGATAGAATGTGTGAGCACGCTGTTTACTTTGCGGCATGACGTTTGTTAGTCGACATATTACGACATTTCTTCAGAGGACTTGGATCGAGCTACTATCATGGGTCCATTGCAAAGTGCGTCATTCGCTAGTGGGTATGAATGTAACATCGAATTAAGATACCGCAATATCCTTGAGATCTAGTCCACCACTTCATGAACCGACACCGTTGAAATCTCACTACAGTGGCAGTCTTGGACATCGGTTATCATCTCTTTAGATAGTGCAAGTATCGGGAGTAGTGTTTGCGTGGTGCTTCTGTGAAACATGTACTTCCTGAAGAACCCCTAATACGGTTCAACACTTCGAAAAGGTGTTTCCACATCTTCTAGAATGTTGTCATCCTCCAGAGTCGTCTTTGATAACGGGCCTATACCTGAGTACCATGACTACCTATGGCAACGCCGAGCTCGATTTCTCAGGAGAGATTACGAAGTCCACATCCATCCTTGGCCAGCTCTTCGTCTTCATGCTTCGTATCGGGCAATCAAAACACATCGAAATACCAAGGATCTTCAAAGACATATATGTTCTTATGTAACTGAGTCCGAGAGTCAGATCGCAAGTTCACCCTATTTTCTTTTTCACTGCGTTTTCGCTTTGCAGTCGCCATCTCGCTTGCTTCTTGATTGAGATCTGGAAAGTTGTGAAAGGGCATGGTGACATCTGGCGACGACGTACCACTGGGGTCGATTTACAAAGCGGGTTGCACCGTGATGTATACAAGAACCAACCTCATGAAGTGGAGGTGCCTCAAAAGTTTTACGATGGTTGAATACGGATCTTGTTATTGAATTAGGAAGCTTGCCTTACCTACATAGATGGTTCTTCACAATGACAAACCTCACTCCTCTGATGTTCCGTGCCACTCAAGAACATGACTGTTCAGCTGAGCAAATAAGCAAGGTCAAACGTTCCAAGAAATACGGACTCCTTTTCAATACGCTAAGTTTATGGATGAAGCAATGCCTACTCGGCTCAACATGACCATCGGCCTATCAGTCTAATCCTCATCCATCATCAGCCCGCCCATACCGTCACTCAATCCGCTTAGCCCACTAACCCCTTCTACCTCGCTGTCTTCCATGAAGATGCGCTCAAATTCTATATCGCCCACATCGCAGCTAAATGTGGTAGTGGGATCAGTCTTCCTGCGTTTGGCAACCTCCTCGAACTCGCGGTAATTCTTTTGAATCTCGTCTTGAGAAAGCTCACTTGAGCGCAGGTGGTGGGGGCTGCTCATTTCCTTAGCTGGATTCGCGATATTGGGATTACCTGTGTTGCTGGCCGATTCGGAAGTGCTGGCGAAGCTAGATCTAGATTCCATGGGGGAGTCTGGTGGTGTGGGCATTTGACCAGTTGGGAGAACTGGGATCTCTTTTTTTTCTTTGACAGGCGTGTGACAACAATCGTCCTTCGGGTCTTTTAGCTCCAACAATTCTTTTTTGATTGCTGCGTAGACCACGTGAAATGCTGGAGCAACTGCCGCGTATAGACGAAGTGCCACTTCACTGGGTTCCCGCTCAACAGATGTAGTTCGCTTCTCTACATTCTGACGAAAGGTTTCGAGCGCTTCGAGCACAACTTTGCACTCCTCCACCGCAGACTGGTATCTTTGCGATTCAAAGGTTGCAGCGTGCATGTCGATATCACCACGCAGCGCCAGCTTCTGACGTTTGACGTCAGTGTCAGATTCATCATACACCAGTTCCACTGGTGACATTCCGTCATAGCTTGTGGAGCGTAACACAGCCTTTCGTTTCTTGGGTGAATCGGGAAAGCGCTCTCTCAATGCCTCAAAGAAACCAGGTTTGGAGTCATGATACTGTTGAAGCCTAGGTGAAGCGAGGTTGTTGGACCAGGGCTCGCTAATATATGACGGAGTTGGGGGCATCGATGCGTCCTCGGTCTGTGGTCTGTATTCTTCTGGTACCGCATGGACCTGAAGCGTGTCTACAATCTCAACCTTGACGACATATCGCGAAACACGCTCGAAGCGCACGTCTTCTGGAAACTTTGTGACGATACTGGCTTGAATAAGCGTCTCGGATATCGTTGGAGTATCCGGTGCCTGTGCACGGAATAATTCGCTGAACTTATCCCATTGGATCATGGATGTGGAACGCGTCACAGTGTAAACGACGTCATCGGAAAAGCGATTGTAACTCGAATTGTCTGGCTCACGATATGGGGCGATGTGATATTGGCCTCTCGGTCCGAGTTGCGAAGGAACATGCTCAAACTTAACATCGGGCGGTTGCCAATGTACTCTGGTGATAGCATGAACCACGGGCATGGTATAGTAATTGAGTGTCACTTCGGCCGACATGAAAACCCCCTCCGAACTGCGCAGGAAGCAATCGTGCGTTGCAATGTAATTGTAAACAAAACTTGGAAGATTGCCAGACCCAAGCGACCATCGAAAGTTCCTGGCAGCGTTCTGGCTGGAGTGATCGTTGTAGAAAGCATCGATGATATCATGGATGAGATTCGGCAAGTTGACTTCGATGAGACGGCTTTGCTTGCTGGGAAGGGCTTGTAATGAAAGAGCCAAAGGTTCTTCGCCTCCAAGATCGTTCCGGATTTTGTTTAGTTGAACAACAGTGAGGCGTCGCAAGTCATTTTCGACTAGAGAGACCAGACATCTTTGGAACAAACGCTCCCATAATGTAAGCTCTAGCGCTTGGGCGTTGGAGATACCTTTCCAGCACGAAATTACGTCGAGATGATTGATTGCTGCTGAAGATTAGCAGTGCAACAGACTGAACTTCTAAAATCGATTTGTGTAGTGATAGGCTGAAATTTCTGAGAGCTTCTTAGTTGTACCTTGCTGCTTGGACTCCGATCTTCTCAAAAGTGGACAGCGTATCTCACTAAGTGATGTATTCGAACGGAGAGCGATACCGTGCAACTCAACATCGAAAGCAACGTTTGCCAGAAGGTTTTCGAAGTATGGACGGCCCCCATCATCTGATGATACGGAATCTGCTGATGGGTGAGCATGACTGGCGACGCCGACACCAGCGTGAAGCGACTGCACAACTTCGGCAGCAACATCCTAAGCTGTCAATATAGTCCGGAGGTATGGCTGCACATACTCACAAGACGTTCTGTGGACATGTTGTAGTAAAAGATACTTGCGAACAATGCGGTGTCTTGATCAATCGAGCGGGGCCTGAATGTGATGTTGTGGTTGTCAGCCAGGTTGTGCTTCTCAGGCAGACAGCTTCGCAGGTAGTGGATACCAGGCAGGAGCGGCGCTCGTGGATGACTGCTAGTTCCTGGAGTAAGAATGAGCTGTGGGCAGGACGCGCTTGTATCACGAAAACGCAAACACATCCGCAACACTTTCTTCCGACACAATGTCTATATGGCATCCATGGAGGCCCGCGTGGTGAGTCGCTCATTCTTGTTGCCAAGCTTCGATATCTGGAGGAAGGCATCGACTCCATAGCCTTCCAAGCTGTGAATCTCGAGACTGCCAGCCCAATATTCTGGAATAGCGTTAGTCGCGTAACCCCACCACTACCACGGAATACTCACCGGCATATAGACGCGACATGGGAAGTCCAATACCTAGGCGCAGGTTCGGCGCACGGCTAGTCAACGAGGATAGCGAGCCGTGATGTAAGCCCGAATCGCCGTACTTTGACCTGCTATCTAGGCGTTGTTGCACCTGTGCTGCAGATTCACCACCGGGCACCTGCAGCTCTTGCAACGTCCCTAGCAATTTTGGTACTCTTGCCAGATTTTCCAACCTTTTCTCACGGCGGGGACCCTTGCTGAAGCTCCACAAGTACGGCAAGACTTCGTTTGAAATACCACCGCCCTGGTCGGATATTCTGATAATGACGTGTTGCGAGGTTTCGCATATCAGCACTTCGATGGGTGGCAGCTTGGCATCTCTCGACTTGCGCTGCTCGATGACAGCTTGAATGGAGTTTCGCAAAAGCTCGCCAATGATGTATTCAAGGTGACTCAGAATGTAGGGAAACGTCGCGTCGATGTGGCCGTAAACTTTGATCTCTGGAATGTCGACATGCGAGCCATAGGTGCGCTTGATCAGCTCCTGCATTGTCTTACCGCAATCTTCGACTATGTCTTTCGCGTTGCACCGCAAGAATATCTCGCCAACTGCCTCCTGGTCATGAGGATGGATCTCAGCCTGAGGGAAATGCCATGGCGAATCGAAGGTCTCGGTAAGCGCTAGATGCTGTTCTGCAATGACGCGTCGCGAGATGCGCTACAATGGTTAGTGTTGTCCACAAGTCTGTACTGATTGGGAGCATACCGATCGTAACATGGTGGTCATGAACTTGTCCGTCTCTTCAGCCTTCATTAGGCCTCGAACCTCAAGCACGCCAATAGCAAGACGGGGTATGACGGACGCATGCTCGGTCAACGTCTCTTCCAGCACCTTGCAGTATTTCTCGTTGTCGTCTAGCGACTTTATCTCGGGTATGCGACGGAAGCGTTCGAAGGCTCGCAGGTATGACTCGTAGACATGGGCAAGATGGGGATTCGCAACAACGACATATGGTAGGGTCTGAATATCACGCAAACGATGTGCAAGCCTGGATTTGTTTAGTAACCGTCGTACGCCATCACAAGATTAAGCCGCACCTTGTAGGAAGTTCTAAACGGCAATAGTTGGCCGAGTCGATGAGACGAGACTCAGTCAGGGTCCTACCAAAGAAAGTCAATTGTCGCAAGCTTATGGGCCTGGCTTCGCGCTGCACCCATCTAGTTGCGTGTTAGCTTTAGTTGACGCTGTCACGGTTGGTTATTTGGAGCTCACTCGTCGAGGGCCGAAGACGGTCTCCATGTTGGCGCGACGGCTGCAGCATGAGAAAGCCGAATTTGTAGCCTGGAAATGCTATGTGTTAGAGACGCCCTACGTAGACTATCAGCGTGTCGCGCGCACAATGCGAGACTACGTCTTGCTATGTTCATAATTGTCGGTGCGAGTGCGAGTAAGTGCAGGAACCCAATGATGGAGCTGTAGCAGAATACGGGGCATGTGATTACATGCTCCGCTAACCGGCCCAAGTTTTGGAGAAATCACTCACAACCTGGACCTGTTCACGCCGTGACACAGTCAAGAGGACGTAATCATGGAAGAGCGAGTCAGGTCCAGCATTACAACACGCACAATGCGCGAGCGTTTGTAGATGTCGATATTCGCGTGGCATGCTATCCACCAGCATGTGGTGTTGGACGAATGACGTCGTAGGCCGCGGCCTTGGGTTGCTGCACTCCACTGTATCGAGCGCCAAGGCTGCAACCATCGAAGAGAGTTGCTGTTCTGAGCGTCGAGAGCTTCCCGGCTTTGTGCGCCCTCGCAGTCCACCTCCCACCCCCTTGCCTATTCCCGTTGTTGGAGTTTTCAAGACGACAATAATCCGATCGTCATATCTCCACTGCCGCCACCATTTAGCGAGGAACTCATCCTTACCCGCATCCCGCGCAAGTGCTGTCCACCCGTACCTTCCTTTCTCTAGGCGACAGGCGCGCAGCTTCCTTTTTCACCTTCCAACGTCGAGCGCACTCAGTGGTCCCTGTGCTTGCGACGCCTCTGTATAGCTCTTTCCTTGCAACCTGCCCCACGTCCTCCCGCTCCTGCCGGGAAGCTGAAGCCGCCATGGATCAGGTAAGCTTGCGCCTTCGCTGTCGTCACTCCACACGCAGCCATGCTGACTAGACGGCTCCAACAGATCGAAAGTGACATGCTCGTCGACAACGAGTACGACGAGAAGGCCGACGTCGCCATCATAACGCCCGACACAGACGACCAAATGGACGAGGTCGACGCCGACCCCGAGCCCCGCGCCGACGAATACGATGCCTTTATGAAGAGACACATGCCCAAGAACCTCGAGTACGACACTGAAGCAGAAGTATACAACACATGGGAGATTAAAGACTGGCGCCAACTCACACGACGCGAGCATGGTCCCATCTTCGAGTGCGGCGGACATCCCTGGCGGATACTGTTTTTCCCGTACGGTAACAACGTCGACTTTGCTTCCTTTTACCTGGAGCAAGCTTATGAGGAGAAGCAAATGCCAGAGGATTGGTACGCATGTGTCGAATTTATGCTCGTACTCTGGAATCCCAAAGACCCAACTATTTACACCACACATACCGCACACCACCGCTTTACTGCCGAGGAAGGCGATTGGGGCTTCACGCGCTTTGCAGAACTAAGAAAACTTTTCAGCAACTCATGGGAGGACCGAGGACGGCCAATGGTAGAAGACAACGCAGCCAATGTGACTGCATACATAAGAGTGCTCAAGGACCCCACTGGAGTGTTGTGGCACAACTTTATCAAGTGAGCTTTTCAATGCTGACTTGTAGTTGCTATCGACTTGCTGACCATTCCAGTTACGACTCGAAGAAGGAGACCGGCATGGTCGGGCTGAAGAACCAGGGCGCAACGTGCTACCTCAACTCGCTCTTGCAGTCACTATTCTTCACTAATGCTTTCCGCCAGGTATGCGGCAAGCCCTAGTGTGTAGGGATAAGACTGACGTTCCCAGGCCGTTTACCAGATTCCAACCGCCGAAGAAGCCGACCGTTCCAACAGCGCATACGCTTTACAACGGCTTTTCTACCTTCTCCAAACATCCAACGGCGCCGTAGGCACGACAGAACTCACACATTCCTTCGGTTGGGATTCGAAGCAGATTTTCGAACAGCAAGATGTACAGGAGCTGTCCCGCGTGCTCATGGACAAGCTTGATGAGAGGATGAAGGGCACTGAAGCCGAAGGTGCCTTGACAAGGATGTTCGTAGGCAAGATGAAGACTTACATATCATGCATCAACGTCGACTACGAATCATCCCGGGTTGAGGACTTCTGGGACATACAATTGAACGTGAGCGGAAACAAGAACCTTGACGATAGCTTCAAAGATTACGTGCAAGTGGAGACCATGGACGGTGAAAACAAGTACTTCGCAGAGGGCTTTGGATTGCAAGATGCCAAGAAGGGTGTCATATTCGAGAGTTTCCCGCCTGTGCTGCACCTCCAGCTCAAGCGCTTCGAATACGACTTCACACGCGACGCCATGATGAAGGTTAACGACCGTTACGAATTCCCAGAGGTCTGGGACGCTGCGCCATACCTTTCCGACGGAGCCGATCGATCCGAGTCCTGGATATACCACCTGCACGGTGTTTTGGTGCACAGCGGTGATCTCAACGCGGGCCACTACTACGCTTTCCTCAAGCCTACCAAAGATGGACACTACTACAAATTCGATGACGACCGTGTGACTCGCGCCACACTACGCGAAGCCTTGGAAGAAAACTTTGGTGGCGACTACGCCCAGGCTAATGGAAACACTGGCCAGCGTAACCCCTACACCAGAGCCTGGTCTGCCAAGCGCTCAATGAGCGCATACATGTTGGTATACATAAGAGAAACCAGACTTGACCAGGTTCTCATAGACAGCAAGGCTGTAGAGCCACCAAAGCATTTGGCAGAACGACTTGCTGAAGAGCGAGCGTTGATGGAGCGCAGGAAGAAGGAGCGCGAAGAAGCTCATCTCTACATGGATGTGGCAGTCGCATCAGATGAACAATTCAAAGCACACCAGGGATTCGATATCGTACCATGGAAGAACGATCAAGAGACGCCTGCTAGCCCGAGGATCTACCGCGTGCTCCGAGCCACCACAATGGCTGACTTTGCAGCCACTGTTGCTCAAGATTTAGGAACTGAAGCAGACATGCTGCGGCCATGGTCGATGGTTAACAGGCAGAACGGTACTATCCGCCCAGATACCGCTCTTGAATTCCCCGAAATGACAGTGGAAGAGGCCGCAAGCAAGCACGGCACGAAGCAATCGCAATTCAGGATGTGGATCGAGAAGGCCCAAGAACGCGATGACAGTGGAGCGCCAGTTTTTGGCGAAAAGCTAGTAGACCTCAAGGGTCAGACTAACAATCGTCCGTTGATGATCTTCCTGAAGCATTTCGACGCGAGTGAACAGAGTCTGTTCGGTGTGGGCACCTTATACGCGGCATTCCAGGACAAAGTTTCTGATCTAACCCCAGCCATCACGAAGATGTTGGGATGGCCGACCGGTACGCAAATCAAGCTTTCAGAAGAGATCAAACAAAACATGATCGAAGCGATGAAGCCAAAGATTACATTGGCAGCCTCGGAAATTCAAGATGGCGACATCATCACAGTTCAACGTGTATTGAACGAGAAGGAAGTCGCTCAGGTAACAGCCCAAGGAGGCTACACCGAGGCAAAGGAATTTTACGACTATCTCCTGAACAGGATCAACATCGAATTCGTGCCGAAGACGTCGGATATGGATCTGCCTACATTCTCCTTAACTCTCAGCAAGAAGATGGCATACGATCAATTCTCCAGCAAGGTAGCAGAGGCCCTCAAAACCGATCCTAGCTATCTACGCTTCACCACCGTCAGCTCTGCTGGCAAGCCAAAACTACCTGTCAAGTACAACGCCAATTCGACATTGAACAACATACTCTTCCCTGGACCCTACAATTATTCTGCAAGCGCGAACCAGCGAAACGACGCCTTGTTTTACGAGGTTCTGGACATGAGTCTGAAAGAGCTAGAGCAAAGAAAGCCTGTCAAGGTAACTTGGCTTCCAGAGGGTCTCAGCAAGGAGGTGAGTTCTAAGCCTAAACTGACGTTCATATCGGTACTAATACAATATAGGAGGAACACACTTTAATGGTCCCTAAGAACGCCCAAGTTGCTGATCTCTTGGTGGCATTGCAAAAGAAAGCGAACATCAGCGACGAAGTAATGCCTAAGATTCGTGCTTACGAGGCGCATGTGAACAAGTTTCACAAAGTTCTGCCGCCAGACCACTCTGTAATGAGCCTCTACGACTACACTTCGATCTTTGTCGCGCCTTTCCCTGAGGACGAGTCATCGAAGAAGATTTCTGTATTCCACTTTGACAAAGAGCCATCAAAAGCACACGGTGTGCCGTTCCAGTTTGCATTGAAAGAGGTGTGTAGAATCATTAAGATCTCTTCTGCCCTGTTACTAATATATTACAGGGCGAGCCTTTCAGTGAAACAAAACAGCGACTCTCAGACTTCACCAAGATCAAGGGGAAACAGCTAGACAAGATCAGATTTGCCCTTGTCGGCAAAGCTCAATATTCCAAGCCCGAACCAATCGATGATGGTAAGCTACCCTTGACGACAACAAATCTGCAGCACTAACAGTACTACAGATGAAGTCTTATGGGATACAGTGGGCGCACGAGACGACATATCCCTTGGTCTCGAACACCCGGCTAAGACAAAGACGCTCTGGGGAAAGACCGACTCCATCTTCATTCGCTGAGGCAGCGGGACGATTGTGTAGGATAAAACGAAAAAGATGGCAGGCGACACTGCTGAGTACAGTCACAATGGTCTTGACATAACATTGTCAGCGAAGTTCTGTCGGCATTGCTTAGCGGATCAGGACAGTGTACGTGTTGTGTGCATATCCCAACTTACATGGCGCAATGGAGCTTGGAAGTATTGCATAAGCGGAGTCGCGTGCGTGGGCAGGTTGGCGCTGTGGTCTGACAGATGTTTATAGAGTCCCACTTTGGATCAGTATTAGCGTGTAAGCAATGTAGAATAGTACATCATGAATATCATTAGCTTGCTTCATTCCAGGCCACCAAAGCACTCCATGTTGAACATGTACTAGATGATGTTTGAAATGTCTCGAGTACGTTTGCGCGTGTGTTGATTGGTAGCGAGAGCAACTTCACGCCGCAGCCGTCTGTTCCCAGGCAGAAGGGGTGTCGTGCGCGTCTGCTTTCTGTTCAACACTACAAATATTAACGAGGATCTATACTTCGCAGTGCTTGTCCGCAACCGCCTTCAATCCCATTGGCTAGCCGCTAGTTCCCCGCGCCTTCCCCCCCGACATCCCTGCGTCGGCAAAACCTACCGCCGACGTTGTCGACAGCTGTAACTTCCAGCACACGAGAACACGAATCAACAAACGCAGTCGTCCACGCCAACGAACACGATGCGGTCACTCCTCACCATCTTCAGCGCATTGCTGGCATACACCACTGCCGTGTATGCTACTGCCCTTACCTACAGACTAGAGGCACATGAGCAAGCATGCTTCTACGCGCACGTTGAGAACAAGGGGACCAAGTTGGCTTTCTACTTTGCAGTACGTTCTCCACCCGGACCCTGGATACGCAATGGCCTCGGAGCCATCAATTGTTTCCCTGCCTTACTCTAGGCTGCTACGTGGTAGCACGATAAATCCTAGGACAGGAAGGCTGACAGAATGTGGACAGGTCCAATCCGGAGGCTCATTCGATGTCGACTATCTGGTTGTCGGCCCAACAGACAAGACCATCCTGGATGGAACCAAGGAGCGACAGGGCGATTTTGTATTCACGGCAAACGATGTGGGAGAATACCGTTTCTGCTTCAACAACGAGATGAGCACTTTTGCGGAGAAGATGGTCGATTTCGAAATCGCCGTACGTAAAGCCTCGCAGTACACCTGCGAATACATTTATACTATCTTACTGATTTTGCGCGCCTACAGGTTGAGAACGAAGCCGCCCGTGCCAAGATCCCGTCCAAGCAGGGCTCCTCCCCTGAACAGACCTCGGTCCTTGAGGAGTCTATTCTTAAGTTATCCGCACAACTCTCCACCATCTCCCGCAACCAGAAGTACTTCCGCACGCGCGAGAACCGCAACTTCAGCACCGTCAAAAGTACCGAGAAGAGGATATTCAACTTCAGTTTGATGGAGTCAGGCTTGATTATGACCATGGCAGGGTTGCAGGTCTTCATTGTTCGCTTCTTCTTCCAGGGCGCGAGGAAAGGTATTATATGAAACTGCCTCTCAGGATAAGAGTTTGGAAGTATCGTGGGCTGACACGTGTTGGCAGGGTACGTATGAGCGTGCGCTAGTTCACTTCCCAAATTTGGAGCTGGACCATCATGCAATCTGGAGATCTAGCGGGTCGTTTGGAGTACTATCCTGCGGGACGAGAAGAGTATGCAACTTTTTTGATTACTTGATTCTGGCGCTACTGGGAAAGCGGCATCTTCAAGGTTTTTGGGCGCACTAGTAAGATACGGAAATTCGAGGAAGAAGTGCAAAAGCCATCCACTTGTCGAGACCCCCCATGTGACTAAAAATCACCCCAAAAAACCTGCCTGCGACGACTAGCTGTTCCTGGCCGCTTTGAAGCGGGTGTTCTCCACCGACTTCCCCCTCATGGTACTGCTCACGTGCCAGCGTGACTAGAAATGCTCACAGTTTTGTAGGAACGTTTGTGGTTATTGTAAAACTTGCAAAATTCTAAAAAGTCTTGCCACTAGCATAGTGCAGTACAGCTTCCAATTCTGCTTCATGTGGTACAAAGCTATTGCGCGCTCAATAGCAATGGAGACGTTGTTCATGCCTTACACTCTCGTCTGTCTTACTAACCCACAGTACCAGATGAGCGACGATTTTCGCTACCACGTTATTCTTCGCTCGCTCGCCTATATATCTGGAGGTAGGTTTGCAGCACATGGGGATGACTTAAATCTCCTTGACCTTATACTTTGCCACTGGCTACAAGCGCGATACAATGAATAACTACATTGACCCTTACATGGGCGACCACGGCACACCCAATGACTATCATCCCCAGGCACGGTTCGACGGCCTTCCAAGTATGCCAAATCAGCAAGTAGCCGCGCAGTCAGTCGGCGGTCCTGGCAGCGTTCAAGGCATGCCTATTCACAGTTACGCACAAATGCAGAGCAACGACCCCAGAACTCTGCCGAGCCAGCAGCGGATGCGTGCCCGACCCACCAGCAGTTCTGGCGGTGCATGTGGTGTACCGCCTTGGCATCCTCTATTCAAGGTGACGACAGTGCTACAAAATGCACAATCAGCCCGTATGAATACTCAGAACGGACAACAATATGGGCTATTGCATCCACAACAGCAAATGATGATGCTACAGGAGCAGCACCGTATGCAGCAGCATCACTTGCAGCAATGTCATTTGCAGCAGTACCATTTGCAGCAACACCATCTGCGGCAACAGAGGCTACACCCAGCAGTACCACAGCAAGAACGAATGCCGCACTTAGCAGCACCACAGCAGCAGCAGTATCAGTGGTATACGTATGCACAACCTCCACAGCCGGTGCCTCAGCAACAGCCAACGCCTCCATATTCTTTACCTGCACTTGCTGCATCCAACATTGCTACACTAAGCGACGAATTGGCCGCAGCAGATGCTATTATGCCTGATGCCATACCCACGAAGAAGGCGCGTGGCAGGCCCAAGAAAATTGCACCTACTGTTCTACCCCCAGAGCCCATTACAGAACCAACGGAGCAGACCAAGGAGACGACATCCTCCCAAGTAGATGACTCAGACGAATTCGATCATCTACCCGGCTACTCCCCGAGAGGTGAAGAATCAGAACTTCTCGAATGGGGATTGCAACAGCAAGCAAAGAACCGCGAAAGCGCCGAAAAATGGAGGACAGGCTCGTACGGCGAGAGCACTTGGGATTATGATCTTTTTGAAGAGAGCCCCGAGAGCCCATGGAACTATGACCTCGAAAGGTTACCTCGGTGTCCTTCTCCCGTCGATGATTCGACAGAGGAGGTCTGAACTGGTATTTGGGCATCTTCTGGTTTTGTTTTTGACTCCTGGAAAATTGGGTTTGCATTATGGGACGGTTATCTTCAGGAAGGGCACCATCATCACCTTTCATGGTTAGACTTGCATAAGTGTCTTTTTGCCAGCAGTAGAACAAGCGTGCGACATAGACAGGATAGATTTGGTATTAGAGCATCTTCACAATCTTTCTCTTGCCTTTTGACGATCCTACCCTATCGCTTTCACTACCTAACGGCGCGAAGATCGTCAGTCGCGAATGTGGAGACGGACGGGCGCTAACCAGCGGGGATGGGTTGCAGGGATGGATGACATCAATGACTTCCAGGCTGGCGTATTTACGTCCCATCACCAATTCCGACCTCCATATCGGCGACCGGACTTCCGTGCACGCCCAGTTCATCTCAACGGACATCATGGAGCTTGCATACGGATTTGCCCTATCCGAACCGATACCACATTTGTGGAACCATCCAGCTTCGCCGGTTTTAGCATAGGGCCATCCGTTATCCCCAAAACACAAACGCCATTTCAAGGACACAGCAGCGGACTTAGAGGCTTACGACCGAAGACCGGCCGTATGCCTCCCGGCATTGATCCTTCGCGTTGTGGTTATATACAACTTCACTACCAAGAATTCGACGTCTTGGTACACATTGCCCAAACCGTTCCTGTGCTTACCCTAGTTCAGACGCGATCGCGGCAAAGCCCTATCCCCTTTTACACTTGGCAGTATGGTATTGCTTACTACCCTCAAAAATATCGCCGTGGTTGGTGCGAGCGGCAATGTTGGCACCCATATTACATCGGCTCTCCTTGCGAAAACACACTTCAACGTCACAGCGATCACACGTACAGACTCCAAAGCTACCTTCCCACCGGGCGTTCGAGTCGCACGTATCGACTATAACAGCCCAGACACCATAGTCAGAGCTTTGACAGGACAGGATGCACTTGTTATCACGATGAGCGTGTTTGCTGGTGGCGCGCAGGAGCAACTCATTCGTGGGGCAGCTCAAGCCGGCGTACCATGGGTTCTACCAAACGAGTTTGGTATGTACAACACAGAGGAGGCTCAGAATGAAACTATCGGACCGGGAAAGACCATCGCTCGCAAACTCATCGAGTCGCTCGGTGTTTCCTCTTGGGTAGGTGTCACCTCAGGTTTCTGGTACGAGTACTCCCTCAGCGGCGGTTACTACGGCATCAACATACCGAAGCGCGAGGTCACTTACATAGACGACGGCAAACAGCGTCTGAACACCGCCACATGGCCCCAGACTGGACTTGCCGTGGCAAACTTGCTATCCCTGCCAGTATCTGGATCTGATAGCGATGGGCCGACCCTGGAGCAATATCGCAACCGCATGCTCTTCGTCTCTTCTTTCGCTCTTAACCAGCGCGAGATGTTCGAGGCTGTGCAGAAAGCAACAGGAACTAGGGAGAAGGATTGGAAAATCACATCCGAGCCAGCAAAGCAACGCTTGGCTACAGCCAGGCAAAGGATGATGATGGGCGATCGTAGGTCCTTTGCAACGGTTTTGTACACACGCTATTTTATTGACGAGACGGGTTTGTATGAGAAGAATCATGGCCTGAACAATGACGAGCTGGGCCTTCCGAAAGAGGATCTGGACGAAGCTACGAAACGGGCCGTGGACCTGGCGTATACGGATTTTCACAAGAACATGTACTCGTAGACTGTCTACCTTTTTCGCATGCAGTTCTATCACAAGCATATTGTGGACATTTTCATTTGTTCATTCTGCAACTTAAAGCGTTCCATCAGTCAAATACAATAGCAGCCTTGACAACCTCTTGTTTCCTCACCGCGTCCAGACATTCCTCCCATTGCTCAATTTTATATGTCTTGTTCGCAATGCCACCCAACTTCAGTCTCCCAGCATTCACATACTCCAGTACATGTGGTATGTGGCTCATGCTACAGAAGCTAGCTAAAATCGTGATTTCATTCTCCCAGATACGGAATGGGGACCAAGCAATCTTAACACTCTCGTCATAAACGCCGTACACCACGAGCTTGCCGCCTTTGCGTACGTACTCGATAGCCTTTTCGAGGACAGTCGGTGCGCCAGTAGCTTCCACCACGATGTCGAAACCGTAAGGGTTGTTGGTTTGGAGGGAGGCCATATCAGCGCTGGGGTTCTCATCGGATATAGTGACGTAGGCATCCGCGATGTCAAGTTTCTGAGTAAGATCGAGCTTGGGTCCAGCTTTTGAAGCGATAGTCAACTGAATCACGTCAGCGTTGATATGAGATGTCTAAAAGGCTTCATGTACATGAGCAGCGCCATTCATCTTGATCAACTGAGCGAGCAGTATACCAGTTGGCCCACATCCGAAGAGCAATACTCTGCTTCCAACCTCCATCTGCATCCGTTCAATACCATGCGCGGCGCATGCAGCGGGTTCAATTAGAACTGCTTCCAGATCGGGAAGATCGCCGATGGGAAACACCATTTTCGCTGGGTATCTGCAATACTCGGCCATGCCACCAGGGACATTACCGCCATATCCGATGATGTTCTCGCAGAGCTGAGTCTTCCTGCGAGTACAGTAAAAGCAGTTGAGGCATGGTTGTAAGGCATCAGCTGCTACACGATCGCCGATGGCAATGTTCTTGACGTTTTTGCCAATAGCAGCAACGGTGCCTGCTGCCTCATGGCCTGTAATAGTGAGCAACGAGATCGAGAAGGTAAACATCATTGATCGTACCAGGTATCAATGGCCACTTCGGTTACGTCAGCGTCGTTCAGTATATGTATGCTTGTACGACAGATCTCACCTTAGCCAGGAACTCGCCTTTACTGCAGAAGAGGAGATAAGAGATTAGTGCATGCGTTGCTTACGTATCCCATCAGAGTCTTACTGGTAGTGCAAGTCCTTTGCTTTTGTCAGTCCGGTGTTCTTCTTGTGGTCTCTCACATGATTTCTCTCTACTTACCGTTCCGCATACACCACAAGCCGAGATTTTGACCTTCCGTCAGTCAGTTCACTAAATTCCGTCTGGTGATTGTCGGTGTTTTGTACAAGCACATCGTCATCGCCAATGGCAGGAACGTCGATAGTTTCAACTGCAAACTTTTCGGGTCCTGAGTATCTGATTTGAATTAGAAGCTTTTTCACCATATTTTGTATTGAGCATTCCTTACTGTAGCGCCCTCATCTTCGCGGGCACATCATGGCGTTGTCGTTTTCTTGGTACTGTATGACCATTCATGATGAAGGTATATAGGGGTTTTGGTCCGTTCGGTCACACCAAAGGTCATTGTGGACTGTCACTGCTTATAAACACGATGAAAATTGGTAGTTGTGTTCGTCTCGACACGAGCGCTGGGTTAGACGCGTGTGTGTAACGGGATGCGGGGTTCGGCAAACCTGCCTTATCAGCCACAGCATCCGGACTACTCCTTTGGGAAAATGTAACTATACTACATGTTGTACTTGCCGGACTGCAAGCAGTTGACCTCAGCATAACGTATCTACATCAATTGAATTGCATCAAATTCTTCCGGGAAAGTAACTATTCCTTCAAACAAAAAGTGTGTAGCATGAACAAGCACTAGGTTAGTAGTACCGATCCAATCACTTCACGCAGCATATGAGCAATGCTCAAGTGGGACGTGAGCTTGGTGGGTACTCGTGATTGAATTAATCACTTCTACTCCGCTTGAAAGCATCTATCGATAATGCGTTGACATAAAGTACCCACTGCATGATGTCGACCCGCTCGCCATTGGCCTCCTGACTTACCGCCTCCTCGTCGAAAGTGCTCGCTTCTGGATGAAAACGAGTTCATCTCGGTCACCGGATACAGCGCGCTGGCTAGTCGATTGTGAAATTGGTACTCGTTGTGGCCGATATCGCGTCCTTCACTAGGCCGCTATACAATGACTTGACCATTGGGAACGGTGTACTGTCGGAAAGCTAGACGTTATCACTGGGTTTCAAGATCCTTTGCGACCGAATCACTTTTGCCGTACGTTGTCCACAAACGAGCAAGCTCGGGGAACCTTAGCGCCGATTCACATTCTGACCTTCTCGGGCCATCAGTTGATAGCCTCTTGCTTGAAAAGCAATGTCTGTTGACACAAAGCTTGTTCCTAATCTCATGTTAGCCCTGGTCCTCCTTTACACATGTACTAATGCTCAACAGCTACCTATACATGATGAATGGTGGTATTCGGTCTGTCGTGGCTCGCGACTCGCCCAGGCCATGGTATGGTCTCCGCCGCACGCAAACGACTTCTTGGATCCCATCGATAGTCCTGGGACGGTGTCATGCACCAAGAGCTTGCGCAATGGGGCTATACGGAATCGGAAAGGTCTCAATTATGCGATTATGGCACATTCTGGGGTCTCGGCAGAGCATTCGGAAGTCTTGGTATCGATCCACGATCAAACTTCAATCATGGGCCCAACAGATGCTTCCATGTCAGCCATGGAGATACGTCGAGGAAGCGACCAGACGGCCGACCGTGGCCGCTCTCTGAGCAAACCTACATCTCTCCAGATGGAAGGTACAATAGGGCAAATTTACTTCCGTTTTCTTTCCCTTCGTCTTACTGATGTCTTTGCATAGGTGACAGGCGCCTTCTCCGATATTGGCGTCAACCCTGATGCAGGCATAGTATTTTTCATGAGCAGGAGAAGTGCTGTCGAATCGGCAAAGATCCTTTGGCGACAAGATCCACCGTCTCGGAGTGATCTCCCAGCACTACGGAGTAGTTCTGACTTCGCGTGGGCATTCTGGAACCGAATGCCGCATTTTACCCCATTAACAGCGTTTTGGAGCGTAAGCGTCAACAATCACCAGACGCTAAATATCTTGAGCCTCGCCTTCAAGACTTATCAGCCGCCACCAGGGCAACAAAGAGTGAATAGTGTTCAGGACTGGCCTGGAACCGATTTCGAGATAATTTCTGTTGAAGCACTCGCTATCTTGGGCAAGTTCAGTCCTTTCACTATGGCGGCAGACTTTCATGCTTTCAGGAGTATTGACAGAGATCTACGCGCAAGGAGCTGACAAATACAGGTTCTCCGACAGGCATAGTGGCTGGCTTCTTCCTCGCCCAGCACAAACGACAATTGGGAGGCAACAAGATGATCGTCAAGATCACGGTCTTCAAAGCCCTCCAGCCCGTCACGGATGACGAATTTCCAACCATAATCTTCTGGGTGCAAGACGCTCGCAACATTTATGGCGATATCAATGGGGCGCATTTGGTGAATGTCTCAGATGTGGTGGGGATCGATCGTATGTGGGAGTTCGGAGAGCCGAAGGTGCTCAAAAGGGGCGCAGATGGGAAGAGCGTAATTCGAGAGCATGTTGTTCGTGTCGAGCTGTAGACGTGAGCTATGACAGAGCAAAGCTTTGAGGTGATACAGGTGCAAGTAAAGAACATCCAGGGAAGACTGTATTCAATCGTTCCAAGGTGACTTGCGCATGCGATGTCGTATACAAGGAGGTATGCATTGCGACAAAAGATGTTTGGTACGTCTAAGATTGAAGCGCGTTTTTGCCAAATGAGGTACCTTCCGGAGGGTGGAGTTTGGACTCGCGCGCGCGACGTCGCGTCTGTAGCTCGGGTTACCTGCCTGTTCGCTTGACGCCAAGTCGGACAATGCGTCCAACGCGTCCAACGCGTCCGACACTCCCGAGCTGTCTTACTGCGCCAGATGCTCAACACTAGCAGGCACACTGTGCAGCGCACTTCGTACTGTTCCCTGGTGCCCTTTACGCCACTGGTGTCGTTGAAGCTTTACGGCTCGGATCATGCGTCACTGGCTTTGACAAGCACAGAACGCCATCAACGAATGCGGAATTGGAACAGTGCCAGACTCGAAGTATCCTCCCATTGTCGACCCTGCATTCAGTCAAACGGTTGAAAGCAGTGCTGACTCACCTCAGCGAGTGGTGTGAGCCTGCTTACAAGCTGCCTACATCAGTATTTCACCAATAATCAGCGCATGCAGGTAATGCTTACATGTTGCCAACTTCTACCGCGTGCGCAACAAGCGGCCCTATGAAAATGCAGAATTCGACTGCTGGTCATCATTGGCAAGTTCTCTAAACAGTACCAAGATGCAATTCGGGTGTTCAAAAAGAGATGTAGTTTGGACATAAAGATGGGAGTTGACTACTATGTTTGTTTGATCCGTTAGATAAAGTCTAAAGTCGACTTTTAATATATGCACAAATAGCACGATGCTTTTCAATACGCTTATTCCGGCACTGTCATTCACGGTATGTATCTGCACAGTATCGGCGCGATTTTCGAAGTTTTACTCACGTACTGTCATATAGCGCTGTCGTAAAACTACCAGCACGTCTACATTATCTAGGGAAACTTCAGGCGTTGTAGTAACGCTATATAGATTGTTGTCGGACCCACAGCGACAGGTCCAACACAAATGTATGCGGATGTTGTTACTGGCGTCTTAACCTCCGAGCCCAGTGTCAGTGCCACTATTTCTGTCAGCATAGGTATGGAAATAACGTGTAAGAAAGTTTGAGCCATCAGTCAAAGCCACAGTAATTCGTGGGGGTGACTGGATTTCTACAGACCCGCCGAATTCGAATTCCAATGCTACTGTGTTGAGACTCCATGTCGACGTGCTTGTCAAAGTTGATGGAAATGCAGAAGAAGATGCGTACATCCGGATGCGATGCACAGGTGCAGAGATTGCAACACCAGAAGTCGCTGCTATTGTAAGTGGCAACCGAAATGCCTCGTCCGTCAAGTTTGGCGACTTTCAGGTACGTTGTACTACTTCGTCAACACTGTCTTGATCCAAGTCGCTCACACAAGGATAGGCAACGTCATCTTGGACGTTTGAAACAGCGAGTAAGAAGTACTGGGAGTTACAGAATGCAGTCTTCGTGGGCAGCACTAGCCTACGTGTTGGAGAAGATGAAAGTACATTCGTTGTAGGCTTCAAGATTGCCAAAGTGTTGAGTGCCGAGACTGATGTCAGCATATGAACCGATGGCCTCTTCCTCGCTGAATGTGCTCTCAAGTAATGGTCAATGAAAGGCATAATGATTGGGACATTTCGAAGTATTACGCCCTTTTCTATCAGGTACATTCAGGCAGACTCAAGCACGATCATAGTTTCTCTGAATGTTCGCGCAGCGATTGAATCAAGGTTGCGAGACTTTCACGCACTGACTTGAGTGCTATAGAATACTTATCCTTCCCCCGTAAAATATTCCTCTCCATGGTTCTCCCTCCACCTCTTGTTCACTATTGTCATTTTCACTTTCCCCTAATATGAAGGCCTATAAACCCCTTTTCGTTGCCCACTGGTTACAAGTGAGCGTTCTGTGTCGTCTCCTGAGTCCCCTTTCGTGAACGTCTCGTCACTCAATACCGCCGACCAAGACACCTATCCAGCTGACATCACGATCACCAGCGGTACAAATCCTGATCGACTCGTTCACACCTCTGCAATCAAAGACGCTGACTGGGACAAGTCCGTGTGTCGAGGCCGCAAACTCCTCCTCGCAATGACCCGAGATGCCAGCCAAGGCACACGCTATATCAATCCCCTATCTACACCGTGGGACGGCGATTTGGAGAAAGAGATGGTGGAATGGGGATGGGATAATTGGCAAGAACACAAAGGCTGGTGCAACTTCAAGGAAAATGGATTGTCGCCGGCATTAAAAGCTCTGGGCATCAGTGACCAGCATGTCGACGACAAAGGCGATAACCAATGTTGGGTTGCGAACCATTTCGATGGGCCAGGTGTGCTCTTCAATCCAGATGACCCTGAGTATATAGATGATTCGGACGATGAGATGTTGGCCATGGATGATCAGTATTATATGGATCCAAATGGGCAAAGAAAGAGGGTAAGTCGGATTCTCGTGCTCAGTTAATTAGCAAACTAAGCTACGCATCATGGTAATTCAGCAAATCCATCAATTGACGCTGCTTCTAGTGCACAGGCGCGTCATACGCTATGGGCATCAACGTACCCGCCGGTGTGCTATACTTCATCTCACGTACGGGGCCGCTAGAAGCCGCAAAGTGGTTGTGGGAGAGAACGCCGCAATTTTCCGAACTTCCCAATCTTAGGATGAGCTCCGATCTAGCATGGAGTTTGTGGCACAAGATCATGTGGCCTGATCATCCTCTTAGCAATATCCGTAAGATATTCAGTCTATATATTACCAATGAGGAGACGAATGATATCGTGGAAAAGGCACTTGGTATAGGGCCAACAGACGATATGAAGAAGTGGCCTGGGGTGAACTTTGACTCGACGTCGGACGAGGGTTTGGCTATCCTTGGTAAGCTCGTGCCTTGTTGTAGGCTGTATCAGTCGTACTGATGGAATTTTGTCTATAGGATCAGCCAATGGTCGCGCAGTGGGTTACTTCCTTGCTCAGCATAAGCATCAGTTGGGTGGAGACAAATACGTCTCCAAGATGACTGTCTTTGAGGATGAAAACGAGGGCAATCCTCATGCCACAATTCTCTTCTGGATCGATGATGTGCCTTCGCCACCGCCGGAGTTACCGGAGCCTGGCGCGCCGCCTGGTGATCATTCCATGGACACTTCGCTTGGGATGGTTCAGTCAAAAGTTGTGAGGAGGAGGGATCATGGAATGAGTATCATAAGGAAACACGTGATTAGGGTAGGACCGGAATAGGTGTAGGGGGGTGGAAGTTGAGCTGGTTTCATTGTCGTCGTGCTTCGAATGGAAGGTTATGCACAATCTGTTTAAGATTACATCAACAAATCCGGTCCAGGATATCTATTTCGTACTGTAGAATGCAACACCGTGTGTGAAGCGTTATGTAATTAGAAAATCCAGCTGACGGGCACTGGGAACTCTTCTACGCTCAGAAGTAAGACCATGAGCTTACGAACGCGTTTCCGAACCGATTGATTCAAGTATTTGTTCCAACTCCTGCGTCGCTGCCTCATTACAACTTTACCCAGACCTTATGACTCCTCACAATATTCTTTCCATCTTCGGATCGCTCTAGCACTCGCCCTTCGTCCACAAGATCACGCTTACCGAGCGCCAAACCAGTTCCTCCGCCCATTATCTCATCGGGGGGTTGCGGTGCTGGCCATGGTGCCGGTTTAACAACGAAACACAACCACGGCAAAATGCCCGTCATCCAGACTGGGTTCGCTGGTGAGCCCTGAAAGACGTGTATACTGGAAACATATCTGTTGTGACCAAACTGAGGCTTGTGCTGCCCAAGAAGGTATCCTATTGCTATTCCGTTCGGAGACCCTATACCAAAATTGTTAGTACTATGCGCATCATAGGCATCATGGGTGCGCAATATACCTAACAAAGCCCAGTATTCAGAGGCTTCTCCAGCTACGAACTCAGTTCCTGGCCAGGTTCTGAGTGGTTGACCGTTCAAGGCCCTCAAAATGATTTGCCGAGTTTCTTTGTTGACAATCTGGTGGGAGAAGACGTAGTTGATATTGCCCAACTTGCCAGGGCTCATTCTCTCCCACATGCCCCAGGCAATATCTGAACTCGACCTCAGCGCTGGTAGCTCGTTCTTTGGAACATTATCAACTCCCCACTGGTTTTTGGCCGCTGATTCTGGGGACTTGCGGTTGATCATATGTATGACGCCATCCCTCGCGTTGATGCCTATAGTGTAATAAGAATTTGTGACCCTGTAGCTTACTCCGTCAACAGTATAACGTTGTTGGTCTCTGGGTGGCATCTGGCCGTTTGGCAATCGGTGAACGGCGGGGCCACCTCGGTGGACATAGGAGAAACACTTGTTCGGTCCGCCATACTGGGCACTTCCTGCGCCGATTCCCAGGGTCTGGAGGACAGCTTCGAACATAGGTTTCATGGTGAAGTCGCACTGGTCCTGAATGTCCTCATTCATACTGTTGTCTTTATAACCCCAGGTCGTAAGTTCGTTTTCGAGGGTGCCAGTCCATGGACTGTTCAATGGAGTACCAAACCTAGCAGCGTTTACTGGATCGAGCGTATTCATCAGCTGGAGCTTCTGGCCGCGGCAGCCGCAAGTCTGCCATAGAAAGTCATCAGCTGGGCCAGGAGGCGCTCTCTTGACTATGCTACCACTATCTTCAACAGCGAGACTCCATGTGTTAAGTGGAGTCTCGTTCAGAAGGGACGGCGGAACCTCGCCCACGACCAGACTGAGGAGTGTGGCGAGACGTAGAAGTAGTACGGTTCGCATGTTGCGGATCTGCTGATGGAGTTCGCGTGGAGGAACGGTAGATCAAAGGACAGAGAGAGTACATGGAGAAGCGGCGCTAGATGTGGTCATGTAGAGCGCACAAACTGATTTTCAAGCAGGAAAAGCCCAAGCTTTAGTCATTTGCGTCCAAAGTGAAGGCGGGTGGGAAAGACTAGAAGCTTTAGCGTAGCAAGCAACACAGTGAAAGGCAAGGGTTGGCCCATACTTAGAGCAAAGTGAGTTTGGATTGTCTTGGGGCTACCATGAGGCATCCGTTTGATTAAGCTGATATATCACGACCGAATTACATGCTTGAACCGACAACATACACGAATGTGTAATCTGTAAAGAATTGCGCAATCATGACTTTATCCAAACCTTATGACTCCTCACGATGTTCTTCCCATCGCCGCTTCTTTTGATCACTCTACCTCCATCCGTGTTCGTGAGGGTTGCCATACCAGAACCCGGGGGCGGTACTAAAACATCCATCGGATCGGGCGGTGCAGTTGGCGGTGGGTTAGGCGCTAGGCCAACAGCGAAGATCATGTTCGAAAGCGATGATCCGGTCTTGCGATAAATGCGAATACCCTGAACATAATAGTTGTTTCCTAACTGTGCCTTGTGTTGGGCAAGAAAATATCCCACTCCTATAGCGTTTGGACTACCTAAACCCAGGCATATTGTCAGCGCCGTTCTGAACTCGAAGCATCAGACATTCCGTTACGTATTACGAGAACACCTTAGTGAGAACATACCCATCAAGGCCAAATATTCCTCGGATTCTGGCGTGATAAGAAACCCAGGAGGATTCGGCGGCACTTCATCTAGCCCTTTGTTTTTCAGTATCCTATCGATGACCTGCTCGGTTTCGCTGTTGATTATGGACATGGATGCAAAGAATTTGATTTTGTTCAGTTTGTCGCCATCTTGAATTCGATTCCAATAGGCCCATGCTATATCTGAACTCGCACGTAGAGCGGGCAACTCATCAAGCGGAACCGGATCATCATCACGTATGCCCCATGTTTCGCGGGCCTCAGCTTGAGGGGAGCCCCGGTTGAGGAATAATATGTAGCCATAGCTTGGGTTGATCACCATGGTGCCATGAGCGGCCGTGGCCTAAATAGGGAAGAGCGTCAGTAGAGAGCGCGAAGACTGTGGTAGTAGAACTCCCTGGCGTGGGCTTACCCTATACTTTCGACCATCTTTAATGTAGTACTGCTCGTTGAGAGGTGGGAGATCTCCATTCTCATCCCTCACGATGTCGCTATTACAATGACTGTATGAGACACAATGGTTTGGCCCACCATGGAGCGAGTTAGTTATTGGAATTCCCAGCGTAGCGAGGTATGGGGCGATCCCGCTAAAGTCGAAGAGATCTGGGTCTTTAAAGTTATCTTTATAACCCCATTCTGCAAGCTCGTCCCTCATCTCGCCATCCCAAGGAGATGCCAAGGGACTCAGGAACCGAGCGGCTTCGGGTGGGTTTTGGGTCATTGCAAGAAGCAGTTTTGCTCCTCGACATTTGCACTGGTACCAAAGCTCATCGTCAGCAGGGTTGAGGTTGTCGTCATTATCGTCGTCGTCACCGTCGTCGTCGCTGTCGGGGTCGCCGCCTGGGTCAGACCCTCTTGCGCCTAAGATGAGGTTCTTGTATCTGGGAGAGTCGACGCCAACATTGGTAAAATTGAGCAGAATCTCAGTCGAACCGAGAGCGATGAGACCCACGACCAAGATAATGTACGTGAGCTTCATGTTTAGAGTTTGAATGTCTGAATGCCTATAGGTGGGTGTTTCCGTTTCATAGCAAGGAAGAAAACAGATATAGCGTTCACCGGATGAGCGAGCTATACTAGCGGCCGGAAGTCAAGGTGAAAGACCAAGGTGCTTGGATAGGCCCACTCAAAAGCTAGTTCACTTACTGCGCGACTTGGGGTTGGATTGATTCTAAGTGAAGGGGGAAAAGGCGTTGAGATGGGGTGTCAGGCAGGCATCTACCAACATCATCCCATCATTTTACCCATGCTTTCGCGTCAAAGCTTTGCCCAAATCTTATGTGTTCTGATGAAATTCTTCCCATCTTTACCCCTCCTCACCGCTTTTGCCTCTTCTGTCGGAGCGCCAGGAGTGTCGTCCGGGTCAGGCATCGGTGGCGTATGCTTGTCAATGTAGAAGAGTAGACTAGGATAACCATAAGGCTCAAGATCATCGCCCCTAAATATCGTGATTTTCCAGATAAAATTGGCGCCACCAAGTTGCCTCTTGCGCTGAAGAAGAAAGTAGCCGGCTCCTAAGCCCTAAACGTGGGTATACGAAGTCAGTGTATGTCTCATAGGTAGTTCGTGCAGGCGTAATTACATTTGGTGAACCTAAAGAACGTCAGAGTGAGTAGTGTTCTGATGGAGAAGGACTAAAATGGAGCATGAGACTACATAGTAGGTGAGATAAGACGTACCAATAAGTGCAAGAGCAGCTTCAGCTTCAGCCCCTTCATCCGCTCCCACAATGAGATCTGTTCCAGGCCATTTCTTTGCCTCGTCTACTCCCATCGCTTTCAAAGCCCTTGGTATAATGACTTTATTAGTCTCGTCGTTGACGATCGTTAGAGACATGATCATTTTGATACCTGATTCGCCTTCGACCCTGTTCCACCCGCCCCAAGCTAGGTCTGAGCTAGAGCGAAGTTTCGGCAAGTCGTCTTTGTTAATTTTCTCCTGTCCCCAGAGCGTTTGGGCCGATTTCTCAGGCGAATGGCGGTCGAGGAAGTAAACGATACCGTCTTTCCGGTTTATGCCAAATTTGCAAGTGGCGCCCGTGGACTGTCATGCTATAAGAATTAGCCTGCTGGATGATTTCGATTCAATGGAGCTACACGCGTCTGACCCTGTAAATCTTTCCGTCCGCCTCATATCGCTGCTCGGATAGCTGAGGCAGTTCCCCATGCTCGTCCGGGAGAACCGTCGGTCCATAGCCATGCTCTATCATAAAGCAGTGGTTCGGTCCGCCCTGACCTGCCGAACGTGGGTCAATACCGAGATCATCGAAAGCGTTGTCTATATAATAGGTCTTGAAGTCGCATGAGTCGTCCACCAGCACGTGATTAGATGAGTCGTCGGAATATCCCCATTTTCTTAGTTCAGGCTTTAAGTCGCCGTCCCATGGGCTCTGCGTGTAGGGCCATTTCAGCATCTCTGTTGACTCTTGTTCGTCAAGGGACATGGCTTTGACAAGCGCGGCGCCACGACAATATGCCTTCTGCCATATTGGATCGTGATCTTCGGGATCGACGGTGACAGTCAAGAATGTTGAGCTTGAATCGACAACGGTGAGATCTTGATGGAGGTCCGGTCCAGGCGCAATTCTACTCGCCACAGAGGCGATGAGGATAGTAAGACGACAATACAAAAAGAGCTTCATACTCAGCTATTAGTCTAAGTCGTGGATTCCGAAGGAAACGAACAAGTTGTATTAAATCTAGGGAAATTTGCTAAACCCCGATGACCTATAAGAGCAAGGGCAAGGCGAGCGCCATGACGCAATGCAACAAACAGAACGATCGTTCCCATCACGAAGTGAATACAAGGATCCATGTAGAATCTCGACCTAGTGCGGCCTTTGTTGTCTTACACACTCCACTTCTTCTTCAAGGCCTCGACCTGAGTCGCATTGACGCCTAGTACACTCCCGTGCCTCAAATTCTGAGGCCAGGCACTCCGGTCACTCGCTGTCCATTTTCCACCCTTCACGTCAGAACTTTCGTAAGGTCTGTATCCGTCTGCTCCGTAGAAGTCAAGCAACAAATGCGCCTTGCCGGCAACTTGATTATCCCAGTAAGGCGCAGGACCTAAAGTTTGGTATATGAGGTCAGTATGTGTCTCACGTCCAGCTCGTATAGGGACATGACTAACCTTCTACACCAGAAGCGATGATAGCGTTAGCACCTGCAGGCCTAGACCAGGTACCAAACAGCCCATTAGTGGAGATTTCTGTAAAAACAGTCTTTGCACTTTCATCCTTCAAGAAGCGCGCGTATGCATTGTTTCCTAGGGCCAGAAATTCCTGGTCAATAATATTGGTAGGTGATCGGTTGATGTAGTCCTGGGGCGCAGTGAAAGTCTTGAAGTCTTTGGTGTATGCGTAACGGATTCGAATCGATGAAGGCGCACCCGTATGTTGCGGATCGGAAGTAGGGTAAAATTTGCTAGCCCAGTGAACGAAGTACTGGCCCTTGGCTTCGTCCCAGATTGCACTGGGTGCCCACACCATACCTGCTGTAGAGTCTTCAACGGTGACAAGACGTTCGTTGGTCCATGTTACAAGATCGGTAGACTCCCAAACGAAGATTCCACGAGAGCCTGTACGTTGAGATGCATCCCATGTTGTCTTGCCAATGTCAAGGTCTGTGCCAATGATGTACCATTTCTTGCCAGCTTCTGCCGCTCCACCAGATATGATAGCTGGATCACGAACGCCCTGAGTACCTTTCGTAGGAATTATAACAGGTTGGCCCTTATTCATGGCAATCATGGAGTTTGCATTGTTGCCATTGGAAAGGTAGAAGTAGACAGAGGGCTTGTCACCAAGGAAGAAGACGCCAAGGTAGTTCGTGAGGGAAGAATCGGCACGTGGCGCTATGCCGTACCTTGCGAAGTCGAGAGTCTGAGATGGAAGAGCAAGGACGCTAGGGAGCAGGGCGCACAGAGTGAGAAGACGCATCGTGAGGGAAGTCTCGTGAGTTTGGAATGACGAGTGAAAAAAAAAGGCTCTAGCGACAGTTTATAGAACTCTTGGGACATGTGCCCGTCTAGCTTTTCCACGCAGTCCGTGTAAAGTACCATGTCCCGAGCATTCCGCAACGGCTGTCCCTCCCAAGAGGGCAAGGTACCCAGGCCTCGGTGGATTTAGAAACATCAAGTCAGGAAATCGAACACATGTGCGGGGAAAATCCGGCATTACTTCAATCAACCCCGGTTTGGCAAGAGGGTGTGGGGTTAGATTAGAGTTGTATACGAAGGATGTGGCATTTCTCCGGCGCTACCAGTTTCCAAGACGCTACGTGAGCAGCCTCGGCAGTTCGGACAAATGCAGTGCCATAACAATGTTGCGATTAACTATAATAATAAGCTCGTGAAACTTTCGTGGTTGGCTACCGAAGCGACTAACCATATTCTGGGGTACATGAGTTCCTAGCAGCTTTCCGCGTGACCGGTTAGTGTTACAATACTGCGCCCAAACGTCATAGTATGGGATGCAGCGCAGCACGGCGTTGTGGTTTGTATGCCGCGGTTGCTATTGTGAGAATGTATAAGACAGTCACTCCAGGCGTGGTTCAGTCATCATCGCTGTCGTAACCAGCTACAAGCATGGTGGATAGTTTTGAGGGTGGCGCAGCAGCTTTCGTCTGGGGCGCTGGATCCGATGCAGGCGTCTTCTTCTTGATGCCTAATGCGGCGCTGAAGTCCTTCTTTTCCTTTGACTTCTTGGTGAAGGTTGTGACCACAGGTACTTGGACAGGTGCATCGAACATATCTTCATCGATTGTCTCCTCGCCGATATCAGGCATGCTCCGGTTTGAGAAGGCTTGTCGTGCAGCCTCTGCATCTTCTTCCTCTTGCTTCTTCCGTCGCTCGTCGACCGCATCGGGCGGGACATCGGTTCTTTTGCCTTCGCGGTTTGCCTTCTCCAGTCTAGCGTTTCTCGACCGGATCTCGTCTAGAGCATCTGCGATGGCCATCTCTGTCTTCGCATCGTGGACTTTTGATTCGAGTTCCTTCATCGCATCGCGCTCCGCTTCCTCCCTCTCTATGCGATCTAAGCGCTCTTCTTCGGTCTCTTCGTTTAGCTTGGCCTCCCTCCATGGCTCGAAGTTTCTCTTTGCGCCGCGCTCGCATTCGTAGTCCATGTTCTTGGGGTCGGTCTTGAAGGTGATCTCGCCGGAGCATCGCGTGCATCGGATGTAGAAGCGGAATATGGCAATGTTGTAGTACTTTTCATCCGTCGTCTCTTTGCGCGCGTTGAACTTGCGCCCTTTGTAGATGAACTCGCCGCAGTGGGTGCACTTCATGGAGAAGGGGGCCATGAGACGGACCGTCATCAGCTTGGGACCGGCATTCTTGGGACCGCGTTGACGCGTGATCTTCGAGGGGTCGAAGTCTGGTGGGTAGTACTTGGTGAGCACTTTTCGTTCAGACATGGCGGCGGATTACGCGAAGTCGACGTTGATCGGGGATTCGGGACGGTAGTTTTGGAATCCAGAGGCGTTTTGTGTTGTGTGAATGGGGACGTCGCGTGATGCGGTCGCGATGTGGTAGCGGGTGCTGAGTGTCGGAGATCACGTCTAGGTGAAGGCGACCTTGGAGCGGAACTTTTGGCTGACTAAGGCGGCCCGCTGCTGCAGGAACCCCGCAAACATGTGCTCTCGCGTCAGGTAGGCGCGACCCTGGCACCATCACCGCGCCGCCGCCTACTGCAACCTCGACTGGAGACAGGTTTTTTTCTTTGTGGAAACCTGCTGACCTGCCTAGACAGACTCTGTCCGATGCAATAGCAAAATTATGGAGAAATATCTTCGTGAGTGGCGCCAAGAAGCCCTCAACCGCTGCCAGTACGACACAGCCATCTTCGTCGCAGACAAACTGCTGGCCTTGACAGGTATGAAGACCGCATCCATGCATTAGCGCATACTGACGGCACATTGTAGATGACGACCAAGATGCCTTCTGGCTAGCCCAGGTACACTTCACCACCGGCAACTACAACAGGACGCAATCACTCCTGGCACGCGGGAACCTCGTCGAACGCACACCACAATGTCGATACCTCGCCGCGCATTGCTCCCTAAAGCTGGGCAAATTGGACGAGGCTCTGAACATACTGGGCGACAAGAACCCGACTCATCTCATCTCAGCGCCAGGCAACACGCGTACCAAACTGCGGCATGTCGATGTCAACACACGGGCAGGCGCAAGACAGAACAAGAACGGCTCGCGCAACGAGCGCTTACCCACCAGCGAGGAGCGTGACCGGGAGGATGTTAACAACATCAAGTCGGAAGCAGGCATGTGCTATCTGAGAGGCGTATGCTATGCAAAGCAGAATTCCTTCGATCGGGCCAAGGAGTGCTACAAGACAGCGGTGCAGATTGACGTGCAATGCTTCGAGGCCTTCGATGCGCTCATGTCCAACTCACTCATGGCGCCCGAGGAGGAGTGGAAGTTCTTGGAGTCGCTCAACTTCGACACCATCAACGTCACCAACAACCCTTCGCTATCGCAAGAGGCGGCTTCCTTCACCAAGACACTCTACACCACACGATTGTCCAAGTACACCAGACCAGACGAGTTTGCCAACGCGACCGAGACACTCACAACCCACTACAATCTTGGCGAGAATCCAGATATCGTCCTCTCCAAAGCCGACCTCATGTTCACCCTCTGCCGCTTCCGTGATACCCTTGCCCTTACATCAGCCGTCCTCGCCAACGACAAGTACAATTTCAACATCATGCCTATACACATAGCGTCCTTGCATGAGCTCGGAGAAAAAAACACCCTGTTCCTGCTTGCGCACGAACTCGCGGACACAAACCCCTCAGAACCATGCGCTTGGTTCGCTGTCGGTACCTACTATCTCGCCATCGGTCGCATAGCTGAAGCACGCCGCTACTTCTCCAAGTCCTCAATGATGGATCCACACTTTGGCCCTGCCTGGATAGGTTTCGCGCATACTTTTGCCGCAGAAGGAGAGCATGATCAAGCCATCTCTGCCTACTCTACCGCCGCACGCCTCTTTCAGGGCTCGCACCTCCCACAGCTTTTCCTCGGTATGCAGAACCTTCAGTTGAACAATCTCAGCCTGTCACGAGAATACTTGAAGACGTCATATGATCTGTGCGAGAACGATCCGTGTCTTCTTAACGAGATGGGCGTTGTCTATTTCCACGAAGGACAGCTGCTAGACGCTATACAATTCTTCCGCCGTGCACTGGCCTTCTCGGAACAAAATGAAGCAGATCCGGATGCTTGGATTCCCACACGGATAAACCTTGCCCACGCACTTCGAAAATGTGATCAGTTTAACGAAGCACTTGCGACATTTGACGAGGTTCTTCGCCACGGCAACAAGGACCCTAGCGTCTTCACCGCGAAAGCACTAGTGCTCCTGAACCTTCATCGAAATTGGGATGCCATCGTTACCTTGCACGAAGCCCTCGCCGTCTCGCCCCAGGACCCTATGGCTACCTATCTCCTCAATCGCGCGCTGGAGATGAACGAGTCAGAAAGTGGGCTCCTCGAATCTGGACGGGCTGACATGACCGAGGGTGCGGACGAAGACGAAGAGATTGAAGAGTTAGAACGAAGAATGAATGGCAAGCTGCGTGAGATTGAACAGAATCGCAGTGCGGGCAGGCGAGGTCGTAGGAGACGGCATGCACAAGGCGTAGCAGACGAAGACCTCAGCGCTTTTGGGGAGAGTATGGTGGTCGACTCGGATGAAGGCTAGTACTTGCTGGCTTCTTTTTGAATATACAAGCAACAGCCATGGATTTGGATATCACTCATAGGCAAAAAGGCAAGGTACTGCGAAACTATAGGATCACGGTCGGGCGTCACATGGGCTTTGGATCATGGCATAGCGTGGAGTGAGCGGAGTCTGTAAACTTCTTTTTCTGCATAACCGATACCATATCACAAGCGTTTGTTCTTCAAATGCATTTCATTCTTGCAATTCTGCAATGACTCCTTGTGCCTATTTGCGCTAACGTTTCGACCCTTTTCCCGCAAAAGCCCTCTCCCTCGTACTCGTGATAGAACCATCGCGCTTACATCGACTACGAAGATGTTGGACGCTCCCTTGGAGTTGTTCTTGTATGTGGAATGTAATCCGAATTACGAAGTGACTAGATCTGGTTACTCCATTTCCTGAGTCATCAAAGTCACCATTGACTGTTCCGGTGGATATAGCTGAATTTCTAGTTGACATCACCTTGTCGGCAATCTTTTCGTCCTGATCACGCTGTCGAGGTTTGACATCAGATGTGAGAGACTTCCAGTGGATCGCTTGCGTATGACTACTGTCTACTGATTGTCGCGAAGGTCAGAAATGGTACCGAATCTGGCTACGGTCAGCGGATCAACAAATGCAGATAAAAGGTATCTAGCTGTCGACTCACATCCTTGAATGATAACAAGCATAGCTCAACTGGGTCCTTCAGAGGGTGATTTCCTCTCCGTACGGAAATACCAGGACAAATCTTGCGATAAAGTCAGTCCATTAACAGAGGTAAAGGTAGCACTGCTTGATTTGCACCTTTGGCATATCCCCATCTTTGCATTACTGTCTCAATCCCTTTCCTGGTAGTTTTCCTTGCGATTTCCCTGCTCTTTCCCTTCTCCAGTAGAGTATCATAATCGGTGTGCATATGTCGTACATGTGCAATGACAGCAAGCAAGACTTTCCGCGATAACGGTAGTGAACTTGCTCGACCGACTCTCCCAGAATGCTTCTTGAAGCCGTGCCTAAGTACTGTTTCCTTGGCCGCTGCAGGTATCTTCGGAAACTGGACGTCTACCTCGGCAGCTGCTTTGGTGAGACCAGTAGCATCGCGTTGCGCTGTTGTAGCGCGGCGAGTAGACAGCGTTTGTTTTGCTTGTGTGTGAACCTTGTGCAGGACACTCAGAGGGACACGAATCCCGATCGTCTTGTTCTTATCTACAACAATGTATAACTTCCGGCCCTTTTCATGAGTAAGCTTGCGGCTGTGGAGCGTCTTGTACCGGTCGCCCTTTGGAAGATAGCCATATTCCTTTGGCATCGGTGTTTTTGGTGTCACCTCAATTTCTTGACGCATGGCTACATAGAGCGGGTTCAATACTTGTGTGACTTGCTGGCGCCTGGGTCGTCAAAAAATGCAAGCCTGATTCTACTGCCTACTCCTTGTCGTCTAGCGCGCTCAAGCGAGATAAGTGCAAACAAAGGGGGCTCTGAAGCATTGTTGATGAGGAAGCGCGTCGAGACGCGTCGACTCGTGGATCGACAAAGGATCTGCGTCATCGATATCAGGCGCTAGGCCAGAACAAGCGCACACATGTGACAGCGTGCCCAAGTGTCTGGTAAACGTCCAACGACATTCTCACGTCTGAGACCTCATAATTCCATCTATCTTAATCCCGTCGTGCGGAGGTATTCCTTTGTTTCACTTCCCGCGCGTCAAGACGTAGTTGAAGATGATGATGTCTCCTTCCCCGCGGTCCGGATCAATCGGCACCCAAGTGCTAAGTTTGGCACTCAGGAGCGTTGGTCCCACCTGCGGTCGCCAATGCGCGGCACAGCTGAAGCTTACCCGACTCCACAGCAGCCACGAACAGGCACCATGACGACGCTTCAGTGGCACCTATAAAACCTTCAGCCACACTTATGGACCCCTACTTTTCGCAGTCTCGACCTCCATCCTTGCTTTTGGATTGTTCTAAGCCGTTCTGGTCATGCAAATCAAACCCTTGAAGAGATCGGATACGACACTCAGCGACGATACTGAGCTTACCAACATCACATACAACGACAAGTATGTTGTCGTGTATGACTTTGGAAGCGTCGGTATGTTTCGTGTGATCACGCCCATGAGGCGGCTGGCTGACAACCGCTAGATGTCGATGTCGCCATTGCGGAGTGCAAGACCTTGTTGCATGATCTAGAGGCTGCAGGCCTCAATACTGAGGTGCGCCCGGGCTATGATCAAACATTGCTGGTATTTGTGCAAGCGCCTAGAGACCTGCTTGGCAATACTGTTTACAAGTCCCGGTACGTGGAGCTGTCCATGGACTATTTGCCCCAGCACAAAGCTTACTGGTAATCTTGACAGAGTCAAAGACTGGCTGTATGCTATCACCAAAAATCATCCTGGCGGTACTGCAAAGACTGTAGTCAGCGCAGCTTTCGAAGCCGAGGACCTGCTGTCAATGTATCACCTCGTCAACTGGCGCAAGGAGCTTGGAGGAGCAGGTATCACTCCAGGATTTCCTCCATGGGAAAATGTGACTTCCATCTTCCCATTACACAACCAAGGTGCGAACCGCGCATTGCTGGCGCATCTGAGCACACGTGTGTTTTTGGAACCGGCAGACCTAGATCGTATCCGTGATCTTTGGGGCGCCAAAGTTGCGTTTTACTTCGCCTTCATTCAGACTTACTTCCGTTCTTTGGCATTTCCGTGTGCTGCTGGCGTTTTTGCTTGGGCATTCCTACCAAAATACTCTCTCCTCTTTGCACTGCTCATTGGTGTCTGGTGCACAGTGTTCTTGGAGTATTGGAAGATTAAGCAAACCGACCTTGCTATCCGATGGAACACACGAGGAGTAGGTGATCTCAAGGTGAACCGCCCACAATTCCGTTACGAGCAAGAGATTATCGATTCAGCCGGGAGGGTACGACATGTATTTCCGAGGTGGAAGAGGATTGTGCGGCAGCTCGTCGTCGTACCATTCGTCCTCATTAGTGCTTTATTCCTTGGAATTCTTATCGCTTTTGTCTTCACTATTGAGACATTTATCGGCGAGGCATACGAAGGTCCCTACAAGTTCTATTTGGTAAGTACACTGCCAAACGTTGCTGCATAAACCTAATTGCGATCTAGGAATACTTGCCTACTGTTCTTCTCGCCGTTTTCCTACCATATGCGACGAACTTCCTGGAAGACATTGCTACTGCATTGACAGAATACGAGAACCATCGAACAGCTGATCATTACGAGATGTCGCTGACACAGAAGATCTTTGTGCTCAACTCGATCACAAATTACTTGCCAATACTTCTCACGGCATTTGTCTACGTACCTTTCAGCGGAAAAGTTGTACCGTTATTGCAGAACGTTATCGATGCGACACTAGGCGCGCAAAACAGGTCGAAGACAGTATTCAAAGCTGATCCTGACCGGTTGCGCAATGAAGTCATAGCACTCACCGTTACTGGACAGGTGTCAGGCGCAATAGAGGAACTTGCACTGCCCTGGTTGAAGACGCAATTAAAGCAATGGTGGCGCGACCGACAAGCTAAAAGAGCGCATAACCGGAGCAGCGACTCATACGTAGGACCAATGGAAGAAGATCCTGCGGAGTCTCGTTTTCTGCGCCGCACAAGGAGGCAAGCGTTGAGGCCACCATACAATGTACAGGAAGACATTGCAGAAATGGTCATCCAGTTTGGCTACCTTGCACTCTTTAGCCCCGTGTGGCCTCTGGTACCGATTGGCTTTTTTATCAACAACTGGATCGAGTTACGGTCCGACTTTCTGAAGATCTGCGTTGAACATCAGCGTCCTCACGCGACACGTAGCGACGGCATCGGACCATGGGTAGCTAGTCTAGAGTCATTGACATGGCTGGGCAGTATTAGCAGTGCTGCTATCGTTCACATGTTCGGTACCCAGCGATTCCTTGGCGAGTATCTTGGCTTAAGTACATGGGCTAGTCTACCAGTCACCATCCTTATTTCGGAGCATATCTTTATGGGTTTTAGAGCTGCTGTACGATTCGCGTTATCCAGGATTGGCTCCGAGCAAACACGGAAGGAGAGAGCTGAACGGTATGCGAGGAGAAAGAAGCACCTGGATGAGCTTGAGGCAACCGCAGAGAAGAAGTCACATCTTGATGTGGCTGAGCGGGAGAGGCGAAAGAGTGTTCGCATCAACGCAGCCGACATCTTCTGGACCAAGCAGGCGGATACGGGTGCAAGCGCGGACACCGGCGTTAGTATCATCAAGGCGTTGAAGACCGCGCAGCAGGAGAGCATCCTCACTGGGCGAGAAAACAAGATGGACTGAAGTGCAGCGTCAGGATAGGTAGACAAAGAGCTTTTTCATTCTCTCCGTGTATGTACAAATTCCCCAACCACCAACCAAAAAGATATATACAGAATTTCACACCATCGATGGCACGCGACAGGCTTACTGCAGAGCAGCAAGAACGGTGTTGTAAGCAGTCTTGGCGTTGTAGTTGGAGTCGAACAGAAGCGGGTTGCCCTGAGGCCTCCAGGAGTCGGAGTCGCGGACACCCCAGACGGTGATACCAACACAGTTGCTCTGGTTCAAGCAAGCCTTGACAACGTTGGTCCAGTCGGATTGCTGGGCGTTCTGGATGTCGACCTCGGTGAGCGCACACTCGGGAGCTGCTCCGCAAAGCGCGGCCATGGCAGCTGGGGCGTTGGCACCCTGGCCAGATTGCAAGTGACCTTGGGAACCGATACCGTCGATAGGGATGCCGGCAGCGATCCACTTCTTGACGTTCCTGACCATGGCCTGGGTCTTCGCGTAGGAAGCTTGGTCCAGGCTGAGCGTTTGTTAGTATAATAACATTCCGCATAAGAAGTTGTGCTTACTTGTAGTCGTTGATGTAACGCTTCGCAGACGGGTCCGCAGCCTTGGCAGCCTCGAATGCAATACGAACAAAGTCCTCACCAAGGACGTTGTAGAAGACGCTGGCACGGAAGTTGCCGTTCTCCTCGAACTGATGGATAGTCAGTACTTGTGCTGCGTGTATCCTCCCCACGAGTATGTACGTACCATCTCGTTGATGACATCCCAGGCGTAGACCTGACCCTTGTAGCGGCCCATCAAAGAGCTGATGTGGTTCTGCATGACAGTGGTCAAGGTGGCCTTGTCCCTGATGGACGAAACCCAGCTGGGCAGCTGCGAGTGCCACACGGTGGTGTGACCGCGGAGGAGCTTGCCGTTGTCCTTTGCGAACTTGGCGGTCTGGTCGGCAGTGCCGAAGTTGAACGAACCACGCGAGGGCTCAGTGGCATCCCACTTCATGCTACCCAACAGTCAGCTCTACATAATTTTTGCTTCGAGGCTTCATGAGACTCACGAGTTCTCGGGTGTAATTTGACCGAAGTTCGCCTTGATAATGGCACCGTTCTTTCCACTGTTGAAGCGGCCTGGGTCAGAGCAGGTACCGAAGTACTTCCTGCCCTTTGCCTTCATCGCAGCATCGATGCTCTGAGCAGCCTGACGCTCATCGAGGAAGGCTTCGGGCTCAGCGAAAGGCGCAGCCGAAACCAGCGCGGTGGCAGACAAGATGGTGATGAGAGAAAGCTTCATGGTGAATTCGAGTTATCGAGACTGTTACTTGACTTGGAGACTGTAGAGAACGTTGGTGGCCGGATACCTCAATATTTTGTCAAGCCTCAGCCTACTTATAGCAAATTTCCATTTCCCTCGGCCCTATCCAGATATTACAGACAAGATTAGCGATGTCTCCACCCTCCCTCTCATTACGAACAATATCCATATACCATACCGACCTCGGTTCCTCCTGCACATCCAACGCCACCAGTATGGGGAAGAGTGCATTAGCTCCAGGACAATTACCTACACGCAGCAAGCTGCGGAAGATTAATCTAATGCGCCACGGTGCATGCAGGTGGTCGATCAGCCTTTACTCAAAGTGCACCCTTCGCCTCCCCAATGCAGTATAGACAACGAAACAAAGCTGTTTCACATTAATCTAAATGAAGCTTCCGGCGCCGGTTCTTGTCATCCTTAGCACCGTCCTAATGTTCTTTACAGCCAGCTTGGCACCTTTAATCGCGGTTAAATGCAATGTGCCACAACAACCGATCCCTGCATACACGCTAGGGAGTTGCGTCACGGGAACGTGGTTCTAATCCTTTGGGATCTGATATGAGTCTTGGGCGTATTGCCGGTGCCAAAAAGTGTTCACTGAGGATTTGGGTGCCTCTATTCGTGGAGAATACAGATTGATGAACGTGGGGCGGTAAGCGATTACGCGCCGTTAGGGGCACTTCATCCGCTGTGGAGTCAGATATGGGGAGCATATCCGGGGAAGGGCTAGATTGGGTGGTGCCTTCTATCCGGGGAAGAAAGGCTCTCAAGGGCTTGGTGTTGCGCTGACCTGGTACGTTCGTCGTTGTTCATCATATGCAACAACATTCATAACAGCCTCGAGTAGCATACCATGTCAGCCAATTGCATGCTGTTGTTGTGAGATGTAGTCTAATTTCAGTCTCAGGTGGCAAGATATTTGCTTATGCATGTGTGGCGAGCCTCGGTCATTTGAGGAAAAAAGCATCTTCATATTACACTACATCACGGCCAACAGCTCAAAGATGGATAGCCTCTCTGAGCTATAACTTCGAGAAAGATATGGGTCGGCTGATCAGAAGGCAAATAATACTCCCGGAAGTGTTCGTCCCATGTTGTTACTATTCTCCCTGTCCCTTTATCACCTTGCATACAACGGTTGACGTTTCCTCAACATTAAAAATCCTTTTTTTTTCACAGTGCGACAGCCCTGTATGTCGTAGGAAATCATGTTTCTGCAAGATTCGATTCCACGAGGGCGCACCGTGTAGAAATTTCAATACGAAGTATGGTTGCTGAACAACTCACGTTCTCCACGTAAGGATGTGTCTGCTCATCCGATCTCATCGATTTAAGCACAGGCACTCTTTACCGCCTAGTGGAATCTCTCATAGCGACGGAAAATCTAATCTGGGCTTTGGGACTACAATCCCAGGATAATTAGATGGCCTCTGCACCCACTCGCTTCTCTCGCATAGACCGATTGACCGACCTGTGACTCAAAGGTGTTGAGATAGCGGGTGATGATCGTTATATGCATAGCTAGTAGGCACCTTATTCTACTCATGTCCGTTTTCGAGCTCGAATTCTCGATGAAATCCAATAGGCGCAACTTCATCGAGTAGCTGTGGATGTGGGTCATTTCGAAGGTCACTTAACTCTCGAGGTCATCTCGGAATCAGTGGGCGACTCGAAATGGGTGTATGCGTGATCTACGGTGGATCCGAAAAGAACACCAAACATATACACCATGATTCCGAATCCTTAGAGTGAAAATGGCTGTCCAGGGTATCGTGAGAACCTACTCGGAGCTTGACTCGGCGTAGGTAGGCGAAAGAGCTACGCTGACCAGCTGGTACTTGTTCTGGTTCAAGATAGCGATCATGCTGCCCACTCATTATTCTCGATTTTCCCCGTAGATTTGTTCTCAGATATCGCAAGGTAGGTTGTATGATAGCCTCGCTCTGCACGGCAACGATTTTGCGCTGGAAATTATTCATGAAAGCTTCTAGTCGTCGAAGGTAGATGTTAGTGAATCTGTGATGTTCTTAGGTTAGATATCTTTTGTCTTATGACGATCTAGAATGTAGTACATGAGTATCAGTACGAAGGGGGATGGCGGATGCATTGTCGCAACGGCGCAGTACAACTAAGCCTAATGTAGCATTTCACAATCAACTTCGTAGTGAGTCTAAGATAGAGATCATCAGTCTGTGCACAATTACCAAAATTCTTCTTTACTCATTGACGGTGCCAGGACAACAGCAAGACAAAGTTTTTGAAAGATTTTGAATTCGTTATTCATTCATGATACACCTATCAAAACAGAAACCAGTAAATATCCTTGTCACCCCCATTATTAATCTATCTGCTGACTGTTAGCCTTGTCCTTGTTGCGATAATGTTGTACGTACACACATTTGTTTGTCACTCGAGATCTAAATCGAAACGCCTAACCACGGCTGCAAGTGCATCCTTTCCTCTTGGCAGGATCCACGCTTGGCCACCCCACACAGATAGCGCCTCCTGAGCATACCTGGCCGCTAACACCACAGTTGTCTTTGGCGCAGGGTCCAGAGTAGCCCTGGGGAAGAGGATCGGGCATAGCGACAGCGACGCTAGCGAGGAAGGTAGCTATGATGATAGAGAAGCGCATGTTGGCGATGTGAGGTTGAAGAGGAAATCGAATGAAGAAGTAGTTGTGGTGTCGTTGGTGGCGCTAGTGTCGTCGTGAAGTTGGGCAGCTTTATAGGAGAGAGGACGGCAGAATCTAGAAAACCCGGTGTCCGTAGTACAGTAATCACGCAGGTGTCGTATGCTGCTCCTGAATGGGCAATCGGAGGGCGTTCGATTAGAGGTGCGGTTGAATTGTAAAGTAAGACTTTGATGTGTTGTAAGCTGAGTTCGGGATGGGGCGTTTACCCTCCCTTCTTATATACTCATGTCAAACCTGAAGTGACGTGTTTAGTCTTTTGACACAATACTCAAAACATATTCACAAGACCAGAAACAGGAAATGTGGGTATTCGATCGCTGGTCGATAAGACCCTAGTAGGAAAGGTCCAAGAATGAAATGAGATGTAGGCGGGGATTGCCCTCCGCGACTCCGCTTGGGATGACGCACATCGCGTCGCTGGAGCGTGGAGTCGTATCATGGGTCACCGGAAACAGGCGTTTTGTTTGGCTGCTTGGACAGGGCAGCCCTAGATTTTGACAGTGCGGCTCTAATCCGGGACGATCTAAGGCCTTGAAGTCAATTGTCTTTGCGTGCCACGGACTTGGCTCCTTGGCTGGCAGTGGGCGGTAAGCCGATAACGTGTAGATCGTAGGCAGTGCTTGAGTAATCTGGCTATGAATATATCCACTGCGGTATTTTTCGTAACAGCCTTACGCGTTTGTCTGACGCAAAGAATGGCGATGCTCTTGGTGGGGTTCAAGGTACTGTTGATGATCTTTCCTATGGTGTTGAAGCCAGACTCGTGTGTAGATTGCCGAGAGGATCCCGGAGTCACGCAGATCCCAAGAAAGCCAAGATTATGCCTTAATTGCGATGCAACACTCAAGTGTTCTTGTAATACGTAGGTGGGTTTAGGGGGGTGCATATTGAGAGTTTGTGGATAGATGAAACTCGGTTGTGTAGACAGAGTGTACATGCGAATGTACATGCTGAGAGGCCTGGCACATCTTGGAGCATCGTCATAGCCGGCTCAGCATATGTGGGGTAGATGGCAGTGCATGCTTGGGGAGAGTAAGAATAGATGAAGAGAGGCCGACTGAACAACGAAAAGCAAGACACTGACAAGGGGGAGATGAGTGCATCCTCACGATGCTCGGTTTCGCAGGTGTAGAGTGACGGAGAGATGGTTGGTTGTCGACGATAGAGCATGTGCTTTACGCGTCGGGTAACGCGTGCCTGCCTTATCTCCGAGCTCCAGGCATCACTCGACCCCATCTTCCCCACCATCAGCCAACAGCATCACGAACACCTACATGTCCACTCCACAAGTGCAAGTGCAGTATGACGAACAACAACGACAATAATCGACGCGATCACACCCGACCCGAAGACAACCCCTTCATCGCCTTCCGCCGTTTCGCCGATTCCCAGGTCTCGTCGCTCCTCAACACCGTCTTCACGCTTCCCGCCACCATCGCGAACTACAACAACGCGCATCACGCCCGCGAGCAGTGTCTTTTTGGCAAGGCCGACGAACGGCAGTGTGCCAAGCTTCGCGACATTGAAGCTGACATTGCCGAGCTGCGAAATGAAAGCCGAGAGTTGTTCAGGATTGGCCATGTCCAGGCTGTGTTGCGCAATAGTGAAACCCTCATGAAGCTCGATCGCAAAGCCGACGAGATAAGAAAAGAGATACTTGGCGATGTAACAAAGAGCGATGAGCTGCAGACCGCGCGACAGAACGATGCTGGCCTCGTCGAAAGGGTGGCCAACGAGAAGGGTCAGGAGTGGGGATGGTCGTGGGACTGGGGCTTTCCTCGACCGTTCGACAACGAAAACAGGGGCTCGTCGGCAGCCTCTGACGAAGATGGGGCTAGGGAGTGGATGCAATTAGAAACATTGCTGCGGATGCAGGCAGAAGCGAGAAGATTGGCCGAGGAGTTCAAGGACAAGGCTTGGGACGATCCTGTGACAGACGTCGCAAAGTTCGACAACTACAACGAATCTCGCCCAGAAGACGGAAAGCCCCAGGTGTGGACATGGTCCAAATCCTGGCAATGGCCGCCGCCAGCAGATGCATCGCAGATCGATGACGCTGCCTATTCTCCGCGCACACTCGAGCAGAACCGCGACATGGACAAGGCCGGCGTGCCTTGGCAAGCGGCCTACGAAGATCTTCTACGAGCCGAACAGGCCGAATCTCCACACTGTATGAGGGGCAGCGAATGGAGAGCCTGGGGAAGGAAGAGGACCCCACTGTTACAAGAGCGCAAGGAGACGTTCCAGGACAAATCAAAGACCAGTCATCCTAGCGTGGTGGATGACGATACATCGGACAACTACTGGGTTCATGGCAAGATTCCCATCACGCAACGCCAGCTGGAAGAAACCATGGATCGCGATGAGGAGCCAAGCTGCCCTCACCTTGCAACGAGCGACGAGCCGAGCTACGAATACAGCCACGATCATGAAGACCAGCACGATGATCTTCCCACGCCGAAGCAGGACCGGTTCCCCTACGCCGACACTGTCAGGCGTGACACATACAATACTGTTTTGCACGCAGCACACGAAAGGGATGAGGAAGCAGAGACTGAGATGGATGTGTACGAGCGTATGGACGCTGTGTCGCGAGGCCCAGCCTCAGCACCCGGGCCCACTTCGGTATCATCTGCGATCGCTGAGCAGATGAACGAGGCGAAGCCTTCAATTCTTTCCACGCTTACGACGACCGAGCGAACTGTCGCGTCTGACGGCTCCATAACAACCAAAGTGGTACTAAAGAAGCGGTTCGCGGATGGACGAGAAGAAAGCTCAGAGACTGTACACACCCAGCGCGGCCAAGGAAATGATCAAACGCCACGCGATCCTTGGAAGGCGTTCCACGATACGCAATTGGTACAGGCCGAGCCAAAGAATGGAGAAAAGAAGAAGGGCAGCGGCTGGTTCTGGTCCAACTAGCTTGACCATGCTGATACATGATCTCCGCAGGTACATCTGAAGCTAGAATGCATCTCAAGGTGATGGCGACACGATTTTTCTGGCTTGAACACGTTGCTCACAAGCTTCGCTCGTTCTTTTTGTTGATCTTCAAGGCCATGTTTGCATGTTTGGAAATTTTTGGAAACATAGCTGCGCATACCCCTCTCAATCAAATACAGCCTTCCTTTCTCGTAAAGACGACGCCTTATTCATGTGCACTGACTCCAACCTGACAACAGGACGTTTGACAGATCTCGCTTGTCAAGGCTCTCAATCTCGATCTCGATAGCTGGAACAAGAATAGAGTTTTATAGAATTCATCATTAAAGTCAAGAGACAATTATCAAGGCGAGATGGCTATCGTTACTGGATCAGACACCATCCTACTATGTTGCGACACCGCAACGCTCTTACTCCTCTCCTTTACACTCATCGTATCAGGAATGATGGTGTTCGCCCTAGAGATTCCGTCATCCCATCCATCCCCGCCTTGATCCGTCTTCTCTAGGCCCCATACACCATCCGCAATCGCCCTTGCTTTGTACTTGATGATCAAGCCCACGGTGACAGGTCCAAAGATCGTGTTGAGCACAATGGCCCATACGGCGGTGATGAAGGCTTCCTTCGACAGGTAGGGCGTGTTATTGAGGCCGATCTGCACAACAAGTAGGCCGATTTCGCCGCGCGCTACCATTGCAGAACCAAGGAGCATGGCTGGCCAGAAGGTGGATGTGAAACATTCCCGGATCGACATGCCAGGTGGTCTGCGCAGGATAGTAGCGAAAGGTATGACAAGGCCGACAACGACTTTGGAGATCAACATAAGCAGGGTGTAGACAAAGCCTTTCCAGAATGCCTCCGCGGCCCAAAGATCGAGAAACGGGATGGCAAACCCGATGGAGGCGAAGAAGAGAGGTTGTAAAAGGTACTTCACCACGTCGAGGAAGTACTTCTCGAATGTGTGCATGAATGTAGGGCAAATTGCGGGTTCGCCTGCATCGTCGTATTCGGTGGCCTCGGCGATAGAGCGAGCTTCTGCCTCTTCTGCCTCTTCGCGGGAAGGTGGATGGAAAGGGCCAGTTGGGTGCTTGGATGGGAGGTATGTGAGGAATGCTCCAGCCATGAAGGATCCGTAGAGAACTGAGGTCCCGCCAAAGCCAGTAATGCTAACAAAAGCACACAGAACAAAGATCATGACGATCACGTTAACGACATGACGCTTGCGTGTCTTTGGAAGATGCGGCTCGACGAATTTTCGGTATAGAGGTGCTATCACCCATTTGTTGAGGATTGGAGTGAGTATGGCCAGAAGGCCGGATACTAGTGTAGGGCGTCCGATAAGCCAGCCTAGATTGGGAGAATCCTCACCTCCTAGGGCTCCTAGTTGACCGATTACGCTGATAGGTGTTAATGGCCTAGTAGTATTGCCGAGTATTGGGTATCTTACCTGGCCATGACCAATCCAGATACATCATCGAATACAGCTGCACTGACTAGAACAGTACCAACTCGGGTATCCGCAAAGCTGATCTCCTTGGAACTTTTTCCCAGCACCACGAATGTTGTTCCAAGAGAAGTGACTGAGAGCGCAGCGCCCACGATAAAAGTTTCGATTGCGCCGTAGCCGAAACCGACATACAACAGAGCATATGTAAGTCCGATTGGAGCAACGACCCCTATTGTCGCAGCGATAGCAGACAGCCCAAAGTTCGCTTTGAGCAGATCCAGCCGCACGGCCAGTGCGCCCTCAAAGATAATGAGAACAAGACCAATATATCCGAGAGCAATGAAGGCCTCCTGCCACGCGATTGGTATGATCTCACCACCGATGGGAAGTCCATAGATCAGACCGACTATGATCTGCCCTATGAGACCGGCGCGGAATACACGGTTGGAAAGCCACTCGCCAAAGGAAAGCCAAAAGAAGAACGACACGAGGACGAGAATTTGAATAACTAGTACGTGTCAGTATATGCTGCACCGCTTGAAATCCTGAAAAGCTCACTGTTCGGCTCATGATACTGCAAAAAGCCTTCTGTCGTTGGAGGAGAAGTGTCGCCTGCCATGATTGTGATTTGTCTTAGTTGGGTAATGTTGCGAAGTCCGCTTGCCTATCCCAGGCTTTGCATGGCTTCCTTTGCATCTTTAAACAAGTCTGCAGTCGCCTTATCATGCCGATCTAACACATGTTTCGCATCTCATAGTCTGAGGTCTTGAAGATACATGTGGCGGCCAGCCAAGCAACTGCGCGGATGCGGGCCCTTTATCTGGGCTGAGGCAACAGAAACTCGCACATGCGAGCGAGTCAGTGACATCTCGACTCTCAGCCTCAAAGATGCCTGCTCGCTACGGGTTTCTTCTCTTATCTGTCGGAGTATGAGGCTATACCTGTGATGGGCGGCAACTTGGCGTTTCCGCTCCGCGCTTGGCTTGACCATGAAACCACATCTCCGCCTTTAGTCTAAACAGCAATTGTCGGAGGCGAATACCAAGTGTTGGGAAGTGGGTCAAATTCGGTTGTGACGGATGTGTTCTGAGTCAGTCGTGGGGAAGATTGGGGATGTTCGACGTTAGGATTACTCATGTCTCCTGTCACTTTACCAAATCCCAGGGTCCCGCCTGGCCTCATCGAACTTTTTTGTTCAGGAAAGTCATATCCTGTCTAGTAAGACAACCTTTGGAACACCTGAGAGCGCTAGGCGTGCCAATCTTGTCGCTAGTTACATGATACGTTGAATGCCCGGATGGTGTTCTTATTGTACGATGCATGTCTACAGGTTATCGGTAAGACTCAGGGTAGAAAGGGATGGTTGAGAAACAAATGATCGTTGTTTAAGAGGGTAGCTATGGCGTCGCATGGTATGAGGTTGAAGGTAGGTGGGATGTGTCGCGTCCTGACATCTGAGCGACTTAGAGCCAGAGCTCTAGCCTTAGTCGATCTAAACAACCAGATGATGCAATGGTCCAGATACGAGGACAATGGCATAGCACGAGATTAACGATGCCGATGACGTGTGCCTAAGTCAGCGGAGAGGGCTGAGAACATCCCCAAGACGCGACGCGACGCGACGTAGCGCCAGAAGGCTAGTCCGCAATCGGCAGAACGTGCCTCCAAGTTCTCGACCACTCCAACCCCAGACCTTACAGGAGTCTTTTGCATCAGCCTATATATATGCTCCTCTACTCTACGCCACCGTGTTCATCTAATTTTCATGCCATGTCGCGCGTTGCAAGAGCGAACAGAAGCGCCGGCCGTCAGTCTCCGCCTTCTGCATCGCTGTGCCACAATCTAATCCTGGACCCAAAACAAAAGGCTCAACGTGTCAAAGTAGGCCACTGAGATTATCACATTCACGAGATACTCTGGAGATCAGCTCAGCTCTCTCTGCGAATACCCTGACGTGTTTTGAAATCTTCTTCACTCTCGTTACGCAAGCAAGCAAGCACCATGTGTAGACTACGATGCCATTACCAAGAAAGGTAGCATACTCTCGCTTTGGTAGCCAACAAATATCTTCGTATCTTGTTAGAGAGCTCGTCGTGCGCTATCCCCCAAAAGAAGATGTGCGGCTTTGAAGTTCTCAACAGCATTCTTCAACCATCTCCTGCTATCAACTGTCCTCACAAAGTGTGAACGAAGAACTTCGTCCACGAGTGCATGGTCTGATGCTAGCACCCAACCGTAGTGTGTACCGATCTGCTGAATCTGCCTTTGCATATTTGCGGCTATCTTCGACATGCGTGCACCTGCAATCTGTCCTTCTCTTGTACCTGGAGTGGCTTGCATGAATTGGCTACAGAGTAGGTTGAGTTTCTCAAGACAGCTTAAAATCTTGCCTTTTAGCTCGCTGATTGTTTCAATGAGGTCCTCGAATTCTGAACCGGACGCCCCGCATCGCTCACGACTTAGGGTTTTGTGTCGCACTGTTGTTTCCAGATGTAGTCGCATATGATATCTCGCTTATTAGACTGGGTATACTAGGCGTGGAAGGGGGCTCTGAAGATATGCTTAACCTTTTGCTATCATTGTGTGATGTCGAAAACAGTTACATCGCCTATTTCAATTTGCCCCATCGTTACATATCTTGCTTGCTTCACTTGCTGCAAAGGTGATGGTAAATGATATGGTAATTAGGGTTAGATACAAACAATGTCGTATATTCCCTGCCAAATCTTCGAAGCTGAAAGAATTACTTTACTTGCCAACGCAATCAGATACTCGTCGATCCTCTAGTGTTCCTAGCAAGTAGTCTAACCGCTTCGTTCTTGTTCTCTCCAATTTTGTCCAGTTCCTGTGTCCCCTGATCTTCTCAGTGAACTGTGAAGCAGATACAGATTACCAGCGCTGTTTCGATAGCGAGATGTGACTATATCGTGTTGTTCGGTGCGCTGATAGCCACACAGGAGCTGTGACCTCAGACTCTACAGTGTGACAGGCCTAGCATCGAGTCAGACCGTACGGCGGCTTTGGTACATAATCTGCAACACATGACAAGAACAAAGACATGCCTTCTTCACCGATGCCCTAGCTTCTCAACCCTTATCAAGCACGAGCGCGGTGTGAAGTTTCTTTTGTGCCGCCGAACCACATTCCTCTAGAGCGATGCGTATCTCTACAAAGTAACGCGTGCTCCTACCTGAAACAACAAACAACCATCATTTCTACCATCATGTCTACTCCGTACTCAACACCTCGATTAACGCTCTTTTCGACCACCTTTTGGGAAGTTCTTCCCTCACATTACGACAAGATTATAACACGCTGGTCTAAGATTGCACACCTGCATCACGAAGCAAAGTCCGACATATTAGCCACCGACCGCGCTGGTGCAGTGACATCCCTCAAAGCGGAGTTAGAGATGCTGGATTTGGATGTGGAGGAGTACCGAAAGCTCGTGAACGGTGTCGATATTACTGATATTGCAGGCGTATACGTCGTGGGTGGCAGGCCGCGACATCGCGCTTTGGAGATTGCGAAGGAGGACAAGAAGGATCTGGAAGAAAGCTTGAGCCTGGTGGAGGAGCATGTGAAGGAAATTAGGGCCGATATTGCGTACGGATTTGAAGAGATGGAGCAGCCTTGATTTCTTTTCCCAACTAGACATCTCCAGCACTTTTACATCACTTTTGCGTTTTCGAATAATCTTCAAACCAAGCTCTGTGTCTGCAGTGTCGAAACCCCCTGGGCAGTGTGAAGCCGACCGTACGTGATTTGAATTGAGCTATCGACTCAACGATGAAAATGAACAACGTGACTCACATCGATCGCCATGACTTAGTGTGACGGCCCTGCACTGTACAACTAGGAAGGTGACCATCTACTGGAGACATCGAGAGTATTCTCTTCCTTCAAGATGTGCTGCATATAAGAAGGATCGTGGGAACAAATCTGCGCGGTATCGTCATAACCACACGAACTAGCAAAATGAGCACAATGAGCACCGTGCATGTCCTTCAGTGTCACCATACCAATGATCTTACTCCCCTCTTAACAGAACTCGAGGATCGAGCCGACTGCGTTTTGACAAGGCTGTACCTGCTCTGGCAGCTAGACGAAGAGTTTGCGGAAATCGAGAAAAGCCTGCAGCAGCAAGATTACATCAATCTCATTCGTTCCATAACCGGGAAAATGGAGGCAGATCTGGAAGTTATTCGACAAAAGAACGAGTTACTAAACAATGGCCAATTATCCGACTGGATTGACAACGGTACAGATGAGGCAGAGAAGTCAAGGAAACAAGAGCATGTTACGAGACTGATGAAGAAGATGGACGGGTTGCAGAAACAGATGGCGGAAGCGAAGAGAGGATATCTCGGCTAGAGGGCAGTAGCGGGAGCCCAAATCTTGTGATGCTGTGAACGCCGAAAGAGACCGGAGCCTGTTAAGAATGCGGCCCCCAGATCCAATGAGCTTTTGGTATCCGTTGACAATGTTCACGTTGTATTGCAGCAGATTCTAATCGAAAGAGCATGCCCACTCGACAGCCTCAGGCAGATGCGCCGTGTTCGGGATGTTGCTGCTTTCTCGGAACTCAACTATCTTCCTCTTCCCTTGCTCTTCTTTGACCACGGCAAATGCTGCATTGGTGAAGTACAGATCGCGCTGGACACGAGTCTGGAACCCCCCCGCCCAGCCAATCATGTAGACGAAGCCGCCCTTGTCGCCATTCATGTTGGGTATGCCAAGGCTATTGATAAAACCGTGCTTGAAGGGTGCGAATGCTACGCCGAGAGTTGCGTTGAAAGTCGTGTAGAGTCTGAGGGAGCCATCGAAGTCGTAATGCGTGTCGTTGAATGTAAATCTGATGTCTTTTGAGAACGATGTAGCATGGCCTTTAGGCCAATCCGTGTTCGCAGGATACGGGTAGAAGCCTATTTTTCCCGGAGTCAGCATATTCGAGAAAACGATCTGGTGTTGTGTATACATACCGTTGACCGCGCATTCTAGCCAACTACTGAGCTGGACGCTTGCATTTGCCGCTGGCGAATCGACCAATGAGCAAGGATCGACAGGTGCCTCAGTCAGGATATTAGGTGTATTTGAATCGAGCATATCCTGCGGTGATACATTGAACGATGTGCCGGATGTAATGAGGCCACACAGGGTGACTTTGAGCATGTTAGTCAAGATCAAAGGTACGGCTGCACATCGCCCTCACCAGCAAACGAAAGGTAGCGCATGGCGATTGTTCAAAGACAAAAGACACAGTGAGGAAAGGATACTTCGCACAAGGTCAGCACTCCTGCGCTTCTGTCTTATAGTTGGACGGGCCATGTCGCTGCCTGCAGCTGAGGCTGACGAGGCTGACGCGCTGGTATCTCGATCAGTGTAACATTAGCACAAGACAGGCAGGTGGCCAGGATGATGACCAGCTTGGGGCTGAACGCTCGTTCGCCTGCTTGCGATACAGGTACCAATTATAGCATGAGAGTCGAGCATCGTGGGCTTCGGGAATGCAGGTCGGAGTTGTCGATTAGTGTCAGCTACGCAATTACCCCGGAAGCTGCCTTCCGGGCCGATGCGCACCGCGTCAGTCTCGCGCTGCCGTCGCGATCCAAATCTCTTTCTACGCACCGCGCCCAAAGAAAGAACTCTTCCCAAATAGTCCACCCATCCCTCGTGGCCTCTTGCCCACATCTGCCATAGTTCTCTTATTGACCACCGCGAAGCTGCTTGTCCTCATAACCTTCCCGTTCGGATCTGAGTTGAATGCGCCACTTGAGGGCGCAGCGCCTATTGGCGTCGGTGGCACGTTCGACATCTCAACAGCCTCTCTTTCTGCCCCAGACATCTCGGCTATCTGAGCATGCTGCGATATCTGTGCAGGCAGCCACTCTACCCTGATTGACTCATCACGACTAAGTTTCTGGTCATTGAACCACAGCTCAAAACGGATGTCTGCGGGTCCGATCAAGACGCGCACCGAGTACTCGATACGCAAGTAGTGCTTCTGTAACGACCAGAAGTGCTTGTTCCTTTCTTGGAACTTCCTTTCGTCTGCAGCAGAGAGATCTGAACTGATCTCGCATAGAATGCGCGTGTCTATAAGAGCTGTTAGCAATCTGCACGACCGGAGTGGATACAATTCTGCATGCATACATTGGTTCATTTGATCTGGTAGCATCGCCGCCTCCAGATCACTCTCGACGACAGTCGTTGGAAATGCCCTTCTCGGGTCGCCTGGATCGACCTTCTTGATGAAGTTGTGCTCGATCGGTTTGTCGACACTCACCGGCGCGCCCTTCTTGACGAACCATGCTATCGACTGCGTAATGTACAGCTTGTTGTTCAATGGATCTCGGACAAGTGCCTTCCCTTGATGCTCAGGGTTCTTCTTGTCATATGCAATCTTGCATACCGTACCGTATGAAGCGCGACAGCAACGCCATCCAAGAACCGACCGTGATGTCAGAATCTTTCGCATACGATCGCTGACCAGACCTTTACACACAGCAAGCTGAGGGTCAGGCGCTATGCTTACGGAGATTGACTCGGCGTTTGGGAATGAGGTGCGTGCATAGTACTTTCGGAGTTGCGACTGCACATACGCGCTATTGCCCAAACCGCCACTGAGGACAAGATGTGCTACATGCTCCCTTGGGAACTTTTGGAATAGCGATTGCAGCTGCGTATCGATCAGCTTGAACAACTTCGCGATCTGCTTATCGAACAACCGCTGGAGATCACCCCTTTCAAACGTCATTTCTCCGCTGCGGATCCGAACCTCCGGATCAGAGTTGTTGTACGTGTGAGGAACGCGTGGAATACCTATGCTGAACAGCGGGGTATCGTCTGGAGCACCGTATTCGCACTTGACTGCTTGAAAGTCCCGACTCTTCATCATTTCCCATCCGGCATCTGCAGGGTCGACAGGCAGAGGATTTGTGCTGTGTGCGAGCGTCAAGCGATGCATTACCAGCCTCTCGAACTCGTAATCGATCGCAGCAGAGCCGATGGTCTCTCCGAACACGACATCCATTTGCTGAAGGTCAATAGCTTGATTAACTGTGCCAGTGACCTTCAGCACACTGAGATCCGTGGTCCCACCTCCAGCGTCACAGACTAGCAAGACGTCGTTCTCACGGAAGATGCCTGGTGCTTCAGTGGATACATGCACAGCGGCGGCCTCGGCCTCCGTCAAGCCTATGTTCACATCGTGATTTGGATGCGTACCGTAGCCCGCCTCTTTGACAAGCCGCTTGAAATTCTCAACAGTCGGTATTGGAGCCCAAGTTGTGGGCACGCTGAAAATGAACTCGATTCTGGCCTCTTCCCAGCTAACGCCAGAAAGCTCTCCGCCTAGTTTGAAAGAAAGGTACTCGTACATCTTCCGCAAGTAGTCGCTGTACCATTTCTCGACTTCCTCCAAGCTTTCAGGCGCGCCTTCTGGATCCTCCAGTTGCTTACGGCGCAGCTTCTCTGGATCGAGGCAGGTCTTGAACCACTCTTTGTATTCCTTGTCGTCTGCAGCGGTCTCCGCAGCGGTCTCGGAAAGGAAGCCCCATGACGACGGGTCTTTGAAGCCAGTTGGGTAGACTACTACTGTCGGAACTTTGTTCTCGTTTGCTTGGAATCGACCAGGCCACTTCTGCACCCAACGAACAGTCTCGCTGCCGATGGAGAGGTTCACATATGCCACGCCGGTACCTGGATACACGTCTGCGTCAGTCTTCAATCCGCGTAGCAAACACCACGTGATCCAACAATATACGCTTAGCCGATTTGAGATCTGGCCCCCACGCACGCCCTCCGCTTCAGCTGAACCCAGCCTCATCAACACTTACATGTCATCCCCAGATCTACTCCTACAATCATGTGCGGTCGCTCACTTCGCTCCATCTTGTCTCGTTGTCGGTGACACTGTCTCCGTTGCTGCCTTCTCGCCTGATCATGTATCTATAGGATGCGGGAGCCATGCAGGTGCCTTCGGGTAGCCCCTGTGTCTCAGCCTTGCGGCACAGCGTCTTTGGACCGATCACAGCTGGGCGCCATTTCAGCCCCCGCATGTTCTGGTGTTAAGATTATGCGGTTCCAAAGTGCGCCTTGTGACTAATCGTCTGTGATAGGTAAGGATTATCATTGATGTACCCTGTCGGTCTGGTTAAGCTACCGCCCCAAAGACGGAGATTCACAGCCTCTTGTACGACCCAGTATCCACAATTTTGCACAAAGAGGGTGGCCTGACAGCTCTTTCTGGCTTTCTAGCTGCATAGGACACCGGTCAGTTCAGTACACAAAGTTTGATTCCTAAACCCCATTAAAGCCTATCTCTATTATGGGGTCTAAGCTGATCAGGTTCCGCACGGCCTGATCCTCATATGTTACCTCACATCTCCCTCAGGTCAGCACTTTTGTGTGTATTCGTTTCAACCTCAGCGAGACTCTGTGGTGACACTATACACTGATACATCTCTGTACCGTCGATATCGTTGCCCACAGTCAGAGATGTCGACCACAGCTAACCTACCGTACACTGAGATCCCTCAGGGCGTAGCAAATCCAACAACTACAGTCATTAAATACGATGGAAACCTTGTTGGGACAGCAACGGTGCAACCAGCATCTAAAGGTCTCACATTACCTCAAGAACCTCCGGCAGAACCTCTTTATTTGGGATATGGAGGTTCAGTAACATGGAACAAATATGTATTGTCACTCGAGACAGCCAATCCACCCGCACTAGCACAACTCCTTGTATACCCAGATCCGAAGAACGTTGGGGCTACCAACACACCAGATCCTCAACAGCCGGCACCAACAAACAATGCCGCAACCCCGAACTCCACACCCACTCCATCTCAGAGTTCTGGTAGCGTCTTGAATACCGCATCTTCTGTCCAGCCGACTGTTACATCACAGCCTAGCGCAAAGAACAGTTCAGACGGACTTGGTGCAGGAGTTGTCGCTGGGGTAGCTGTAGGGTGCCTTGCCGCCGGCGCTCTCATCGCGGGTCTAGTTCTCTGGTTCTGCTGGCGCAGAAAGAGGGTGTCAAAAGCTCAATATTCGCAAGCGGATACGTACGCATCAGCTTCGCATGAGAAAGGATTTTCGACAAATACGATACCCTTGACCGGGCAACGACATGCAGCAACTCTTGGACGTGGACTTCCTCAGCCGCTAGAGGATAAAGCAATCTCTGGCGATGTTTCAAAGATCAGCAACGCTATTAAGAATCATGTCCAAAGCTATTATCATACTAGCCAGGTCAATCCTGGTCTCATCGACTATGATGACCTTCAGGCACTTGGATCCAATTTATCAATCTCGGTGGGAACGCTCACTACATTGTTGGGAAATGCTGCCACTAGGGAGATTGCTTTGAGGTTCATCATCGCTTGGGTGGTCATTTCAAAGGTCCAGCCTTCCAAAGACCCTTCAAAGACCCTTCTGCCATCTGAAGTCGCCGATTGTTACCAAGCAATTTCAGCCGGAGATCGCAGTTTTCAAGGTATGTAATAGATTGTCTTTCATATCCAACCACTAACTTTCTTGTAGATCAAGCGTCGTTGACGGCACGCTGGCGGGTAATGACTGCGGAGTTGATGCAGTCCAGCTACGTTCGCAATCCCTTCAGTCCTTCCGACAGTCGACATGCAAGTATACAAGCAACTCTTGCGACATTGGATAATGTACTGCAGCCATACGCCGACACTCGTATGAACAATGGAGAGCGTAAGCGAAATCTCGAAGAACTTCTGAAACGGGCTGCACTTTTTGCCTTCACGCTGTTCTCTCAGCCCAGCGCATGGGAATTCGAGTGGCAAGATGAACAAGGTGTCACTTCAGGGGAGTTATGCATTTTCCCCGCTCTTGTGCAAGTGGCAGACGAGACCGGCCAATCAGTCAACCCGCCACGACCGTTCAGCGAGGCTGTAGTCAGACGGTTGGATGCTTGAGATGTTGGTCTACGCAAGGAGACTCTCGTGGACGATATGTCTCATAGGTAGAGCCTGTCCGAACCTCACAGCGATGCGAACTTTCGTCTGTTCACCGTGCCGGGACTTATTGGAACCTCAGTGCTATCGGCCACCATAATTATGAATCTGATAACTGCTGTGCTTGCGGCTTTAACTTGCTTACGAGGCAGCAAAGGCCATTGCGCTATGTCTTTTCACAACAGCTCAAGCGGCTTTCGCCATCCTTCGGGTTCAACGTCTTACGTGCAATAGCTGACCGAAGGGGTGATCTCGCATTGGATTCCCGCAATTGCGCTTCTCAAGTCTCCGCATGGGGGCTACTCTTGATTGCATTTTGGCCCCCATTGAGGCTGAGTCCAGCCATTCGGAATAAGCAATAGATATCCTTGCGGCGTAGCCCAATAGCGAGGTTTGGGCCGAGAATCAATACCCTGTAGGTAATTTACACCAACTCCGGCGACTCGCTTCGCGCATAACGCAGTGCGGCGTAAGACAACAACGCTGCATGACTCTGTGACACCAACACTCGCGCCTGAGTTGTTGATCTCCGCCCCCAACCACCACTTTGTCGTTGCGCCTGAGCCGCCTTGATCGACTGGTAGTCATTCCACGTTTGAGCAGGTATTCTGATCGGACAGGCCGACGCACGAAACTGGACCAAAAGTGCTCAGAACCAATTGTATACATCTTGAGCTCGGAAGCACCAACGACTGCGTCACTGTCTGCGGGGTTCGTGCTTCGGTACCTGGCGCACGTCTGCTACTATTGCTTAGACTATGCGCGCTTCCAGCTACTCTCAAGATCTTTACAGCTATAGTGCGCTCAGCTCAAAGTAATACGAACGAGACTTATGCCAACATTGGCTTCGATGTTGCCCACAGCTGGCTTGTTCCTACCGGAAACACTGCATCGGGCTGATCTCCCCACTTCAGCGCCTACGGAAACTGACGGAACGAGGCTGAGGTACTTTCAACGCAAGATCGGGCGGCCGAAGCTGGAGCCCAGCAGCTCTGAAGACCTTCGACCATCAACTGCCATTCCGAGAGACACCCCAGACGATGTATCGCGCGACTTTCCAGCAATTCCGACTACATATTACTTCGCCGATTATGTTCTTTCTTCTGAGAAGGCTTCAACAGAGACTATTGCTTTCGTGAGTATCATCCAACAAGTACGACAAGATATCGAGGAAGCGACACGCCTTTCTATCTCATCGGCGGTCTCAAACTTTCTGGATGCTTACCCAAGCAAGCGAAGATGGATCGAGGATTCCTTGCTCGAAGTGCGGCGTGCTCTCAATGACATTGGCATGGATATGGACACAGCCTGGGGCCATGAAGGAGATGGAGGCACAGTTGCATCGAAGCGCAAGCTTGAGTGGGGTCTGAAGAATCAGAAGAGGCTTCTAAAAAAGAAGCAACAACTAGATCGATGTCATACCCAGTTGACGGGCGCTATTTACGTTATGCAGACCGCAGAGCTGTGCGGTAAACCTGGGTCCATCGCGCAAGATCCCATTTTCGAGGCTCCTGTGCGACCGTGGGTACCTTACGATGAGAAGGATGCGCTACGTGGACCTTATTCGAGGCAAAAGAACCGGACAGCGAGTCACACTAGCTTGTTTGCGTCAAACGTCACTCTGGCATCCGAAGCCGAAAAGCACGACGTTGAGAGTGAGTATCACACGTGTTGAGGAAAGCAACTCTCGACTGACTATATACAGCCAGTAGTGTCAACTCAGTGCCAGTGGAGTTGGCGGGTAGCACGCCGGCTGACTTGGACCTGGTGGAAAGTCGGAACTCACAGACCTTCCTAAGCCCCCGTGTGTCTCGCGAGTCGCAAATCGAAACTCCAGCGTTGCATAGAAGGCCGCGAGCACGTACAGACTACAATCGGCAGTCCAAACCTCGAGAATCAAGATCTCGTACCTCCATCGATATCGCTATCTCTTCTTCGAAGGATGCTAATACATCAATTGAGCGCAACGATTCTACTCTGTCCACCCAAGCAACAGTCGGCGTGCCCATGGTAGCGAGACGATACCGAGCAACTTCAATCGACATACAAAGACATGGTGAGAAGCACAGGTCGTTGCCGTCGGAACTTCCGTATCTAAAGAGCCAACCGTCACTTATTGATGATTTAGCGGGTTATGTGCTACCCAGTGCAGCAAGCGACAAGTTGCCGAGTAGAGAATGGACAGCTTCGCCTACGCTGTCGGTTCCATCCATTTCCTTGACTTCGAGCCCGACAATCGGTCACACATTACCCGTAGTTCCCGAAACTACATCAACGGCAGATACTGTGACAAGTAGTCTGTCAAATCTTGCAATCGAAGCGGCTGAGGCGCAACTTCCCTTCAGGCAGCTGATTCCAAGCAGTACAGGGCCCATCCAATATCCACAGCATGAGCGCCGAGACAAGGACACGCTTCCAGCGTGTATAGATGGTTCTAGCTCGCGAAGAACCAGCTCGGACTCTGCTGAACATGCGACGACACCGTCATCTTACTATGCAACCTCGCTGCATACGCTACGTTCACCCAGCTCTCTTGTCAATGTTACGATATTTACCGATGATGAACCCGTCCGTCGACCGAGTAGTCAGCGGCCGTCGCAACGTATGTCAAAGAGAATGTCGCAAACTTCGAGCAGCAGATCAGCCAACGCGGCGCCGTCACCCACGATTACCACCGTTGCTGAAACCCTGACAGCACCTGTCCACTCGGAAGAGGTAACTCATCAGGATGGTACATCACCTGCTGTTGCGCCCCTACCATCGCCCCGGATGATCACGGAAGATGCCTCTCAACCTACATCAGTCAACCCAGCGGAGATACCAGAACAGCTAAACGATGACGATGCTATGCTCTCAGTCCTCCAAAAACGATTATGCAGCTACAAGCCTGTCAAAACAATGGCAGAGGATCTGGTGCGACAAGCCTCAGCTACTGAAGCAACACACCAAGTAGTCGATACGGAGCAGCCAATACTCTCGCCTCCCGTATGGCAGAAACACCCGACTTCGACCTCGAAGCCAGACTTGCAAGTAGATAGCATACCTCCTACATCACCCACTTCTGTGCAAGTAGCGGCCTCTCCAGTACCCTCAAATGGAAGTCAAAATGGCGATGGAGAGAAAAAGCCCATGTCAGCGCAAGCTAAGCGACGAGCTGCGCACGCACGAAGGATGCAACTCGCTTTTGGTGACGGATCGACGGCTTGAGAACATCTGCGGAAACGATATATGTGTATCTAAATCCATAATGCTAATGAATCATTCTCACACATCCACCGTATAACAGAGAGTGGTTCTTCTTAGCTTGTGTCATCTTCTAACATCAAGCGCAGGTGTAGAACATGCTGACAAAACCCGAGATGAAAGGGCATATCGTTCATCACGCATCACCAATCAGTCAATAATAAGACTCGAGGATAGAGAATACCGTTCAATTCGTGGAGGCCCCTTGATACGACCATCTGGTATTCTTGTGGGAACCGTACCGATTCTCTCAAGCCAGCTAGACACATTTACAAACAAGTTAATCCATAACAATAGTCTAACTAGCCATCTCTCCTGACCTCAACGTCCACCACCTAGGATCCGAAGTCTCCACATCGTAGAGCAGATGGTAAGAACGTATTCTGGATACGATGGACAGACACGAGATGGTCGGTCTATACTTCAATGCCACGGTAGATAGTCTGGGCTGAATGTATGGGTGTGGTGGTGTCTGAAAATGCGGTGCTGGTCGTCTTCGTTCGGATGGCAGGAGGCGGCGGAGTTTGCGTATTGCCATAGGGTTTGACGTTGGTCTTCTCCTGTGTAGCGAGGGCGGCGCCGGCGAAGACGGCGAGGGCAACGGTGACAACAGAGATGAGTTGCATCTTGACGGGTGGATTGCTGCTGGGCTGGGGGGCTGACGAGGATGTAAGAATGTACGTTTCTTGGTAAGGTCTAAGAGGACATTAGGTGTTTTTGCTATCGTGAATACAGGTTGAGATATAAAGACACACGAACAAAAGTGCTAAGAGTAATGGAAATACGTACTCGAAGTGCCGATCAGAAAATTCTTGTAGAAGTGATTGTAGTGGATTTAGACTGAGACTTTATACTCTCGACATGCTTCCCCCCTCTACCATACTTGGGGCATACATGATCATGATATCACGGAAAACATATGCGGTATCTGGATGGCCAGGGGCTAAGGATAGGTTGATAGGTTGAATGAAGATATTGAGGCAGGGTCCATACATCATGCAAAGCCCCACAACTCAACACCATGGTACTACGAGATCCATGAGGGGAGGCCAAGCATAAGAGGAGCCGGTGCGCGATCATTATCTGCAGGTTACTCGCAGATCTCTGTTTCCGTCACTAAGTGATCCATCTCAATACTTTTGCACCAAAGCATTACTGAAACTGCATCTTGTACCATCGGCCTCTACATCATACTGACTTCATGAGTGTGGTCTATATATGACCGCAGCCTTGCATGTATGTTGCCGTTTCGTTCGCTGGTGGACTCACTGGCTCATATGATGTGGTTCCCACCCATTGCAACCAGCCGTGCTGTGGTGATCTGTAATCAGCGAGTTACTTACAAAGTTCAACAATTTATATGTTTTGTCTGCAACAAGAGGCTCCGTTTGAGCAACAAGGCCATCATAAACAATCCACCTGCATCATAAGCAGAAATTTGTAGCATATGATACATATACCAATGCTTCACTGTGGCCTGAGAAGAAGTCGTGGTCTCAACAGATAGAGCATCACCCTACAAGTACATCATTGCCATTTCAAAAGGTCGCCTTGTCGAATTGGCCAAGCAACTCAATCCGCTGCCACAAAAAAGCACACAGAGACTTGGTATGCGAGCGACCCATAGACATGCGCGACAGTAATTTGCGCCTGGAATGGATGTGTGATCTATTGATGAAGTATTGACGATTTAGATTCCACTCTCTATCTGGCAGAAGGTTACGTTGTAGTTACCATTGTGAGCGACAAGCGTAATATCTCCGACGTGCCTCGTGTTTCGTACACTAGCGGTGCTACACATGATCATGGGAGACCAAATTCTGAAGTTAAAAATTCGCGATCGAGAATGAGTTTATCGTGCCATTGAATATACCGTGGATACAAACCATTATAGTATGATAGTGAAAGTTAAGACTAAATGTAGTCATCGAGTTAGAGCACCGCTAAGAATCATCGGAAACCATCGATTTCGTGGATTGTAGGCATCTTGTGGGTATTTGTTTCAATTTAATTCTGGCCAGAATCGCAAAGTTAGCCAGGGAAAGACAAGCCTCATGACGGAGGTGGGCTTACTGCTCGGCTAGAGAGCCCCTTCCTCCACTTCCAGTGCGCCGCTCGGAGCGGGTGATGTTCCCTGATTGAGCGTCTATACGACCTCATCGCCTTGAACGTTTATGTCTGACGTTTCATGTTCGTTTTGCGCAATGCGCTTCTATCTCGCTCGACAGTTTATGAGAGCAGGTCCGCAACGTTCATAGGCATCTCGTCAATCTGGGTAGAGTAGTACACTGCGGCAGTTAGCGACTGATGTGAGGAGCAGACCCGATGAAACTTACACTCAATGTCACGGAGGATACGAACATCATCCTGGGTGACGAAGTTGATGGCCACACCCTTGCGTCCGAACCGCCCGCTTCGACCGATCCTGTGGATGTAGTTCTCACGGTTCGAGGGAAGATCGTAGTTGATGACCAGCGACACTTGTTGCACGTCAATACCACGCGCCCACACATCGGTTGAGATGAGGACGCGAGAGTTGGCCTGGCGGAAGTCGGCCATGATGCTGTCTCGCTCCTTCTGGGGCATCTCTCCGTGCATGGAGGATACGGTAAAGTTGGCCTCGCGCATCTTGTCCGTGAGCCAGTCCACCTTGCGGCGGGTGTTGCAGAAGATGACTGCTTGTGTAATGGTGAGTGTGTCGTAGAGATCGCACAGCGTGTCAAACTTCCATTCTTCCTTCTCGATAGCGATAAAGTATTGCTTGAGGCCCTCCAGCGTCAATTCGTCACGCTTAACTAGAATGCGCACGGGGTCCGTCATGAATTTGGTTGTCATCTCGAGCACATCGTATGGAAGGGTGGCTGAAACAACTACGACCTGTGTCGCGGGCGGTAGGTAGCGGTACACGTCGTAGATTTGCTCACGGAAACCTCGGTTGAGAAGCTCATCGGCTTCGTCGAGAACGAGCATCTTGATGTTGCGTGTGCGAAGGTTGCGGCGGCGAATCATGTCAGCAACGCGTCCCGGGGTTCCAGAGACGACGTGCTGGCCGTAGTCAAGCTTGCGGATGTCCTCGCCGACATTTGTTCCTCCAACGCAAGGATGGCACTGTACGTTCATGTAGTCACCGAGACCCACGATGACCTGCTGAATCTGGGTCGCAAGTTCACGGGTGGGCGACAGCACGAGTGCTGTGTCTTGTTAGTCTAGCCCTTCCTGCCACACGATATATGACGTACCCTGCGTCTCGCGTACAGCTGTGTCGATGACCTGAAGGATAGAGATGGAGAAAGTCGCAGTCTTTCCTGTTCCGGACTGCGCCTGCGCAATAGTGTCGCGACCTTTGCAGATTTGCACAATAGCACGTGACTGCACCGCTGAAGGCGATTCGTAACCGTAGGCGTAGATACCGCGTAGCAAGTTCTCCTTCAGGTGCATTGCCTCGAAGGTTGGCGCGACCGTGACCTCCTTGGAGGTGGAGAACTCCATCTTGTCGTCGGCATTTCGATCGATTCCGTCGGCCATTTTGTCTGTGGTTCTGGGGGGGTGTATCGGGTATACGGTGGGTTTCGACAATCGTTTGCGATGTGCAAGAAAGTTTGGGAGTAGTTGCGCCTGAGCTTTGCGGAGGGCCGGAGCCTCGGCGGGCTAGCTCCGTTTACTAGCGCGTTTTGCGATTTATGTCGCCGCGACAGCCTTCACCAGCAGCTCGACATCGTCACCGCCGCAAAGGTCTGCACATTCACTACCGAACCGCTGCTACACGAAAGACTCATAATTACTACAGGCGACCACAAATATGCTTTTGGAAGACCAGCGCCAACTTCATGAGGACTTGGAGCGCCTCGAGGACGCCGCTGCAGAGCGACTTCTTGAAGACCCCCCACACGTAGGCACATCTATTGCGTCTGTTGCCAATCACATGCTTACATCAAATCAGATCCGCGATCGTCTCGCACGTGATCACGATATTGCGCGCTTCCTTGAGCAAATCGAAAGCCAGTCGAGTCGCCTCTTGAAGATCTACCAAGATGAGGACAACAAGAAGGAGGACGAGGTGCGCGGCCTCACCATGGGCGACCCGATGGAGTCTTTCATGAACGAGATCGCATCGATTAAAGACTTCCACAACCGATACCCGAACGAGCCCGTCGAGAACCTGGAGAAGGCTTACAAGAAACGCTCACCCGAAGAACACGTCCAATCAATCGCAGCCATCGACTCCATGTTTACCGGTGAAGAGGGATTTGGTCGCTTCTTTGACCTGACCACACTGCATGAGCAGTACTTGAACCTTCCCGTTCAGCAAAACGCGCGCCGCCTGACCTACCTACAGTACCTCGATCTGTTCGATGTCTTCACCCCTCCACAATGTAACATTCGACGAGAGCAGAAGAAGTCAGAGGGCTACTTTCATTACTTGAAAGCCCTGCAAGACTATCTCGAGAGCTTCATGCGGCGGACGAAGCCACTGGAGAACTTGGACAAGCTCTTCGCTAACTTTGATAAGGAGTTTGAGGAACTATGGGAGAAAGATGAGGTTCCGGGCTGGGAGAAAAAGACATCGGCATCTGCACCAGTCCATGGTGAAGCACAGGGCGAGGGTATCTGGTGCTCAGCTTGCAAGAAGGGATTCTCGAAAGAGACTGTTTACGAAGCACATCTGTCAGGCAAGAAGCACAAGAAAGCAGTACAGGAAAGTCAGAATGGTGCGCAAGATGGCGAAAAGCAGACAAGCGGTGCTTCCACAGATTTGCAACGCTTCAAGGAGCGTGCGGTCGCCGAACGAGAGTTCCGGATACGAAAGCTCGCTGCAGCCATGCAGACAGAGCGCGGCGACACCAAGGTCAACGTCGAGCGGAAGCAGGGTATGACTGAGCGCGAGCGACAACAAGAGCTGGAGCAACTGTACTCCGAGAAACCTGAGAACGGTGGAAAGGAGGAGGACGATGAATCCGACAGCGAAGACAAGATATACAACCCGCTCAAGTTACCACTTGCCTGGGATGGCAAGCCCATCCCCTTCTGGCTTTACAAGCTCCACGGTCTCGGTGTCGAGTTTCCTTGCGAGATTTGTGGAAACTTCGTATACATGGGTAGACGTGCATTCGACAAGCACTTCAACGAGCCTCGTCACATCCACGGTCTCAAGTGTCTCGGAATCACCAACACTACCCTTTTCAGGGAAATCACGAGCATCAAGGAAGCCGAGGAGCTATGGCGAAAGATTCAGAAGGACCAAAAGAAGCAGAAGTTGCTTGCTGAGAACGTGGTCGAGATGGAGGACAACGAAGGCAACGTCATGCCGGAGAAGGTCTACCGGGATTTGGCTGCTGCAGGCATGCTGTGAGCGGTCATCTCGATTCGGATATATCACGTCTGGTCTGTCTTTTCTCAGTGAAGAAACGGCTTTCAGTTCGTACATCGACTAAACGAACGCATTGAACTCGGCATCTTCGAATTCACAACCCTACAATAGGCCCATTTGCAGAGAATCAAGAGCCGGTCCTGTAAGTCAACGAGCGTTGCTTCGATTTCATCAGTGCTATTACACCTATTTGTTGTACTTCATTTCTATATCACTGAATTTTGGCGCTTGCTTTCTAATCCAGAAGAGCTTACAAGCCAGTAAAACTTTGCATGGCTGGCGTTCTGGAGTTGTGTATACAGGTACGCACCACCGTATCGGTGTGGGTGCACCTGGAAGTTGTGTAAAATAGGATGTCTGAAGATACGAAAGTTGGAAAAAGATCACCTGGAAAACACGATATCACTGTCCATGAACGATGGGTTGCTTATATGCCCATATTCAGCTATGCCGAGATACATGCCGTGCCATTGAAGTGCGTCCAATCTCTTTACGCGTCAGGGGCTCGAGCCGACGTGCAGTCGTGGCCCCAACGATATGTGAACCGAGGCTTTGGAAGACCATAGGGTAGAAGCCGTACCGCTGGGAGGGCTATGCCATCGTGATCTGATGGCCTTCCAGATGCAGGTTGAATCCGATAAGAGGAAGTGGCGAGCAAACCATGGAGAAGCACGTCAATATGGAAAGAACGACGAGCGGACCAGCTGCGGGAGATTAGAAGAACAAATTCTCGGCTAGTAACCAGAAAGCTTGAGCTTTGCAATATTCTCACATCTACATATACACCCTCCGGTACATACGCCTGCCTGTATCCACAAGTTACTGTTCCAAAAACTCCCACAACCCCTCTCCTTGGACAAAATCGCCCCAAATAACGTTTACAAGCCAATAGTCTCGTCGCAAAGCTCCAAGCAACGTGCTGCTCGCACTCCTCGGCGGGTAAATCCTTTGCCATTCTTGGAAAATGCTGAAGGCCTCATCAAGCCAACTCCTGAAGCTGACAGCCTCGATGATAGTAGGCGTGACAATCTCTTTACCTGCAAATGTACCCCAGGTGACAGGGTTCACTCCATCCTCTTGACTAGCTTCAAACTCCCCGGCAGCATTGCCCGCGAAATAGGTGACTTGTTCGTGAGCATCGAGCTTGGGTTTGAGGGCAGCAAATTCAGAGGCGGGAATGAAGAACTCCACGAATGGCTTTTGGAAGACATAGCCATTCTTAGGGCCCCAACCGAAGACGGGATCGGTAGATTTGACACCGTTGACAGCAGGTTGTGAGGCGACTGTCCACCATCCCTTTGCATTGAGGGCGAGCAGCTGCTTGCTGATAGTCAAGGTTTCAGGCGAGAGGCTTTGTTCGCTCCAGGGTATGGCCTCAAGGTCTCCTTCGATGTGGCGGCGGAAGAGCTTCGAGATGTCGTCCTTCTCCACTGGATGACCCCAAAGCTTGAGGGCTTGCGGCGTTGAGACGTGCAGCGTTGGACCGTATCCGTCAATCTCACCGAACGCAGGCGAACGCGCATCACCCCAACGACCGTTAGGGAAATCATCCCAGGTGGCTTCCCGACCTAATGAACCTTCGCCTTCTGAGATTGCCAATGTATTCGCGCGTGTGTTGATCGGGCCGCGCGGCACACCAGCCTCTTCTTCTGTGGCTTCGTACGAATGATTGCTTGACTTGGCAGCGGACGAATGTGAGATGATTACCCTGTTCCGTGGACCAGAATTAACAGCTGATGATCGCCTCCTGTGAGGCACAAAGCCGTTCGGTGGCGGCTCAAGGTTGATAGCGGGTGTTGTCTCTACAATGACATCGTCATTGTCGTCGATGGTCGACGGTATGAGGTGCGTGTCTTCCACGATGTGCGATACAGCCTTCTCCAGATTCAATGTGTAGAAGTGGAATCCTCTCCTACAAGTATCTGGCCGCGCCTTGATGTGTTCCACCATTTCGTCCATGATCTTGACACCCTCTTGCTTCACCAGTTCGTCATCGCTCTTCACCGCATCCAGTCGCGCCAACATATCCGAAGGTAGCTTTGCGTGCGATAGCGTGGTTGTTCGAAGCAAAATCTTATACGACTGTATCGGCATCAACCCCGGTATGATCGGTATCGTCTTGAACACTCCACTCTCGTGCTCCCTCAGCATCTTCTCAAACTTGTCGTAGGCTTCGACATCGTAGAAAAGTTGGGTCATAATGAAGTCTGCACCAGCCTTTGTCTTCTCAATCAAGGATGGCAGATCAAACTGCGGATCCTGATGCTGAGGGTGGCTCTGGTCCGAATGACCCTCTGGATACGCAGCGACACCGACGCAGAAGTAGTCCCCGTACTCTTTTCGGATGTATTTGACAAGATCGATTGCCCATGTGAAGTCCTTATTCGAGTCCTGTTCTGGCGGTGTTCCTTCATCCCGGTACTCTTCGCTGCGTGGCGCATCACCCCTCAGTGCCAGAATGTTCCGAATGCCCAACACCTTCGCCTGCTCGAGCGCGTCGTCGATGAGCTGACGATTCATGTTCGTGCATGTGAGATGTAAACATGTTGTGAGGCCTAATTGGCGCTGGCATATCTCTGCGAGTTCGAGCGACTTGGTGGCTGTCGATCCGCCGGCACCCCAGGTGACGGTAACGAAGAGTGGTCGAAGAGCCTGTGACATGCGCTCTAATCGAGTTTGGAGGTTCGCAAAACCCTACAAGACTATCAGAAACTATTCTCGGGTGCATAGTTCCCTATATCCTTCCATGCTTTGCCCCTTCCACATCCGTCGCGTGCAAGCGGGGCAACTCACCATTGCCGTTTTCGGTGGGAAGAACTCCAGAGAGAAGTAGTTGGCGCCATCAGGCAGCGCATCAATCTTATCCGTAATCCTCTCCATCTTGGATTCGCAATTGAGGGTAGAGGAAAAGGTGGCGTTGCGGAAGACGTTGTGTCATGGCTGCAAGTGGTGAATGACAAAAAAGTGAGGGCAGCTCATCTGGAAGCCGCGTGTGGGGCACGGATCTGCAGCCAGGATCCTTATCCTGTATCGGCGCGCTACATCCAGCATCTAGGTGGACCGGCGGCGAAACTATGCAATAAGCATTTCACTTTGTGGAGGAGATTGTTTCCACTGAGATGGAAACGTTTGCGATCTGGTGTGACATCATGGCACACTTTGACTAGCTATTCGGACGGAGAGCGACATACAAAGTAGCGGCACGCGACCCCGCAATACTGTCTCTCTTAGAGCACTCTTATGGGCGATAGAATCATGATACATGACAAAGGTCTATTCTTTACTCGTGGTACACAACGGGATTAATGGGATGCTGGACGATCTCTACCGAGGCGGGGTCCCGATGGTCAACATGACACTTCCAAGGTTAACGCTGCAGGTGAAGTGCATCGCAGTGCATAAGTAGTACTCGAATTCTTTGCTTCTGACAAAGCTACCATCTCAATAGGTCACGACTCTACTCACCGCATATCGTTATTAACATGACCTCGGGATTTCTGCACGGCACCTAGAAAGGTAGCACTACGATGTTCATTATCATTTTCTCCCTGACCTTCCTCTTAGCACACATAACTACATCCTCATCACAACAAATCACGACTATACAACGAATGACCACATCCAACATGACAGACACACTACCCCAACGAATAGATGTTCATTCCCATTTCCTTCCACCCTTCTATCGAACTGCCCTGGCAGCAAACGGCCACTCCCGTCCTGACGGCATGCCAGCAATTCCTGAGTGGTCGCCAGCTCGTCACTTGGAGATGATGAAGATCGCCAATGTCTCGAAATCTATTCTATCCATCTCCAGCCCCGGAACACACATCATATCGAGTAACCCATCACTAGGCATAGACTTGACAAGACAATGCAATGCTTACGCCTCATCTCTCAAGAAAAAACATCCCGACAGTTTCGGCATCTGGGCTGCACTCCCGTTACCGAATGTCGAAGCAAGTTTAGCTGAGATCGACAAGTGTATGGAAGAAGGCGTGGAGGGATTTGGATTACTGACGAATTACCATGGTTACTATATTGGGGACGAGGCATTGGACACTGTGTTCGACAAGCTGAATACTATTGGTGCGACTGTGTTTATCCATCCTACGAAGCCTTGCATGAAACACGGGGGTAGTGAGAATACGTCTCAAACTACAGACGCACTTCCATTCGGCGAACAATACCCTGTCCCAATCTTCGAGTTTTTCTTCGATACTGCAAGGGCGGTAATCAATCTTTTCAGCACGGGGACCGTGGACCGGTGTCCGAATATCAAGTTCATCATTCCACACTCCGGAGGAGGGTTACCGCCGCTCATGACTCGATTTATCCAGTTTTCAAGTGTGGTACCGGGAGGACGAAAGTTGAATGCTTCAACGGTGCGGAGACAGCTTGACGAGCAGTTCTATTTCGACCTTGCGGGATTTGTTTTTGACGGAGATAGTGGAGGGAAGGGGCAGCTGAAGGCATTTATCGAGGGATTTGAGATCTCGCATGAGAAGTTGTTGTATGGAAGTGATTTTCCTTTTACGCAAACGCAGTTCGTGAAGGCGTTTGCAGAAAGAATGAAGGATGGTTTGGAGAATTTGTTTGGTGAGAAGGAAAGGGAGGCGATTTATCAGGGCAATGCCGTCAAGCTACTGGGCAAAGAGAGGAGTAAAATATAAGGTGGTGGATATGAATATGGATATGAATGGTCTGCAAGGTAGATAGCAGCGTCTATCTATATGTACTTGTAGGGGTTCATGATACCGTTCTACCTGTGTTAGCCTAGAGCGGAAACGAAACGAGCGGGTAGGGCCACTTACGGGATCATAAAGATCCTTGATCTGCTTCATCAGCTTGATCATGGTTTCACTCTTACTGTATCCAATGTATGGCTTCTTCGTTACTCCCAAGCCGTGCTCGGCACTGATGCTGCCGTTTCGCTTTTGTACCCACTCGTATACGAAGGGTTCAAGCTGCTTCTCTACAGATTTATCGAACTTCCTGACTGGAATGTTGAGGTGCAGGTTCGCGTCACCCATGTGACCGTAGCCAACAACATCAACTACAGGGTGTGAGGCGTCATTTCCAAGCAGGCCAGCCTCTGTCAAGCGGTCGCGTGTCTCGTTGACAAGATCGTAGAGCTCAGCGATGGGTATCGACAAGTCATACTTGTAGACACCTCCATCGTGACCGAGACACTCGGTAATGCCTTCACGCCATGACCAGAGCTCTTGAATTTGAGTTTGGTCTTGGGCAAGAACACCATCTGATACAACCTCAGTTTCCATAACGTGTTCAAGGAAAGCTTGCAATTTCTGCACACGTTAGTCATCGCTTTTCATGTACAGCAACAGGCGACTTACCTCGTTATCGTGGTCTGCGTTAGAGCCGCTGGTTTCGATCAGGCAGTAAAAGGGATACTCGCCTTCCAGCGGCATCTTCTTGCCCTTTACCCTGTTGACCAGCTTTTGTGTGCGACCATCCATCAATTCGAAGGCTGACAGAATCTCAGACAAATGTCCCTTGGCCTCGATGTAGGCTTTCTGGACCTTCTCGTAGCTTTCTAGACCAAAGTATGCAACATTGACAGCAGGCGATCTTCTTGGGCAGATGATGGAAACCTTGGTGATGATACCAATGGTGCCTTCTCCACCGATGAACAGCTGCTTCAGATCGTAGCCAGTGTTGTTCTTCCGGAGTGTGGAGAGATCATCTACAACGGTACCGTCTGGCAGGACCGCCTCGATTCCTAGGACATTTCCGTGGAAGCTACCATATCGCAGGAGACGGAGTCCACCAGCGTTTGTCGCGACATTGCCACCAATGTAGCAAGAGCCCTTAGCCCCAAGATCCAATGGGAAGATGTGGTTCTTCTCGGCGAGAAAGTTGTCGGCATTCTCTAGGATCACACCGGCATCAGCGACTAGGATACCAGATACTTCGTCGAAAGACCTGATTTCGTTCATCCTCTGCATGTTGATCACAATCTCGTCGAATACGGGCACAGAGCCACCGACAAGTCCGGTGTTACCACCCTGAGGTACTACAGCGAGCATATTGTCATTGCAGTATTTGAGGATCTTGCTGACTTCCTCGGTAGATTTAGGCTTCAAGACTACTTTGGTATGGCCGCGGAACTTGCGCATCCAGTCACTGTTGAACGCCTCAATATCTTCCGATGCATCTTTCGTCACACCATCTATGACTGCCGAGTCGGAACCTAAGAGATGCTGGAAATATTTTACATGCTCCTCGCTGACCTTGGCAAATTTGGAGTCTCTTTGGAGATGCGGGTATCTGCTTGGCATCAGCAAAATGTGAAAACTGCTCAGACCTCCACACATACGACTCTGAAGTGAATTTGATGGATTGTGCCGACGCGGTTGGGCCCTTGACTCCGCCATGCTCGTCTGGCTGATGAGGCTCCGAACTCGCTGATGTACTACCCGTCCATCGGACTTGACTTGTCGGTCGCAAATATTGATAGCGCGATGCAACGCGAGAAGAGAAGGCAGTTCGCCGCAAGGACGAGACTAGGCGCGCTGAAGATGCCATTATGGTTGACTGAGGGAGCAATGCGACAGCGGCGGAAATAATCATTCGCCATCGTGAATATCTACCAGGATGACATAAGTTGACAGGGAGCGCACAGGCCAGATGGCTTGGCGTAGTTTAGGCGGGAGCAGCGACGCGGACAGCTCTGGAGCTCCGAGACCAGCTTGACGACTGTCGTACTCTATTGCCCCACCACTTCTTCTCACATTTCGTTTCCGTATACCAGGAAAATAATAGAGAACTCAAGAACCACTTCACAAAATCTCTCACAATGGCATCCGGCTACGATCGAGCTCTCTCCGGTACAAACAAGCAACCCATGAGGATGCGGGCCTAGCTAATTATGCCAGTCTTCAGTCCCGACGGTCACGTCTTCCAGGTCGAATATGCGCTCGAGGCCGTGAAGCGAGGTGCGTAGTCTGTGAAAGGGATGGTAAACATGAGATGCTTATTCGCCTCAGGAACATGCGCCGTTGGTGTCAAGGGCTCGGACATAGTAGTACTCGGCTGCGAGAAGCGATCAGCAATGAAGCTGCAAGACACGCGTATCACACCCTCCAAGATCTGCCTCGTCGACACCCACGTTGCCCTCGCCTTCGCTGGACTGAACGCCGATGCCCGTATCCTTGTCGACAAGGCCCGCCTGGAAGCACAATCACATCGCTTGACAGTCGAAGACCCCGTATCGATAGAGTACATCACCAAGTATGTTGCCGGTGTGCAGCAGAGATACACGCAGAGTGGTGGTGTCCGACCGTTCGGCATCAGCACGCTAATAGTCGGCTTCGACCCTAACGACAAGACCCCGCGCCTGTACCAGACTGAGCCCTCTGGTATCTACTCAGCATGGTAAGTTGCGTTGATGAAAATAAGTTGTATGTGCTAATACAATATAGGAAAGCAAATGCTATCGGCCGATCGAGCAAGACAGTCCGCGAGTTCCTGGAGCGCAACCACAAGGAAGGCATGGACCGGGAAGAGACGATCAAACTGACAGTCAAGTCACTACTAGAGGTAGTGCAAACTGGTGCAAAGAACATCGAGATCGCGATCATGGCGCCTGGAAAGCCCATCGAAATGCTGCCTGTCGAAGATATCGAGAAGTACGTGGAAAACATCAACACAGAGAAGCAGGAAGAGGCGGCGAACAGGAGGCCTGGACGGCAGCCCGGTACAGGCCAGGCCGCTATCCTAACCCGTCAGACCCCAGCTGAGGGCTCAGGAGCCGGTGGCGCGTAGGGCGTGGTTAACGAGTGATGGCGAAAAGGCATGAACAGCAGTGGCGTCTGGTGATAGACTTTATGAACCTGTATAATGCAGATACGACCAGCTAGTGCTCATAAATGGCAATCTAGCGCACCATGATGCTCCTTCCCACGTCCAACCCCCCGCTCGTCGCGTGATGTTGATTGGTGTGGTACCCCTGCCCTGTTGCTATGTAGCTTGTGTTACGCATAGTATCGTGGATCCCTATGCACGCAGTCCTTCAACCCAGCTTGTTGGGCGCCTCCTTGACATCGAATATCGTGCGCATCTCTTCGCCCCGTACACGGTCGTCTTTGAGCATTCTGAAGAGTGGTTAGATGTGCGTCATGCACTAAACTCAAAGGCGACATACCGGGAGTCTATGCGGGCGTCCTCGCCTTCGACTTGCAATGATGCCTTGGGTGTCTTTGCCTCTAAAACGAAGTGGTTGTCGCAGTGCGGGCAGTACTCGTCGCTACCCTGGATCAGCCAGGCGCCAGCTCAAATATGTTTCTACTACTCACGCGTCCTCGAATTCGCGCGCATCTTTGCGGAAGGCTTTCTTGCACTTTTTGCAGATGAAGACCATGTCAAATGTCTGCATCAGCGGGTGATCGCTCTGCTCCTGGTGACATTCTGCGCAGTCGAACCATTTCTTGCCTAGCAGTTTTCAGTATTCATCGCGCACATGTCAGGCGCGGGCGACATACAGCATGGCGAGCGGATGGCGACTTGGGCATTGAGGACGTGTTTGCTGCATGGGCATCAGCCAGCCGCGGAGGTGATTGCGGGGGGTCTCGCGGGCAAGAGAGAAGGTGTGCTTACCACATGGCGGGCGACGGTCAAGTGTGACTATGCGACTACTATGGAAGGTACAGCAGACTGACGGCTGCAGGTTGCCCAGGTGCTAGTCTGGCGTTTTGTATGCTCGTCTATAATTCGCCGGTGCCTGATCGCCTTGCCGTCGGTGGTGTGCAGGGTTCCGTGCTGGTTAGCTGTGGGGAATGGCAGTAACAAGACACGACAACACCGCTTCAAGCCGCCCGCGCCCAACGCAGAGAAGCAACATCCATCGCCCGTCAGCCGGAGAGGTCACCTGAGCGCACCGGACAGCACTCCACAGCCGTCGCCAGAGCGTGTGCATTCCGACTGCTGCTGAAACACTTGCACCCCCGCGCTGCCGCCGGTATTCCCTGTCGCCGAACATTGTTAGCAGGACAGTATACGCGTCTCCACGACGCACCGCCACCGTATCCACTACCACTCCCTCTATCTCTGGATCGTGTCCCTAGTAGCGCTGGCTGCATGACCGCTCACGAGCGACAGCCTCCCCTTGCATCATCACAAGAAGCGCCAAATGGGAACAAGACCTTACTGGTCGATGCGCAGCTATAGGATACCCTCCGGTGCCGGCTGACGACAAAACAAACACACATCATGGAGAACCAGCAAGAGGAGACGCAGGATGGCTCCTCCATTGTGAGTGCGCCTTGTCTGCATGACGAAGCAGTTGCTGACTCCCAGTACAGAAGCCAGTGTCCTCCCTCCGCGCCCAATTCGAGAACCTCCTCAGCACAAACAAATCACCCGCGCCTACCACCCCGCGACAGCGCTCTCCTGGCGCCAGCGACCGCCTTCCCATGCCCGAGGACAACAGGAGAACAGACGGGCGCATATCCCTAGACATGCCCAGAGATAGAGACTATACCGAGAGACCCTCGCCCAGTGTGGCCGACTACAGTGGGAGTGGGACAGTGACACCGCGCTCAAACACACTCGGACGGTCGCTATGGGCCAATCCAAAACCAAGACCAACGTCCATGATGGCTTTCTCTCCGCCCAGGTCACCTACAAGGTCGCCCACAAGGTCGCCTCCAAAAGTCACCGTCCAATCACCAAGATCACCGCCCAAGTCTTCCGCATCCCCCATACACTCGCCACAGCCTTCAAAACCCATCTCGCACGTAGCACTGGATTCGCCCTCGTCAGCGTCTGGGGGGAAAAGATTCTTCACAATGCCCAGTCGCAATGGTACTCCTAGTGTGGATGCGAAACCTGTCTTCCCATCTCATACGGGCAATGGGCTCTCCAACGATCCACGAAAGGGTGACCGACCAGTGTCCTCTGCGCCGCCTGCGCCACCACCCGTAAATCGAGCCGGAAAGCCCAAGATCTCACCAAAACCGATTTCTGTTGACGGTGCAGCTCGCACAAACCTGGCACCCGAAGCAACATCTGATGCTGTAGATGTGTCTCCATTCAGTACGCCGCCCAGCAGTAGTGGAGATAGCGTCAAGGGAGAGCCTTCTCCACCAGTTATTCCAGGGTTCTCTAAACCAAAGTTCACTCCTAGCAACAATGGATACTTTCCAGCTCATCCACCATCTACAGACTCTCGCATACCTGGGAAGCAACCCTTCAAGAAAACTATGCCCCCACCATCACCGAATGACCTGCCAGAAGACCGCCCATCGTTACCCATGCGACGAGAGAAAGACAACTTCGACTTGCGGAAGAGCGTGCAACTGCAGAGAGCAGCACCCCCTGACTTGCCAGTACGACGATCTTTTGACCAGACCCGGCCTGGTCAGTTAGTACAGGAGACAAACAACAAATTCATGCCGCCTCCCCGGCGGAACAACACAACTGGCGCCATATCCGCTAGTCCCGGAAAAGCGTTAGAACCCCCGAAACCACCGCCTCCACGAAACTCTGGGGAAATCCGACGGCCTTCCCAGCCAACCATGCAAGCATCGCAGCTATCACAGCCGTACACTTATGACTCGGACGATGAGGACACAGGCGCAGAGAAACAACCTGCTACTGCTCTAACAGACTACCCAGACTCGTCACAAGCGAATCGAAGGCCACCAGTGTTTCCGGATGGCGTAGCTGGCATCCCGACAGGCTATGAGACCAAACTGTTCGCGATTTGTGGCGATTACATATGTACGACCGGATATGTAACCAATGTTTGGAACGTTTTGAATGGGCGACTGCTTATGAGTCTCGCCCATGGTGATACAGTCAAAGCCACAGCGATTGCATTCCGGCCAGCCAAGGATGTTGAGGACGAAGGCAAGCGGTTATGGCTAGGGACGAATACCGGCGAAATGCATGAAATTGACATACCCACACAAAGTGTAGTGTTCACTAAGAGTAACGCGCACGCGAGGAGTGTTGTCACCAAAATCTTCCGCTATGCCTCAGAAATGTGGTCCCTCGACGAGGATGGCGTTTTGCACATTTGGCCAGCAGACGAGTCAGGATGTCCTTCTTTGCAGCAGGCGCCGCTCACTTACCGCATCCCTCGTGGAAGCACCTTTTCCATAATCTCGGGCTCCCAGTTGTGGGTAGCTTCGACGAAAGACATACGAGTCTACGCTCGTACATCAGACAACAATTACTTCCAGCAGTTGACACAGGGACCTTTGTCTCAGCTTAATGTCGGAGACGTCACTTCTGGTGCTATCATCAGCAGTCAGCCGGATAAGATGTACTTTGGACACGCTGATGGGAAAGTCACAATCTACTCCAAGAAGAGCTTTGAATGTCTTGGAATTGTGAATGTCAGTGTGTATAAAATCAGCTCCCTGGTTGGTGTTGGTGACTTCCTTTGGGCTGGCTACAGTACTGGAATGATATACGTGTACGAGACCAAGTCGACCCCCTGGAAGGTGTTGAAAGATTGGAAGGCACACGACAAACCAATCGCGGGCATTTTGGCCGATCGTACCAGTATCTGGAAGCTCGATAGATTCCAGGTCGCGTCTTTAGGAACGGACAGCATGTTGCGTGTCTGGGACGGGATGATGAAGGAGGATTGGCTCGGTACGTGAGATTGATTTATCTTCGTCGTACCATACTAATGCTCTACAGAAAACTTGATGCAACAACGCGATTCTGAATACTGTGAGTTCAGAGAGCTCTCAGCACGAGTCATGACATGGAACGCCGGCGCAACCAAACCCGCAAACATACGAAATACAGAGCAGGATCGTAATTTCTTCCGGGAAATAATCGAGCCTGGCAATTCTCCCGACATTCTCGTCTTTGGATTCCAGGAGTTGGTCGATCTGGAAGATAAGAAGATTACTGCCAAGAGTATCTTCAAGAGAAAGAAACACAAGGAGACATCAGAACACGAACACATGTCTCATCAATATCGGGCGTGGCGAGACCACCTTGTCCGTGTTCTAGACGAACACAGTCCAAACGAGAATTATGTTCTCTTGCATACCGCCAACCTTGTCGGTCTCTTCACCTGTGTGTTCATAAAGGCTTCTGAACGGACAAATATCCGCGACGTATGTGCAGCTGAGATCAAGCTTGGCTTCAGCGGTCGAGTTGGTAACAAGGGTGCGCTCGTAGTGCGCTTCTTCATTGACGATTCGTCGCTCTGCTTTATCAACTGCCATCTCGCAGCTGGTCAGACACAGACCGTGCATCGCAACAATGATGCCGCCGCAATTATGGAGAACGCGCCATTACCGAAGAACCGCTCTCCAACTTCGTGCGCAAACTACTTTGTTGGAGGTGGTGATGGATCCATGATTTTGGACCACGAGATCTGTATCTTGAATGGTGATCTCAACTATCGCATTGACGCGATGCCTCGCAATACTGTTGTCGCCGCTGTGCAGCAAGGGAATCTGGCGAAGCTTCTTGAGCGCGATCAACTGCTTTTGTCTCGCAAACGCAATCCCGGGTTCCGCTTGCGTGCATTCACAGAAGCGCCCATCAACTTTGCTCCCACTTACAAGTATGATGTAGGGACAGACAATTACGATACCTCCGAGAAGCAGCGTTCACCAGCATGGTGCGACCGGTTGCTGTACCGCGGCTTGGGTAGAATCAAGCAGTTAGATTACCGGCGACACGACTCTATCAAGGTCTCGGATCACCGTCCTGTCAGTGGAACATTCAAGCTCCGCGTCAAGACGATCAATTCGAAGAGACAGGATGCTACCAGAGATAAAGCTGAAGTTGAGTTCGAGGCAGTGCGGCGGCGGATAGCTGGAGACATCAAGTAAGTCAAACGAAATAATTGACCCTAAAGCTTGTCGTATTGACAAAATTTGCAGACTCGACTACCTGATCAATGTCTTCGGTCTATCCAGCAAAGAAGCTCAGAAGCTACTGAAAGGAGCTTGAACCATTCCAGGGCTTGTCCCAAAACATTGTGAAACCTTAGACGCGGAACTAACCCGTCGTTAGCGCAAACTTCAGCCTCATCAGCTTTCGGGGATGTGGATGCGGAAGACATGATGTATCGCAAAATACGATAGTTCGAGCAGACGCACGATTACCGACGATGTCAGGGTCATGGGCTACGGCTCATAGCAGATAGCGGCGCAGAATCGATCGAGATGAAATGCGGAGAGTGGGACACTAGAGAAGGATTGACGAATGGGAATGTGTAGAAAAAGCATAGCATTGGCAGGCGAATCTGGGTTCCATGTCTGAGCGTTTTCGCTGACGGAAAGGCGCATTCTCTTTGGCGATCGGTGCCCGCAATGGGGATAAGGAATCTAGAGCACGCGTTGTCGCGTAGCAGAATTGTGGTCATGGTGACGTCAGATCAACGCGCCTCCCCAAATAAAGCATCGATGATGACGGCAAGCAAACAGCAAAACCGCCCACGCACCCTCACCATTTCTTCTTCAATCCCTACTTATGTCCGCAACTTCAATTGCAATTCGTCGCTTACCACTATTGACGACCTCAAGAGCTGTACCTCGTGCACGACTTGTAGCTGCTCACCTCACGCGACAGCACCCCACATTTTCCACAACTTCTTTCAGAATGGACAAAGAGCAAGTTAAGGATCAGAGCCGTGGCCAGGAGACGACTGGAAAGTCGGAGTGGAAACAACGCCCACCCTACCGCGTCCACGAGAAGAACGAGGATTTTGACGTCAAGTACGAAGCCAACTGCCATTGCGGAAAGGTTCAGTACCAGCTCAGCCGGAGAGAGCCTCTAGACAGCAAGCTGTGCCATTGTACAACCTGCCAGACCCAGCATGGTATACTTCTTCCTCCGATTTCTCTTAGAGTACAACTAACACCCGTCAGCTGCACCCTTCCAATGGGCAGCCATCTTTCACAAAGATGACATCAACTTCACCAACGGCCACCATGATCTGGAATGGTATGACCCAACAGACAAGTCCATCGAGCACAAGCTCCCCTGCAAAGTTCGTTGCTCCTACTGCCATTCACCCATCATGGACGAGGGCCGCAACATGATCCTTCTTTTCCCCTCCCTCGTGCACCTTAAGACCGACGAAGACAAGGCATACTTCAAGCCCCGTTGCCACATGTTTTATGGCCAACGTGTCATGGATATCCCAGACGGTCTTCCTAAATGGAGCGGTCTGAGCGGTGATTCTGATCTCATTGAGGACAGCCCACCGGATATGGTTCGCGAGCATGAGCGTAAACGCGAGGAGGAGAGGAATAAGAAGTTGGAAGAGGGTGAGCCGGATGAGGTCACCAAGGAGGGTACTCAAGGCAGGAAGGAAGGCAAGGGCTCCAACTCCGGTTAGGCAGTGAATTGGTCCCCAGATGGAACAGCTACATTGAGGCATGCTTGCCTAGCATTATTTTGTCGATTCCATTGGTTTCCAGGCACAATGTATGCTCATGACGAACAATGTATGATGACATGAAATCGTCGGGTGGGTGGGAGGTGGCTGTGACAAGAGTCACGAGCCCATGAAAAGATACAGATAGGATATTGGAATCTAGAGATCCGCCTGAAAACCAATACCAGCTGTCAATATTGAGTACTACGCTTACCTCCATATGTACATATACACGTACGTCGATGACTTGCAGCTCACCATACCCGCAGGCGAAATGAATGGCTAACTATACACTTCGTTATCGTGTTTTTCGCCATGAGAACGGTACAAGGTATCATCCGAGCTAGTTGCTTGTTGAGAACACATGAGAAAGTTCTACTTTGCAAGATGTTATATTCAAATCATGGTATTATAGCTACAGCAGCTCTAGATGTTATCGTCATGTACGAAACATCATGTGACTTTGCTTCTATTCTCCCGTCTTTTCAGTCCACCTCTGGGCCGTTCAACCTGTCTTTCCCAGCTACCTACCAAGCCCTAACCACGAGGCCACAGGTCCCACCCAATACAGTACACCCAAGGTGTACCCTTCCACTGTACATCATCCCTCACAAATACAAACACATCATCAACCTCTCTCTCGCAGTCGTAGTTCAAGTTTTTGTACTGGCTCCTTGGTCCCCCAAATCTAACCTTCATCCTGTAACCGCCAGAAAGTATAACTTCCGCGTAATCCAGGGTTGTGCAGTCTCTAAACACCTGCTTTTTCCCTCCAATAGTCACTGTCAATGCAGGGACGCAATTTCCGGGATCATACGTCCCTCGTTCGAAGGCGGCGGCAATAGTGTTACGCAAGACTTCGTACACGTCAGAGCGGCCGTCGTACCATGAATCTTCGACTGAGACGGTGATGGTCTTGCGAACATGGCTGTTGGTGTAGATGCTCAGACCGCGGGAGGTGACGTAGACATTGAATGTGGCATGGTTGCTGCCGCAGCGTTTGCCTGTAGGTGGACAGATATGTTCGATCGCAGTCTGGACGTCGTGGTAAAGAGTCTTGCTGTCCCCGACGTTGATGCCATTAGGGCTGAGGCCGAGGGTGATGGTCTCCGACCTGTCGACTGGGGGTGGTTAGACGTTGAAACTATACCCAGTTTGATACAAGTGTAAGGACATGATTGTGTTGGGTAGTTTGTCTTGAGGAGAATTTGCAAAACATACTGTGCACAGGCTGAGTATGGTTGTAGCTACCGCCGTTTGCGAAGCCGGCATCATCAACTGCAGTGGTTAACAAAAAGGCCCTCAACTTGGACTCCGGTACTCACTACTCTCGTTACCAGCGGTTGGTGCCGCAGTCGCGAGCATGCCGCACGCTGCGGTGATAATAGCAAGAGCGACGAGCCTCATGGTTACTTCCTCGGTGTGCTTGCGTGACAGTAGACGGTGGATGGAAGATATGACAATGCGATGGAGCGACGATCGACATGTAGATGAAGAAGAGAAAAATGGGTGAGTAGGCAGGTAAGGTCTCCATTTTGGATCAGCACTAAATGTGGTGACTGAGAAAAGTGAAGGTGAGTATCATCATCTAGGGACGGAGTGTCTCTTGCGCGTTGGGCTCATCGAAAGGAAACGTGGAAGTATGATCATCCAACGCAACTTTCATAGCACATAAGATAGCGTAAGACCAAGAAATAATGTATCAAAATGCTTGAACAAGATGGCTTGGACCAAGATAGTGTGAATCGGGAGCATCAGTTCATTCAGGTTACAATAGAGCATAGTTCTCTACATGACCAGTACTACATTGCTCTGAGATTCAGTCACAGCAGGTAATCCCGTAGAACAATATCTATTTGCTCTTACCGGTAGGGATCTGGAACGCGACGACAGGCTCGCCGTGCGCAAAAGCGCGATCGATACGGAAGAAGCCCTTGCGGTCAAACTGTACGATATCGTCAACCTTGAGGTCCGCGACGTTGCAGTCAGCCATGGCCTTGGTCCTAGACTCAGTCTTCGGGTTGAGGAAGTCCTCGAGCGTATCCTCAGGCTCTAGCTTGTCCTTGGTGATGAGGTAGTCGTAGTCAACAAGCTCAATGGGAACAAGCTCCTGGTCATTGCTCAGCCAAGTGACCTTCTTGGATGTCTTCTTGACGTCTCCTTGGAGATGTAGCTCAAGCTCAAGGCCGGTGACGGTCTTGAGGCCGTGCTTAGCCATCTCGAGGGGGTTGATCGAGTGGCTGATCTTGCGCACGATGGCGTTACCCCAGTTCATGAGGGTGATTTCCTCGTCTTGAGCGAACGATTGTGCGTCTGCTTGCTCCATGATGACAGACTTGCTGAAGACGATCTTCTTGTTGCCGAGATCGTACTTGGCGTGTTTCGGCTTGTCCTCGGAGATGACGCCCTCACGCGCGCCGATGATGGTGACGGGAACGCGGCCGGAGTCATCGATAGCGGTGTAACGAGCCGCAGTTGGCTCAATGTGCTTCTTGTTCGTGGCCCAGAAGGCGAACCAGTCCTGGTTGACAATGTTCTTGGAAGGGCCTTGCTTAAGGATGAACTCGCGGAGAGCGGGGATGACGGCACCGTGGCGACGGACACCGCGGACGGTAGGCATGCGCGGGTCGTCCCAGCCCGACACAATACCAGCATCGACGATCTTAGTGAGCTTGCGCTTGGACAATACAGTGCGGACAAAGTTCAGGCGCGCGAAACCCCAGTTGTGGACCTTGCGGAGCTTGAGGTTCTTGATGAACCATTGGTACTGTGCGTCACGGTCGTTGTACTCGGTTGTGCGTAGCGCGTGGGTAACGCCCTCGAGCGAGTCGACGATGGGGCAGCAGAAGTCATAGGTAGGGTAGATCTTCCACTTCTCGCCAGTGCGGTGATGCGCCTGGGGGTTGCAGCGGTAGATGACAGGGTCACGCATGGCCTTGTTGGGGTCATCGACGGACATCTTGGCGCGAATGCACCACTTCAAGCCCTCCTCGTTGCCCTTTCTCATCTCCTCGAAGTGCGCAAGGTTGTCTTCGACGCTTGAGTCCCTGCGAGCACTAGCAATGCCGTTCATACGCTCCTCACGCATCTTCTCTTGCATTGTGTCGTCTGCGTATGCCAATCCATCCTTGATGGCCTGCACACAGCTCTCGTAGAGCTGGTCAAACCAATCACTGGTGTAGGAGACCTGGTCTGGCTTGATACCGAGAAGCGCGCAGTCCTCGACGATGGCATCCTGGAACTCTTGCTTCTCCTTGGTAGGGTTGGTGTCGTCAAATCGCAGCAGGAGCTTGCCCTTGTACTTCTCGTGCGCGAAGTAGTCGTTGAGCAGCGCTGCTTTGGCGTGACCGATGTGAAGGTAGCCTCTGCGATACGGTTAGCGGAAAGTAGTCGCACCCCCCCGAAGAAGAGAGCAACTCACGAAGGCTCAGGCGGGAACCTAGTAACGATGCCAGTGCCATCGCCTACATCCTGTAGGCCAATGTCATAGTTCGCATCATCGTTCTTGCCTCCCTCCTTCTTGCCCTTGCCCTTGGCACCCTCGTCCTTCTTGCCTTGTCCTCCGACAATGACCACGCTCTGGGGGTATGCCTCCTCGATGTACCTAAACCAGCGGCACAGGTTCTTCATCAAGTCCTGCTTGATGAAAGCGTGCGCAACGCGGTTCTCGCGGATGGTCTTCCATACTATCGTATCGGCGTCGGAGATAGTGTAGCCGACGATGTGGGAGCGGAGAGTGAGGTGTGCGTCAAGTTCCAGTAGGTGGGGTTCGATTTGCTTGAGGTTGAGGGGCTTGAGGGCCTCGGATCGCTGTTGCCATTCGGCGATTTGCGCGTCCATGCTGGCGACAGTCGTTTTGCTTTTACAAGGTTTGTTGAATCTGGATTGTATCCAGTCGTTGAGGCGATCGTTCGTAATGGGAAAAAGTTGAAGTGGGGTGAACTGATGACGCGGGGCAACACGGAGCTTGGCAGGTACGAGTCACTGCAGGGCTGTCTCCTCGACCCACGACAACTTTGCTAGAAATCTAGAAGGCCAGACCAGCCCAGCTTGTTTGATATTGTACATCCGTCATACATCACCATCAAGCAGCTCGAAGATCGTGTTACTACCAAAATACGCCCTAGTAGTATTGTCACCCTATATCCTGTATAAACGCCGAGAAATGCAAAAGCGTTACAACGGCCGTGGCGGTCATACGAGTACAAACGCTATCATTACAAGTCATAAGGAGAGTATAAAGAAAGAGAAAAAAGGCTGCCACACGATCAAGCACACTCCCATTGAGCAAAAACACACCACCTTGCGCTTCGGTCAGCAAGCACCAGACCTCGCCATGTGCCCTTTTCACCAATCTTGATGACCGTTTCCCAGGCCGTACCATCGGCATCGTTAGTACTGCTAATATGCTCCGTCTTTCTAGTCAGGCGTATGATCTTGCCAGAAGGTGTTTGCACGGCTAGCTTGGCAGGCTTGTTGCTACTACTACCTGATGATCCAGAAGAACTTTGAGATGGGTTCGTGTAGTTGGATCCAGTTGCTGAGATACTCTGCATGCTCATAGCGGATGCAGGGCGAGCAAAAGGATTTGGCGATGCTCGGCCATGCATCGCGGGACTAGGCTCGGGGGATTTTGTAAGGGATGACGGATGTTGGCGAACGCAGAAGACGAAAGTGTTGTTGAGGGCCAGATTAGCGCACTGCGGCTGGGCGACGTATAGATCGTGTCGTTGGGCATGAGGCGTAGGATGTAGAGTCAAGAACGAATATGGAGGATTGGTGCCGGTATGCGTCAAAGGAAGGCCGATTGCCAGGTTGTGAGGGTTCAGCTTGTTGGAGTGCTACGAGGCGTTAGTTTATCTATCCTAGAGATGTGACGAGAAAAAGCTTACCATAAGTCCCCGGGGTCCTGCATAGATCTTCAGGACACCCTGGCCACCATCGTTCGGAAGAAGGGCCTTAACAGTGTATCTTTTCTGGCCACTGTACCATTCGGCTTGTGCCAATGCCGGCTTCCTCACAATTTCGCCGCTCTCAAAAAGGTCACCGTCCATGTCTTGATCATAGGCTCGTGCCTCAACCTCCGCAACACACTCTACATCCTCTGGTACGTCAACGTAGACATGCGCCATCTCAAGGTTGTCTAGGTTCAAGAGACTAGTATCGAAGTTGACTACGTTGAGATGATGTCGGAAGTAAGCGGGTGTTGCACAAGGGAGTGCCATCAGCACCTCGTGTGGCTGAGGTGGGCAGATGTGTTGCTGTTCCGGAAGGAGTGGAACGTGAGAGTAGCAAATCTCCATTGGGCGAGCAAGGAAGTACCATGTCTCAGCCACAGATGATCCCGCAGTCGAGTAGTGAACTCGCTTTGGGTTCGTCGGCCCAGCAAGGGAGCAGTCCATTATGCGCCACTCACCCTCTACAATGACAGCGTTCCAGAAGTGATTCGGCCGCGCGACGCTCTCTAGGTCCAAGGGTTCGCCTGGTGTCTTGAGATAGCCACGGACAACTTCAGCGTGCATTCCAACAGAAGCACACATCTCTGCCACGACCATGGCGATTTCTTCAGAGCATCCGCGCTTGCTTTGAAGTACGTGTTTCGGATCCATCTGACCCTCGAAATCTTCTTCCCACGATATGCGCTCGCTGACCCATGTGAAGATAGCTCGTAATCGTTGAATATCGCTTCGGTATGGTCGACAAACATAGCCTTGTGCCAAAGTCGCTGGGTTCGTTCCAAGAGGAATGCTGTTAATGAAGCGCGCACTCTTATCAACATGAGCAAGACTGCAAGCCGCAAAATCGGTGGGTTCGGTGATGGGAAGACCATCAAGACCCTCGTCGCCCTCAGCCGACTCATACAGGATCTCAATGGGGTTCAAAACAGGAATGTCCATCATCTGGCATCTTTCGGCTCGCTCTGTTCGCTCGTTCTTACTTAGTGAATTGGACCGATTTACATCCCGCCTGACCTGCACCCAATCTACCGTTCCGAGGCCGGTCTCCCTAGATTCCTTCGCCGCATGGGTCGATTTACCCCCTTCTATGCCAGTTGGTTCGGAGTTATCCAGGCGGCTTGCGGCGCGACTCTGGGAACGACCAGCAGCTCGGCTGGCAGCCCGGGATCCCGGCCTACTTATCGTGTCGATGGTGCTGCGTGCATTCGCGGCTTGGGTCTTCGCAGTGTCGATCATCTTACGGAAGAAGCCGCTGCGCTTTGTCTTCAGTGGTTGCCTCAGTCCACCAAGAGGATCTGGGTCGTCCGTGGCTGGGGTGCTGACTTCAGCTTGTTGTATGTCGCTGGAACCGGCTTGCGGCTGTGAAGCATGGCTGGAGTGATAAGTGACACCAGTGAAAGGTGTCTCTGGCCGTCCGTCGTCGAACCCGTAACCCTTTCCAGCCGTGTCTTTGGTGTTCATGACGCTCTTTGGTCGATCCTTTCCAAATTTCTTGCGGTAATAGCTCCCAGCGCTTGTAGCACTCATGTTCGTAGCAGAGTGTCCAGACATCAAACTGCGATCGGTGCTGTTGCTTGTGTGTGTCGTAGTCGTAGAATTCGTTTTGCTCGTAAACGTTCGTCCAAGTGCATTTCGTCCAACGTTGTAGGCGGATTTGCGATGGTTAAGTAGCTTCGAGCCCTTTCGCTGAACCTCTGGCTCAGCATCGGCCATCGAGGATCCGGGTCGCTGGTGTGAGCTTTTCAGAGGTACGGTTGGCCCTTCGTCATCGCCGATGAAAAGCTCACCGTTCCTAGCTTGCTCTTGTTGCTTCATTCGCCTGAGACGACTTTCCATGCGCTTCATGTAATTGTTAACATCTGGCAGACCTTCCTCTTCGTCTTCGTCGCCGCGGCTCATAGCGGACTGCGCTCTGACCTTTTTAGCCGACTCCTGGTAGACTTGGTCAAAGGCTTCCGGAGACCATGGATTCGATGGGGTTGGAGGCTCTTCGGGCGACTCATCACTTCTTGATGTTGTCATATCCTGCAAAGACGACATGACATCATTCATTGCTGTCGTGAGAGGAGAGGGTGTGAAGTGTCCACTGCGTGCTCTTGGATCAGGCGAAGGCGGCTCAGGTGTGATGAAGCCATTATGCGAAGGAGGTGCGGGTGACGGAGCTCTGCTGGGGTCGTAAGCGACGCGATGCGGTGGCGGAGGCGGAGGAGGCGAGTCCACAGGTTCTTCTTCGTATTCGTCGTTGTAAGGAGCGGGTGATGGGCCGCGACTAAGCTCGTCATCATCCAATTGCATCTGGTACGGAGACGGCGATGGACCTCGATCGTATGCGCGGTACTGGAATGAGGGGGCTGGCGAAGCCGCACGCGAACGCTCTTGGAATGATGGTGCCGGTGAAGGACCACGGTCGTATGCTCGGTACTGAAAAGATGGTGCCGGCGATACAGCTCGTGAATGCTCTTGGTAGTGGACGGGGGGCGCTGGCGAGGCTGCCCGGTAATAGTCCTGACTTTGTCGGGGAGGAGCTGGTGATGGTGCCCTGTAAACATCTTGACTTGGTCTTGGAGGAGCTGGGGAAGCTGCTCGGTACATGTCTTGTATTTGTTGTGGAGGAGCTGGAGATGCTGCTCTAGCGTAGTTGCGATGTTGTATAGGAGGTGCAGGCGATACACCACGGGGTTGATACTGGTACTGGGCTGGAGGCGCATGCGATTGTGGTGGGATATACGAGCCGCGTCGGATGGGAGGAGCTGGTGATACGGCGCGAGGCTGGTAGCGATAGTCGGCGGGCGGTACGGGAGACGATTGCGCGCGTGTATGCGAACCGTGACGTGACGGTGGTGCTGGTGAAATAGCGCGCGTCACGGGTGTTCTCTTGGAAGGAGGTCGTGGTGATACTGCGCGAAGATTTGACTGTTTTCTTGTGGAAGACGCAGGCGGTGGGCTCTCGCGACTTTCGGTAGACGACCGCTTCATCGACGAGAAGGGGGACTTGGTCTTGACACTGCCGTTTGGTGAGTTGATGCCAGCCTTGAGCCTCTCTCGCGCAGCAGCAGCAGGATTTGGTGCGCCTGCAGCTGCATAAGCCGTGAAGGGCTTCCTGAAGGTGCTCTTCTGCTTCTGCGGTGCTGGCTTTGGCTGCTCCTGGGCACTGTTCTGCCTCGACATGCTTCCTCCGCTGCCATTGCGCGCCCATGGTTGATAGTCTTCGCTGAGCAGTTCGACAAAGTTGGAAGGGAACAGTCCAACCATGCGCCTGTCGCGCTTCAATCGGCCCATCCACCAGGATCCATCACCGGCATTAAGGACTTCAATCAGGTCGCCTTCTATGAATCCGAGGTCGCGTTTGGTCTAGAGCAGCGGTTAGGTCAGGTGCTGCAACAAGCCAGCTTCTGTCGCAACTTACCTCTCCTCCCCATGAATACACAGCTTTGCACCAGCACGGAAAGCGCACCGGCAGTGCCTGGCCAACGGCCATGTTGGGTATTATTCGGTTGTTGTAGGCGTAGTATTAATTCGTGGTTGACCTGCAACTTGTGTGGGACATGCACGGCACGTGGATGACATGCGTGGATTAGAGTGAGAGACGGCGTCGATTAGGTGTGGAACGCGCAAGAAAGCTCCAGCGAAAGACAGTAGTCGATGGTAGCAATGGCAGAGAGTACTTCTCTGTAGTCACGCCGCGATTGATAGCGGGGATGTGGTATGTGTAAAGCTAAGCAGGGCCTATCGCGGCCTGATGTCTCGTCTGGGTTGGGTAAACACGATTCAGTCGACCGCTCCCCCAGCAACCGCCGCGCACCAGCCAGGATGCGGTCCCACTTTTGCCCACCACGTCACCTCAATCTTCAGCTCTACACCGCGACATGTCCAGTTTTTCTCCATCTTGGGCATGCGCCTTGCACAATAGTACTTCGTTCGGCGCCTGATCATGCACGAGATGTGTAGTCGCCTGTCTGTTATGCATCGCGACAACTATAACACGACTGCTGTCCCGAACAGATGTTCGCAACTGTCCACTGTTGATGTACGCTAATATTGACAGCCCTCTAGCTTTCCTGCTAGAAGCGATCTAGCAACAGTAGTCGCGCACGACTTGTCGCCTTGCCATAGCTCAGCACGCCACTCGAACATACAGCGCGAGCCGATCACGATTCAGATGTTGTCCTAACATGTCTGCATTGGGCGCCAAATCTTCATCACCCAACGCATCACTAACATGGGAGATTCTCAGATTGAGGTAAACACATCGTCATTTGTCAAAAAGCTACTGAGATCGAGAGCTATGGATGCGGGAACAAGAAAGTAGTACCACTAGGGCGTGCGATATAAAAGAAAGCCGATTCCTCCTCAACTTGACTGCCTGATGGGACACCAGCGGCGAAACGAATCGCTTACTGTCCGTTCCACATCTTGGGGCCGGGCATCGTGTACGACTTGGGGTTGTTCCACTTGTTGAACGCGATACCGGGGTCCTGAGCACTGTAGACACCAGGAATCTTGACCGTGGGGGAAAGGTTGCCCTTGCCGGAGGACGCAATGTTGAGCTGGAAGCACTCCATGTAGAACTGAGCCTTGCCGACGTGGCCCTCGTGGATGGCGATGTGCTCGACACGGACGAGGTACTCACCAGCAGGAATGTTCTGCTGAACGGTCCACTAGAGATACAAAGTCAGTATATGACTCGTAGATAATCAGAACAGTTGAAACTTACCTCGAGGCGATCCTTCTGCCAGCTGTCCCAAGCAGTGTCCACGCCGGGCTGGCTGGGGTTGATGAGGCCGCTCTCCATGACCTTGATCCAGTCACCGGAGCCGTCGTAATCAGCAACCTTGCCAGGTGCCTTGGAGATGTAGACGAAGCCTGGACCAGGGTGCTCAATCTTCTCGTTGTTGAAGAGCTTGAAGCCGAGCTTGTCACCAGCCTTGACGTTGTAGGTGGGAACGCCTCCGGCTTTGGCGCCCTTGTTGCACCTCAGGTCGGGAGAGTTGATGACCTCGTTGGGGAACGACGGCATGTAGGAGTTGGTGTTCTTACGGGTGTAAGCATAGTCGCCACCGATAGCCGCACCGTTGACGATGAGGCGGTTGAAGATGTAGTGGGCATTGGCCCCCAGGGGCGCAAGCAAAGCGAAAAGAGCAACAGGCTTCATGTTGTAGAGAAGAGGGTGAATATGTTCAAAAGAAGTGAAAGTAAAAAGTTGGAGAAGCGAATGTACTGGTTGGTATCGAATGCTAGTGATTGCGATGGTTCTTACAACATGGCACCTGTCAGATACTTATACTGAACGACATCTCAGCATGGTTCACTGCATCGTTCCATGTCATTGGAGGGATATCCATTTTTTTGGTCCCTAAATTTCATCACCAACCCATCTATTCTCACTCTTCATCTATTTCTCGCCAGACTACCCCACCCCCAAGGCGTCATAAGTCATCATAAGCCCATAGTACCTAGTCGCATAGAACATCTTGTTCGTTCTAGTCTCACTTTAAATGAAAAAAGGGATCCCAACACCACGTCGAAACACATATAACCGGTGGCCAAGCCAAGCCTCACCAACACCACCCATGTGCTTTCCGCTGCTGCCAAGTCCGGGGATATCATGTGTTTCATGTTTTGACTCTATTGCACCTTGGCGAATATGCAGCAAAACAAAGTGCCGATGTGGAAATTCTCCTATTCGCTGCGTCAAGGCTTACCTGCGGTATCAATATCCACTACCCGCGATGCGAATCCGAATTGCGATAGGCTAGAGCTAGCCGATTTGTTAAGCGGAGCTTGTGGGACATTCTGTGGGTCTGCCGAAAGTGCTGAAAGAGCTGCGTGATGCGATAGCTCAGTTTCTTCAGCATCTCTTCTTGCTCTAGGCTGGTCACCCCGATAACTCCTTTGAAACGATGTGTCCCCTCACCTCCGTCGTACGCCGTCATTGGTAGCCTTGCCGTCACTGCGTCCGCGGTTTGCCGGTTATGACATGACCATCAGCTCTTTGAGGGAGGTCCACTTGTGATTGCATCGAGAGCACGAATCACTTTCTCGTGAACGACTCTCGGCTATTGTTACAACACCTCGTCATTGTCCTTGTGTAGGAGAAGATGTACGATGTGGAGATGGCTGTCTACACAAATGTCTAAGAGATAGACGTTGAGACCTCGAGACGACATGCTTACTTTTCTTCTCTGCCACTCTGAGTGACACAGTTAGATTGTGCTTTTGTACAAAGTTGAGTGTGAATTGTGCGGTATTATATATTCGTAGGAAAAGTCGATATTCACAAACAATGGAGGTAATCTCGCCTCCAAAAACCATGTACTGTAGTCACTACATCGCTTCATGTGCGCTGTCTTGCCACATTAAAACGACAGTGACTTCAATTCCTGTTGAGTTATGACCTCAAATTGGCTGCAGAGTACTCTCCTGGTTTCCTAAATTCTTTTTCCTGAATCATAAACTCAGCTTCTACAAAGTCCTCTAACTCGAACCATTTATTACCAGAGAGAACACCTTCAAGCTACCCAAGCGAGCCTTACACCGATAGCCATGGTGCATTATAACGAACTGCACCCCTCTGAGCCTCAACACCATGGCCCTTTTAGCGCCTGTGCTGCTACCCTGACAAATATCCTGGACTTTGTTCAAGAGGTATGCAACACTGAGATGACAGAGGAAAGTCGGTCGAAAGATAGCAAACGCTTTGTTCAATTACTCGAACAATTGAAGAACAATCTAGCTAGAGTCAAGAGTGACTTTCCGGTGGAAAAGAGGCACCTGTGGGTAGGAAGTGAGATTGAGCGATACGAACAGGCAGTGAAGAAGACGGAGAGTCTGAGCGCTAAGTTCACAGAACTAATGGATCTAGAGGTCTAGACAAAGCTGGATGATAAGGATGCTGGTCCGTGTATTGCTGACGACATCTGCACGAAGCGCTAGTTCTTTCCTTCTCCAATCACTTTGATCATTCTTGGAACCACGTACTCTTTATACTTCGTTTGAAGGGATATGAAACATGGGATTCTAATCAAGAAGCTAACGGGTTATCGCGATTGCAGAATTCGAGGCGTGTACGGCGATCGTGATAGAAATGCGATGGTGAAAAAGAATCTCGCGAGTCACAATAACATGATCTTCGATAGCATGACGTACTCTCCGTCTCTTCGCGACGTCCAATCTTTCCCGATTTTCGTCAATGTGATGTATGGAACCCCCACTGATTCAACAATGTTTCATGGAGACGATTCACGGTTGACGTTATGAGGACACCAGCGTACAGAGCGACCGTATTGATGAGTTTTGGTTCTACGATTTTTAGAGCCTACTAACAGCATGATCGAAGAAACAGAAACACCTCCGAAAACTCTCGAGTAACATTTTAACACGTCCCGCTGTTATGGGACATGCCATGCGCTTATAGAGGTCGGAATTGGTCGACCCTTAATCGTCGATCGCTATTGGTGTTCGGGCATTGTGAGATTTGTCGAGTCCCCGGCTATATGCCGGCTATGTGTCGCATCTGGCAGAGGCCGTACCGGACTCTTTCGGTAAGCAGCGTTTCCAAGTCAAGATGATGAAGACGATGACATCGCGACAGAAGGGCGTAAGAGGCTGGTAGCGCAAGTGGGGCAAACCCGCACCTCCGCCTTCCTATAGAGCAACAACGACCGCTCGCGGGCGGGATTGCCAGTTGCGGATGTCAGCGATTGTTGTTACTACGCGTGATCACAACTTAAATATGAGGTTCGACACGATATTTTTCATTCGAGACAACACCCACAATGCAATCCACGAAAGACGGACAGTCCAACGGCCACAGTGGTTACGATCAACCGCCGATCGGACCTCGGCTGTTCTCTGTCAAGAAACCACCAGCGTTGGACGATTTCAAGAAGCTCACAACACAGTCTGTGCCCTGTCATTATCCGCTTGCGAAAGCTGTCGAATCGAATGTACCCATCTACCATCTTCCCGATTACCACTCGCTCAGTCCAGAGGAGCGTTCTGCGCTTCAAGATGAGTACGTAACTCCTACTTACGAAGTGAAATTGAGACATCTACTGATTGCATACACCAAGTTACAGATGGTATCACATCCTGCTTTCGGGGCCAGGGGTGTTCGTCACCAAGGATCTGTACAAAGACACTTCCCTGCTTGAAAAAGTAAACAGCGTTTACGCAAACATTATCGCAGAAGAAAAGAAAGTGGCTGGCAAACGCGGTGACCATTTCGCCGGAGCTGGAGCAAACGATCGCATCTGGAACTCGCTCTCAAAGCACTGCCTACAAGATCCGGAATCGTTTGCAACATATTACTCAAACCCATGGCTGCCACTAATTTGCGAAGCATGGCTGGGTCCACATCATCGCTTGACTTCCCAAGTCAACATCGTGAAGCCGGGCGCAAAGGCTCAGATCTCTCATAGAGACTATCATATTGGGTTTCAAGACAATCAGTCGTGCGAGAGGTTTCCCAAGGCAATACAAGTTGCATCGCAGTTTCTCACACTTCAGGGAGCAGTCGCGCACTCCGCTATGCCGGTAGAGAGTGGACCGACTAGGCTTTTGCCGTTCAGTCAAAGGTTCGAGGAGGGTTACATGGCGTATCGTATTCCGGAATTTGCAGACTACTTTCTGGAGAAGTATGTATCTATGCCACTGGAGATGGGTGACGGGCTGTTCTTCAACCCAGCTTTATTCCATGCTGCGGGACAGAATGACTCGGCCGACATCAAGCGATCAGCCAACTTGCTGCAAATATCGTAAGATATCTTCTTTTACAAGCTGCATGTAACACAAAAGCTGACTTCATACGTGTCAATATAGGTCAGCCTTTGGTAAGCCAATGGAGTCTGTCGATACACACGCACTTGTCGAAAAGACGTGGGATGCGATGTCCACGACATATCAAAAGGAAGGGCTCAGCGACGAGCTTAGAGCCCTCGTGAGCGTTGTCGCAGAAGGATGTAAGTAATGTGGCTATAAGTCTACTTTCGAGACACATACTGACTTGGTACGCTTACTTTAGACCCTTTTCCAACCAACCTCGATAGGAGGGTGCCTGAAACGGCCGGCATGGCACCTGAAAGCGAGCAGGATGTATTGGTGAAGAGTCTAAAGAAGAAGGTTACAAGACAGGCTGTGTTGGATATACTGGCGACAATGCGAAGAGAGTCTATGGCGTAGATACTGAATTCGCGATACTCGCTGAGCAGTTCACGTGAAAGTGGGCAGGCCCTCAGTGTGTAACGTAAACCAGTATACAGAATCCGGGTCTAAGCAAATATACTATAATTATACAGTGGGACAGCACACTATTCACACCGCAAGCCAGTGCGTCCACAGTGACCAACAGTTATAGCAAACGCAAACTAACTCCTCGGTTTGCCCATGCGTTCGAGACCCCTAGCCCTGATACCTGCCATAAGAAGCAGAACTCATGACCGTCTCATTCCATACCTTATTCACCCCGTTATGTCGCGCGCTCTAGTCGAAGGTGAGCAAAATGCAGAAGACGGCGTTCTGAAACCTTTGCCCGCCGAACGAAACACGGTGTTTCCACCAGAAGAGAACCCCAATGTTCCTCTTTCTGTTACGACCGTACGTCCAAAATCACCGAAAGAAGACAACACTGCACATCCGGCACTATGTATACCCCTCGGTCCCCCTCGAGCGGTGGCTACAACAGCCCCAATGTCTCTTACACCAGACGCTGAATTCCGCATCATAGAAGCCGAACTGGCAAATTGCGAAAAGACCCGCGAAGCGCTAGCACGGCGTGAAGCTGCACTTCGAGAACGAAAAGCGGAGATAATACGAGAGACTGAGATGAAGCTCGATAAAGAGGTGCGTGAGTTGACTGTGGGAGACCAAGACGAAGAGATGAATGAGGGATTGTACATGCGTGATGTGCAGAGAAGAGTGGACGCAAAGCTTCAGATGGCAGGGAAGAACGCGAGCCAAGCGACGGAGGAGTCACAACAGTCGGAAGACACTGGAGGGGAGAAGGTCATTCCAGTTAGTGCACCAGAGCGAAGGCGACTTGCACGTCTTGCTTTGTTCAAGAACGATCCTAGACTTGGTTGAGAACTATAATATGAAGATGCCGCACTATATCGTCAACTTTGTGATTTCTTCATCATGCATATCGAATCATAGTACCTTCAAGATGTACTCTCAACTATCTTCCATGCCTTAATCAAGTGTAAAGAATTCTGCAATCTCTGGAAACATCCTGCTCATCCTTTCCGCTGTGATAGCATCTACTTTGATTACAGGATCAAGTTTGTACGTGATCCACATCACCTTCATATTGAGACATGTCATTGCCCGGGCTTGTATCGAGATCTCGCCTAGTATGCGTCAGTGGTAGCGACACACATGGCAGTATTGACTGACGTCGGTGTTCCGCAGCTGTCTCACCAATAGTCTTGTTGAGCTCGGTAATCTCATTGAGCAAATTCGTGAGTTGCTGACTGTACCGGTGATCTGCATCCCGTTGAGCCACAGTGGGCGTGAGTGCGTGTTTGTTTGAGGAAGATGACATTCTGTCTGAGTGAGAATCGTTCAGATATAGTATATGGAATAGACAAAGGTTTGAGTGTAATATGTATCACCAATGATTTGAGCTACACTGAAAGCTCAAATACTATCCATAAGCATCGCGCTGATGCTAGCACGCACGTAGCGAGCGTTGCGTGTGAAGACTAAACAATCATTCAGCCATTGAAATCTTGGAATGTGACACCGGTGAATTCGCTCGTATATGAGTTTCAGCATCGTTGTTTTGGCAGTGTTCGCGCCAACATGGAATGCTCGTTCATTGACTGAAGCCGTAACCAGGTTGAGCAAACAAACCAGCACTCTATATCACCGCTGCTACGTATGCCCTCATCACTACATGTTGGTGTCCTTTCTCTTCTAATTCTCGACTGTCGACCAGCCTTAACATCTTCGCTCGTGATCATAACTTGCAATCAGCACATTGATAGCTCAAGATCAAGTCGACTAATGATTATATCTCCAACTTCACGAACAAACCATCTATATTCCTGAGAATGTCGCACAATACCCCAGACAGCCTCCTCAAGCTCGCTGCCGAGCTCAATAAGCTGGGTGGAGAACTTTGCGCAATAGGTGGCAAGCTAGCACAGGCCGCAACAACTCTCGAGCAAGAAGCTGCCAATGTTGCTCTTACGAACGCGCAGCGATGGGGGGTCGATGTACAGGTATGTGGCTCCCATGCTAGAACGATTAGTGTATCTGGAATAAAGTATAACATGGTGTTGTAGGTTGCTGTAAGGGCTGGACCGCATGGTCAATGGACTGGGCAAGGAAACGAGATTGTCGTTAATGGCGCGAAGAAGTAGCGATGCTGTCGAGAGAGAGTAAGAAGGAAGTGGATAAGGGATGATGGCATGTGCAAAGGAATATGGAAATGCCGATGTGGGATATCGGCAAGGAGAGACGATCTCCCAGCGGAGTGTAGTGCGGAAAGCAAATCGGAAGTTGGTAAATTGCGAGGACACGTCTCAGAATTCAACATGGTGCATTGCTAATTTTTTTTGATCTCTTCAATGACCGGCATGGTGCTACATTGTTCTCATTGTATTTCTCAGGACGAGGGCGCGGGTGAAGGCTTTCCCCGCACGCAGCTCGCCTTGCTTCTTCAAGCACTAGCGCAGCAGAGTTTTTATCAGATCATCAGATAAGATGCGAGGCCAAAATTCTGTCACCACTCACAGCGCGAGTCAGCCCCGAACCATCTCCAGCCTATATTGGCGGTGTAAACTCTACAGTGTACGCGTAGACAAATCTGTTTTAAGTGGCTGATGTCGAGTCAGGATGACGGTCTGAACTCGGAAGATGGAAATGCAAGTTCCGTGATGGTCTGATTGCCAAAGCCACACGCTGATTAGCCAAGCCGCGAAATTGAGCACGGACGGCTGTTCGACTTGCTCCTCAGGAACTGAGAGCAAGACAGGATAGGGCGATAGTCACGAGCAAGTACACATATCGATCGTAGAGTATCATGTGATCATCAACGCCGATTGCGTTGGGAGTTTCGTCTCAATTCGTCATTAATCTAGTCGTTGGTTGCAGTAACCACCTGCATATTCTACAGAACTAGTAGGAAAGGTTTTGAAAAGTAAAAGGGTATCATCCCCGTCCTTGCATCGCAAAGAGCGTTCAGACTCGGGAGTTTGCTCATGTCTCTATGCACATGAGAGATGATGCAGGACAACATATGAATTGAAGTGCATGCCAGCACCGCAAATGATGGACAGAAGTGCGAAAGGAAATGTGTGGTAGATCAAACACTGGAGCGAGCAGAGTGCTATCGGCCGATATTGTAATGCGAAACAGCATCAAGCATGGCATGGTCCTCGACCTTGGTCATGGGCGAATAAGACGCTCTGCGCCGTTCCTCAGCTTCCTCGATCAGTGGTGCATGGGGGCCGTCAGACGGGCGTGGTCTCAGAGGGCGCTGGGCGTGTTGAAGAGTAGTGAGAATGCTGCTTGCATCTAGCTCCATCGCACTGTACATGCCGGGTTCCATGGTGAATGTGTCTCTGCGAGCCTCTTGTCGTGCAAATGTCTGTGGAACGGGCTTCAATTGACGCCAGTCCATGTCATTCGGGTCCGTTGAGACGCGGCCATCGAGTAGCTTGAAGGCTTCGCTGCAACCGACCGTTCTTCCAGTACCCACGGGTGATGAAAAACCAGCCCTCATGTCAATGCTAGTGGAGACCTTGGGTTCCATTATGTCGAGCGAGCTGCTCTTGCTTGAATTGCGACGTGAACTCGAAGGGGTTTCTTCACTTCGGAGCTGAGCAACCCTTTGACACCATGCTCGCTGCTGGGGATTTGACTGGCAATCAGCGCAAGAGCCTGGTCCAGTCGTAGCCATCTTAGGCTTGACATCTTTACCCGAGGAGCCGCTCGCCTTATGCGCTAGTGAGGATGACTCGTCGGCACTGTCTACACGAGTGGGAGGGTCGCATATGCATATGTCCTTCTGTCCCTCGCAAAAGCCACAGTCTGTAATCTTGGCCTCTTCCACTGGGGGCGCAAATGTAGCAGGGTGGTGCTTCGTTTTGAACTTCTCGGTGAAGTCGACCTCATATTCCACGTGAGGATGCTTTTCGTCTTCCAAGTCCTCATGGCCATCGCGAAGAATTCCGGTCATAGCCTCGCCCGAGAACTGCAAGTCATGGGTAAGATCAGCGAGGCATGCGCAATGTTCGGGGGTGCACCGATCACAGCCTGACTGCATGTTCTCAAGTGGCTGATCGTGGGGTGGGATTCCACGCATCATGTCAAAGTCGTGTTTTTCCTCGTGAGACGCATGCTGAGGGTTCATGGAAAGGCCCCGAGTATCTGGGGTACCGGCTTGTCTGTACATCTTCAACTCTTCCTCTAGCGCTCTGTTACGGTTTTCGAGGTAGTGCACCTGCTCTTGCATATGTTGCAAGGAGCGTTCGTACGCGCTGCTGTTATCCTTCATCTCTTGGGTTATTCTGTTGACAGTCTCAATCAGGGATTGGACATTCTTCTGCTTGCGTTCGCGGAAGTTGCGCTGCGATGCACGGTTCTGAGCCTTCCGCCTAGATTCAGGCTCTTCAGTCGCAGGCTTGCGGCCGGGCTTGGGGCGGGGCGGGACGGTGTGGTGCTTGCTCGCAGGGCCCCCGCCCGACAGGCAGGGGCCATTTGTGTTGCTGGTGGCAGACAACGTGGCGGTGGTCAATGAGGTCGGCTGGGCCTTTGGAATGAGGTCTGGGCGGCGGTCAGTTGTCGTGAAGCGGGCGATGGCCAGACACGCGGTTGCGACATGTCTTGCAGCCGACAGCCGCGGCGAACCGCTGGCACATGGTACACGGCAAAAGCAACAGTGCTACTTACGTCGACTGGTAGAGGAGCGGCGGTCATCAGAGCCTGCAGCTCCGAATGCACTGCCTTCAGGAGATGCTGCGGGCGATGAAACAGCACTGTAATCGTGATTCGAAACCGGAGTGTTGGCGTTCTCGGGTGCAGCAGCGTCGTTGGACATGTTGGCGTCCTGCAGCGTGAGGTACGAATGAGGTGGACGAGTGTTATCAGATGAAGATCCTGGGTTATCAGATCGAACCATCAGCCGACGACTTTCCCCGAGCGACGCCGAGCTCGGAGCGGATCGGATCAACTCCTCACTCCGACAACTCATGCCACCACCAGCGGCGGAAGCGACTCGTCATCCAGGACAGCATGCCAAGGACCCATCGCGCTCTGGGAGTAGAGCGAACGGTCGACAGCGGACAGTTCCATGGCATAGTCAATGCCATAACAGTGTATGTCGGCATCTTCAAAAATCAAGGGCTGTGTCTCGATACTCCCTTCACACTAGTAGAGCGGGTAAAGACAGTAAAGATGACCTACAGTACCTATGCTGGGTATCCAGCCTTCTGTAGCGTGAGAGAGAAAACGTCTGGTGGAATTATCCATGGAACATCCCGATGAAAGACGTCATAATACAGCTCTGCGTTGCCAACGCTCCATGCACCTCGTTGTGAAGCACTTCCAGTGTGCGCCCTGCCCGAAAACTCTACTCAAAGCACCCACAGCACGTATGCAAACACCACAAACGCTAGACGCCATTTCGCCCATTCAAATCATGTCCTTAGCCTATGCGCTCGCCCTGAACACGACACTACCGCCATGTCTCCATCTGATCGTCTCACGTGCATTCATGACATGCAGTGCGCGAGCAAGTGCTTGCTCCGAGTAACCCTTCCCATCCACCATCTCACGCTTGAGCGTAGACAGATTGACTTGCCATCCAATAGGCATACGTCGTCGGAGTTCTTCTTCGACTTTGTTGACTTCATCCATGAGCTCCTTCGAGCTCTGGCCTTCACCTTGATTTACGGCATCCATTGTGGAAGCGAGGAAAAGACGAATTGCCTCATCTACATGTGACTCGTCTGCGATGGGCGACAGCGACAACTTGGCTAGCGACTCGGTAATACGGATGATAGCTTCTAGTTGACGAACAGTGATGGGGATACTCGAGCGTTGGTTTGCGTTGATCTCCGAAGCATGCACTTGCCGCCTGATGCTAACAAAGTGACTGGAAAGCTTCTCTGCCGCCTCGGGCGACAGACGCGGTGCACACTTTTGCCGACAGTATGTGATGTAGCGCTTCATCTTCTCGATTGGAATCTCGGCCTGCACTGTCTCTTCAACACCTCGACCGCCCATCGCAATGCCCATGACGTGCTTTGCTATCCGCTCGTCACGACCGCGATCGTGCTCATCGCGCACGATGAAGATCATGTCGAAACGTGACAAGATGGTAGTCTGGAAGTCGATGTTCTCACCAGGTGTCTTCATATCATCGTAGCGACCAAAGATAGGATTAGCGGCTGCTAGCACCGAGGTTCGCGAGTTGAGAATCGTGGTGATGCCTGCTTTGGCGATGGAAATGGTTTGTTGTTCCATGGCTTCGTGGATGGCAACTCGATCTTCATCGCGCATCTTGTCAAATTCGTCGATACACACTACGCCGCCATCAGCTAGGACCATGGCACCACCCTCGAGGTAGAATTCTCGTGTATTGTGGTCGCGCTGCACAGATGCTGTTAAACCGGCTGCTGAGGATCCTTTGCCAGAAGTGTAGATTGCGATTGGCGAGACCTTCTCAACGAACTTCAAGAGTTGAGATTTGGCAGTACCAGGATCACCAAGGAGGAGCACGTTAATGTCTCCACGGAGCTTCATTCCGTCCGGCAGAATTTTCTTCGCACCACCCATGAGCAGACAAGCGATAGCCTTCTTGATGTCCTGGTTTCCGTAGATGGAGGGCGCGATGCAACGTGCAAAGACCTCATAGATATCGGGTCTCCTGCTCATCTCCAAGAATTCTTGCTCCTCTTCTTCGGTGAAGACAGCGTTGCCTTTGCTGCCGTGGTCGACTTCTGCATGAATGCCAACTGCCCTGATGTATGGGTTACGAATGGCTACTGCGGCATTGCCAGCACGTTTAGAACCCTTTTGCTGATAAATAGAAAAGACACCCATGACCGAGCACCGTGTACCTGGGACAACACGATTCGCCAGATAGCGGTCTGCAGATATCATGATATGTCGTGGTAGTTCACCGACTGGAACCTGATCGGGCGCCTCCTGCAGCTTGAGCACTTGTTGGTCGATGAACTGACAGCGCTCGTGCATGACATAGTAAGGGTCCAGCGGACACTGTTCTCCGCTTTCCCCTTCGCCTCGCTTCCTGCCGCATGTTCTTGGGAGAGATACACCTGAGAAGCCACCTGATACAGGAAGGATTTCTTCGTGCTGGCAATTCCTGCATCGTATGGCGAGCGCTGTTGATTTGGACGAGAGCGTCGAGGCACCGATGATGATGCCAGGTATGCGAACGAGCTGGGAAACGTTGGTGGCGGTCAGGTCGCGAATTGAAAGTTCGGAAGCGTTCGAGTGGAGGAGCAGCTGGTGCTCAGGGAGCTGAATGTTCTTTTGTGAGGGGTAAACAATGCGCTGTGTGCACGACTTTAATGCGGACTCGAACTAGTTTTTGTCAGCATGCGCATGCAACGCTGAGCTGTGCCACATACGAGGGGTATGATTTCTGCTGGGTTCTGTCTGAGATCGTGTGCAAGCTCTGGACTGTAGCTGATGAGATGCGCGACGTCGATATCGCAGTAGTACTGCTTCAGGAGCACGTTCTCGCGTATTTGATCTCTGCGACTAGTTAGACGAGCGCATCAGGTGCATTGAACAGTCTTCTGTACCGGTAGACAAAGATGTTGTCAAGAGTAAAGTCCATGATAAAGTCGACGAGCGCCTGCTGTACGCGCGAAGGCGCAGCTGCATCTTGAGGGCCATCGCCGGCTTGGCTACCGAAGAGACTGATGGAAAAAGGTGTTTGTCTATCCGCCATTCTATGTGTCGTGTATTGTCAATCCTGAGGGTTGGTGTTGCTTGAGGGGCAGGCACGTCGTCGCTAGGGGAGACAAGGACGCGCTTTCCTCGCGATTGCGCGCTAGGCCGCGCGCTTTCCATTTTGCACCTGTCTTGGGCCTAGCGCTCCCCGCCATTAACTCTCCTCTCATGCTTCATCGTCCACGAAGCTGTCTTACACTCGTAAACCACCTCAAAGCTACTGTCTGATTCCTTGCCTTCGCCGAACTCCCCGATAGGAGGACACAGCATAACTCGAAATCTTCAAAAAAAAAAAGTTCAGAAAGCAGGATATATGATGACCAAATAGTCTGCGCATCCTGGAGTACCCATGCACGCTCGCTCTTGTCGGAACCCTCCGTTGCCCTAAACCAAACATGATCGCGTCTCCATTTCCTAATAAGTATGGCCATTGTGGGATGTTACACGAGCGAACCTCATGCGCCGTTCCGTCCTCACCAGTTCCAGCATCGTATCCTATCTCCCCGCTCTATAAATCGGAGGATGCCAGTGAAGACTGGTACGAGTTCAAGTACGACGACATGCCTGTGAGTCTGCAGATCTCTCTTTGTGTCTGAAACAGGCCAAACAAGTGTATGTAGCGTACTCGAGGAGCAAATACAGTTGGTCAGTTCGATTTTATACACGCCGGCATCTATTTGCTTCCCATTTTCCATGTTGATGTGCACGAAACAAGGAGTACGGAGAACCGTCCAGTGTGGCGCGAATTGACCGCCGTTATGCCTCTCGTACACAATCGACTGAGTCTTCGAAAAACTGGGCATCGATAGTCTACTGGACATACCAAGACACATACGCCTTACCCAGTATGCGCCTGAGGGCCCGCAGGTTCTCGACGATGGAACATCGGTCCACTAGATAGGCGCATATCATGTCTTGGCTAGATATCGTTCCAGCAGAGCGTTCCTACCAAGCGCACTTGTACTAACAAGACAGCCACATTGGCGCCTCTTGTCATTTGTTGCATGTTCGTACGAGTGGCTAGGCGCATAAATGTGGACCTTATCATGCCTCTGGTTGCCAGCAGGCTTTTTTTGTAGTCTTTAACGGTCTTCATCCGAGCCCGCGTGCTCTGGACGTACAGTGCACCAGTTCTCGGGCTTGGGGCGTCCATGATCACATTAGGACAAACATAGGCGGCCAATACCCCAATCTCAACCTCATTCTAATCAGGAACCAGCTGAGAAGCTATTTGAAGCTGACCAGGGAAAAAACTCAAATTTCCGATTTTGGAGCGGAACATGTCGCCTTCCTGTTGTAGACATAACCAACGATCAGCTCATATAATCCTATGGTCGACAACCAAGTACGCCGGTGGTGTGGAGCAAGGGGCATCTCATGCATTTCCAGACACCTTCCATGCATCCAGCTCCTGGACGCCCCTTGGTGTTCCCGATCGCTGTCTTGCCAGTATTGAAAACATGGAGGTTCGGCAAGGACAGGACACCTAAGCGATTGATTGGTTTCGAACTACTCTTGGTTCCAAGATTCCCGCTCTGGTCTTACTTTCTCCCTCTATGCCGTCCACGATCATCATGGACAACCCGTGCTCCAGGTGGTATTTGCGATTGGCTCTTCGTCACCACCACACCTAACCCAAAGCGGGCACTAGTCTCGAGCGGGATCCTGTCGCCAAGCGAATCCTCCCATCCTACACAATTACATGTCGGCGGAGATACCGAATAGGATAGCACCCATCGTTGGAAACTCCAACCAGCCTCTAGGTTTCAGTGAGAATCATATCATCCAAGCTGCCCAGAAGCGTATCCGGGCTGACTAGGCTTTCCTGGCGCCGTGCCACTCCCAAGATGATGTTTTGGAGGCACACATGAGACAACTACGAGTGCTGGTTGGCTAAAAGCCTAAAGTACTGAGTTACAAGGTTCTCCATGGCTGAATGGCGAGATCTCAACACATGCTGGCATGGCAGGTATATAGATCATATCGTGTCTCATTGAGGTGAAACTCAAGCAGTATTCGTTCAACACCACTAGTCCAGTAGAACCACAGGTCATCGAGATGCCGGCCCTTCCACAGTTCGATTACATTTTTGCGATTGGCACAATCTTCGCATTCCTGGATGCGTGGAACATTGGAGGTTTGTTTCGAAGATATCAAGCACATGAGTAAACTTTACTGATCATAAACTCTAGCCAACGATGTAGCTAACTCATTCGCCACATCTGTGGCCAGTCGTTCATTGTCTCTCAAGCAAGCCATGTGCATTGCTTCTGTGATGGAGTTCGCTGGAGCGATGTTGGTCGGTTCTCGCGTCACTGATACCATCCGAACCAAGGTCATCAGCACAAAACTGTTCGAGGATGTGAGTAGTATCCCCTCACCGCAAGTGCAACCGAGCCCGCCTCGTCGCCAGCAGGGATGCAGTTCAACGATGCCAATAAAACGAATGTGAATCATTGGCTGATCTGTACATGGAAATTTAGGACCCATCGGTGCTCATGTTGGGCATGATGTGTGCCATTGTCGGATCTGCGACGTACCTCACAATTGCCACGCGCTTTACCATGCCTGTATCTACAACACACTCAATAATGGGTGGTGTCATTGGTGTTGGTATTGCCGCTTCTGGCCCTCAAGGGATCAATTGGTCGTTCAAAGGTGTATCTCAGGTCTTCGCCGCCTGGGGTATCGCTCCTGGTATCTCCGGTGGTTTTGGTGCTGTTATATTCTTGATCACCAAGTACGGTGTAATGCGCCGCAACAATCCGGTTTATAAGGCTTTCTTCATGGTTCCGGTCTACTTCTTTGTCACCTCCTTCCTGCTGTCACTCCTCATCTGCTGGAAGGGTGGTTCTGCGAAGATAGACCTTACTGACATTCAAGCTGTGTGGGTTTCCATCGTTGTTGGTGTAGCCGTTGCCCTCGTGGTTGCTACGTGTAAGTTCTCAGGCCACCCCACTGCCGTATTTTGTCTGCTGACCTTCAAACTAAAGTTTTCATTCCTTTCCTATACCGTCGCATTATCAAGGGTGACTGGGAACTCAAGGACTGGCAAGTAATCCAAGGTCCTCTCCTCCTCCGCCGCCCCGAGCCCACCCCACGTCCAGAGGGTATGATTGTTGGCAACATCCCTGACTTCTATGCTGGACATCTTACCGCTGAGGAGCTCGCCGCAAAGCGCGCTGGAGAAGGTCGACCCATCCACGATGACATTGAAAAGGATGCTATTCACTCTACAACCGTGGAGGCCGCTAGCTCCGACTCTGATATTGTCCCCATCGAATCTACTCACCCAGTTACTGCCACTCCTGCGAAGCAACTCTCAACACCTAAGAAGCAGCCTCCCCCCGGTCACTGGTACACCCCTGCCGTCGCTTTCTGGTGGATCAAGTATGCCATCTTCCACGGTGTTGAACAAGACGTTGTTTCTCAACAAAGCCACAAAGATTTCTTGTCTGGCGATATCGAAAAGGTCCATGCTACTGGCGAGCACTACGACAACAGAGCTGAATACACATACTCTTTCTTGCAAATCATGACTGCATCTACTGCCTCTTTTGCTCATGGGGCCAACGACGTTTCCAACGCCATTGGACCATACACCGCCATCTATTTCATCTGGTCAACCGGCAAGATTTCCAGCAAGGTGCCCGTTCCCCTCTGGATTCTAGCCTTCGGAGGTGCCTGTATTGTTATTGGTCTCTGGACCTACGGCTACAACATCATGCGAGCCCTTGGAAATAAGATCACTCTGCACTCGCCAGCGCGTGGATTCTCGATGGAGTTGGGCGCGGCGATCACTGTCATCTTGGCTACCAAGCTTGCGCTCCCTGTCTCGACTACTCAATGTATTACTGGCGCCACTGTTGGTGTCGGTCTTTGTAATGGTACGTGGAGAACGATCAACTGGCGCATGGTTGCTTGGATCTATATGGGCTGGATCATCACTCTCCCTTGCGCTGGTATCATTTCCGGGTGTTTGATGGGCATAATCCTTAACGCACCAAGGTGGGGTAACGGTGTGTAGAACTTTGAGTATTGGAAATACTGTTGTCAGTCGGTGGGCAAATCTTGGTAGGAATTGATTGGACAGGGTGTTTATGGGCTTGTTGGAAGTCGAATTCTAGTCGAACACCCGCGTTCAGTGTTAACAAATAATGGTTTTGACCGAGCTTTGCATCACCATGCTTTCAAATTAACACTAGTAGACGCCTAGAGGACATGGAAGCGCCGTAGAATGCGCGACGAGGTACCCAGCGTAGTCTCAGTTGTCGAAGGCATCGAAGGTGCGTGCTGAAGGCCCCTCAGCTAGTACATGCGCATTCCACAGAACGCTTTGTGGTACTGCGAACGACTCTATCCCGAATTTTCAGAGTTGCACAAACCGACGTGCATTATATATTACTATCGTGACAGTGCGTTGAACTAGAATCATAAGCGTGGTGCTCACCAGATGAACTCATGTTCCATCGTCTGATTCGCCCTTGTGTCCAACCTTATCATCCCACCAGAAACCGCTTTAATCACCCCAGAACTGGCTGTAGTCATCTCACCAGCTGTCGTGCCATTTTCAGATCCTCCGTCGTATTGGATTACTACGACGCCACAGACACGGCTCAGCATCTTCATCCTGCTAATTCTGCTCTCTACCCATTCAATGTCAAACACAAATCCACCCCTAGCCACAAGTCCAGACACTCTCCCAGAGTTCCATTGCTCAGGCAGCACAGGTAGTAGCCATACCTCCCGTACGCCTTCCTCATCTACAATATGCGACTGGAGGAGCGCTTCCGCAACACCACTAACGAAGCCCAGATTCCCATCGATCTGGAAAACGCCCTCGTTCACATCCATTAAGTTGTTGTAAACGCTGCTGTTGAAGAACTGGTATGTGTTCTCTGCTAGCGCTGTGCGGTTTTGTAGACGCGCATACCAATTGATCGTCCATGCGCGCGACCATCCCGTTCCAGCGCCGTTGTGAGAAAGTCGGTCTTCGAGAGTCGCAGCCGCGGCGTTGAAAAGCTTGGCGTCGTAGCCTGGAGCACCGGGTGGAAGGATTTGGGTACCAGGATATAGGGCGTATAGGTGCGAGACGTGGCGGTGGCCTGGTTCTGCTTGTTCGTAATCTTGCATCCACTCCTGTAATGTGCCAGGATAACGCGTCGAGTAGCGATATGGAGGAAGCCGGGCTTGGGTTTCTCGGACGCGACTGAGGAAAGATGGATTTGTGGTGGCATTATTGAGAGTGGCAACCGCACGAATGTAATTTGTGAATAGTTCATTGAGGATCTCAACATCGCATGTCGGCGAGATGTCGAAGTGGTATGGTTTTCCGTCCGAACCAATGTAAGTATTCTCCGGAGATACTGATGGATTGGTGACAAGATATTCCGTCCCGTTGATGCTGTATGGCTGTAGTGTATTGAGGTAGAATTCGATGGCCTCGGAGACTGTCGCCAACTTCGAAACTAGAAAGTATTTATCGCCAGTGTACCAATAATGCTCCAATATGTGCGTAACAAGCCATCCGGAAGACAAGGTCCAATACGTAGCTGGTAGCCATCTGTCGACAGGCGCAGTATCCCCCCAAAGATCAGTGTTATGATGGCTCATCCACCCAGTGGTATTGTACATTGCATTAGCGGTATGTGTACCGTCCTTACGCATGATCTCTAGAAGGTCAAACAGGGGTGTGTGTAGACTTGATAGACTAGTGACTTCGGCTGGCCAATAGTTCATCTGAAGGTTGATGTTGACGGTGTACTTGGAGCCCCATTGCGGTGCGAATTCTTTGTTCCAGATGCCTTGGAGATTTGCAGGCAACGTCCCATTACGCGATGACGATATTAGTAGGTAGCGACCATAGTTGTAGGATAGGGCGGTCAACCCTGGATCAATGGAACCTTCGCGTGTAGCGTTGATTCGCTCGTCTGTTGGTAGGCTGCTAGCTTCCGCATCAGATCCATTCAATTCAAGAATGCTAGCGTTGTAGAGTGGCGCATAGTCTCCGATGTGGCGCTTTCGAAGCTCGTTGTACGGATGCGAGCGAGCCAGCTGAATAGTGCTATCCACAGCCATCCGTGTATCGTTGTGCCGATATGAGGTAGAAGCAGTGAGGAAAGCAGTCGCTTCCGTAGCGTTGTCGACAAGAATGAATTCACCAAGCGTTTTGACATTACCATCAGTGTTTACTGCCAAAGCTGTTGTGAACACAATAGGATCGACGCCACCGGTCGCTCCAGTCATGTATGTGACACCATTCTCGTTCCAATCTTGGTCTGAGGCCTCATTCCCACCATCCTCCGGTCGGTGTACGCGTATCTGAAATGACAATTTATCAGGTCCGGTTGTTCGAAAGTGATGCACAAGAACGTCGTCCGGTGTTGACACGAAGACCTCTCGCTCGTAAATTGTTTCGTTGACATTGAACCTTACACCAGCCACAGCAGTCTCAAGATCCAGCCAACGTTCGTACGTCGTGTTATCGTATTCGCTAGTGCCATCAAAGAAGATGTCCATGTCTCCTAGTGGTTGGTAGTTCCTACAACTTTGGGGTGTGCCTAAAGACAGGTGCACTAAGTCAGTATTGATTCCGCTTGAATTCAGCACAGAGATGTTACTTGCCCATCATGCCCAAGTTCGCCAGCTTCTCTGCATCCCCAGCTTGACCTCGTGTAAGCAAATCTCTAACTTCTGAGACTGTTTGCGAGCTGTCTTGATTTAGACGGTCACGATGGCTACCAGACCAGACAGTCTCTTCGTTCAGTTGTATGCGCTCTTGTACGGGTATTCCAAACACCATGCCGCCGAGACGGCCGTTCCCTATCGGTATTGCATCGGTCCATGCATCCGAGTTGGCAGGAGTTTTGTACCAGAGGCGAGTGCTGTTCGCTACTACCAAGGGAATAACCCCCAGAACAACTGCCAGGATCGCTACTATCAACATTTGGTTTGATATTTGCTCAGAGGCATTTGTTACTGATGAGACCAGACTGCGAACAGCGATTTAAATGTGAAAGTACTAAGGTTATGAACCTGAGTTCTTAGCTCCATACATACGTCGATCCAGACTCTCATTGATGGATCAAATTGTACCTGAACTTGTTGGAAAACCGAGCGCGGAACACCCCGCATTCTTTACTCGATCAGCGCTGTGCAGATCCTAGACTTGTCGCTTGATGTCTTGCATTTCGGGTAGCTTCTCCACGCCACTTAGTCCGGAGTAGATCCGGAGAATATCCTGTTGTATTTAGCCTCGGAGAATGAGATCTGCATCCCGATGCCGTGTCTTTGCAACAAGCAAGTCGTTCAATACGAGATATGCGTTACCCCGCTCATATACCAGCATGCATGCCGTTCCGGTTGTTGCGACCGCAAGTTGGTTCTAAATGACGCAGTGTGGATCTGGCACTAGCTCGCATGCCCACAAACACCATCGCTCTATGTCGCTCTGCCATCACTCTTGGAACATCTTGCTTCTACAAATCACGAGAACCAACTGCTTCTCGTATATGTTGGATGGAAGTTCTCATGAGGAGGGGCTGGGGTCCTCTAGAGCAAGCACAGGTATGTCGTGACCACGAACGAGCTGCGGAACGTGACAGTCATCCACTATAATGTACCTTGTAAGGTTCGTGTCGGCATGGCGGCAAAGTAAAAGGTTGACAGACGCGTTCTCCAAGCGTAGTCGAGGCACCGATGCGCATTTGTTCGCTGTCGACGTGCTGCAGTAAAGCCAAGCAGGAGATCCACAATTGACCTGAGAAGGGACTGTCCTCGATAAGAGAGTTGCAGGTCCGCCATGGGCCAAAGGCATTCGACCACTACTTTGCCATCGGAGGCGAAGATCATTGAAGGAGCTAGAAATGGCTGCTGCAGACTTCCAACGCGACGCACGAATTCTTGGAACTCAATCGACTTTGCGCCACATATCGCTATGGCTTCTGATGGTAGTCCCGCGTCCCGGAGCATCCAACGACAATGAAACCAGGAGAGATTGATGTGCCCGAAGAAAGGCCCAAGTCCTAAATCGTGGGTGGTGTCGCCGCCATCATCGGTACGAACCAAGTTCTGGCTCTTTAGCTGTGAACTCGCTATTGATCAGCTGCAGGCATCAGTAAGCAGTAGGTGTACACATTAGCATCAATACGTGGGAGGAAGGCGCGACAAAAAAAAGGTGGCTGGAAGACGAGATGCACAGCACGCCCTTTCTGGTGATGTATGCATCCGAAATTAATAACGTCCAAGTCCGACACGTCGACGTCGCGTCAAAAGCGCACAGACCCCCGCGTTTTCCTGTCGTCTCTACGCTACTCTTCATTCGTATTGCGCGCCTCACAATTGACCGTGCGACATCCCAGAGCTAGACCCGTTCGTTTCAACCAGTCTGATGGCCATAGTGTCATGACGCTCAACAGCGGCCTCGTACCGCCCCTTGAAGTTTCCCTGCTCCTCTCCAGTCCATGAATCAAAGACAGTATACTCACTGTCAGCTTCCAACTCTGGTACCTCCGAGAAGTCGATGACCTTGGTTTGAGTTGTATTCAGTGTATTCAGCGCGAAGACATGCACTCCCTTGGAAGACAACCCACTCCAATACTCAGCCGGATGAGTCTGGTTCCAAGTGAAGTCTGCATTGACACCCCATTTATAGGGCTTGGCTGCCGCACCTACGACTGGATCTTGATTGAAGCTGATGAGCTCCGGATTACTCAAGATCTCTAAAATTTCAGGTTTGATACCATGAAGCGGGGTACCGATGATAAGAGGCGATTTGAGAGCAGCCCAAAGAGCGAAATGAGAACGGCTCTCTTGGACTGTAAGGTTTCCGTTGCCCACTTCAAGCATATCCCAGTCGCCATGTCCCCAGAAGTCGGTATCATTATTGTAGAAGGATGCCTAAAGACCGGTGTACGTGGTTAGTACCTGTCTTACATGCCGTCCATGCTAGGAAAACCACTCACATGATTGAGGATAGGCATGAGTCCCCAAGAGTACTAAAAAGATGGCATCGTCAAGTCAGTGCGTGCCTTGTATGCGTCATATACACCAAGTACTTACTTGGTGTTTGTCAAGCCACTCCGGATAGATGTCACCCCACATCCTCCAGCTGTGACCAGTACTGTTACCCCATTGCTCGATGTGGGCATGTCCCCAGGCACATTGCGAGTATTCAATCGTCCGATTCGTCGAAACTAGGGCATCGCTCATAATCTTGTAACGCGCAAAGCTCTTGGACGTCGTCCAGTCGTATCCTGGGGGCGCGGCAACAGGTCTGGCTTCCCCGTCACCGCCCGCAGTCTGGTTCTCGGCTGGCGGCCCACCTAACCAGTTCTCTGGCCACCATCGGTACTCGTCGTCCCATTCATCAGGTACAGCGCAGTTGTCGTATTTAAGATCTGCGTTGAATCAGTAGACGAACGTTGGTGATTGCTAGGGTGGCCCACAATCGATTCCCCAGTCAGCAAAGGTCTTCGCGTCTACTTGCTCGTGTCCAAGAGAGCCAGCATACCCGCCGCATGTTTTGTCTCCAGCATCACTGTAGATGCCAATTTTCAGTCCAAGCTTGTGGATCTCGTCTGCTGTATGATTGATGCCGTTTGGAAATTTGATGTAATCTGGACGAATCTTTCCTGTAACATTATCGCGCTGGTATGCCTTGTCACTCCAACTGCAGAGGTGAAGATACAAGGTCAGCGTATGTCTCGCACCATTCTTCACAACTTCTTACCAATCGTCGATGTTAACATAATTATAACCAAGGTCCTTCAATCCCAACGAGATAAGGAGCGCACCGGTGTCCAGGAAGACCGTTTCGTTGATGGCGCATTCATACTCGTTCCAGCTACTCCAACCCATCGCAGGTAGGCGGCCTGTCCCATCTCGCGACACTAGCGCATAGCTGGAGCCGACTAGTGCCAGTCCGACAAACATTGAGGATAGCGCCATTTTGGATAGCGATAAGGAGACGATTTGTTCCAATGTTAGAATGCTGATACAACGACCTATATAAGATGTGCCATGCTCGAGGGATTTTGAGGAAGGATTGCCATGTTTGAAGCGGGGCTTGCCTCCGCAACTGCTTTAGGCAAGCACTATAGTGACGGGCGTGAGTAATTGCAGGATCAACGACTAGCGGAAATACTATTGTAGTTTCTCCGAAATCTTGAGAAGTCGTTGAACGACAATACCTTCGTAGTCTGAACGACTCAAGCAATACACTTGGTCTGCCAAATAGAGCTATGGATAAGCTGCTCGATCTCCTCAAACTACGCAAATTTTGCATTCTCTACGTCAAACATTTCATCTCGCGATACTCGTGTAAAAATTTTATGTATAAGGGAATCAGAGCTGCGCCCAATTGATGATCACTGGCGGAGTCTTCGGCTAGAAGCTCCTCTAGCGTTAATGACATCACTGCTAGCGTCTGGCTCCTCCCATACAATCTGTAACTTGACACTGCCAGCGCCCACATCATTGCTCAGTGCTTGTGGCCATGATGGTGAGCGTGATCATGCTCCTCTTCATCTTGCGCACGTGGCCATTCGGCCCAATAAGCATCGTCCCAAATCTCCTGCAGAGTCTCTTCCTTCTCATCATCGTCTGATCTCTCATCGTGCATAACCTCCTCCCATTTCTTCATCTCACTGCGAGTAAGTAGGCATGCATCGAGTTTTTTCGTCAACCCATCAACATCCATCTTCTCCCCAATGAAAACGATCTCCTGTCGCCTGTCACCCCACTCGCCCTCAAAGTCGTTCCTGATGGCCTTTATTGTATCGTCGTCGGCGCCCCACTCTTCTTCAGCTACGCAGCAGAACCATGGCATCTCAGATCCGAGCGTCAACATTGCGCCTGCGCTGCTCCATGAGCCCATTTGATTGGGACGCGTTGCGAGCCAGAATATGCCCTTGCTTCGATGCAAGCCACTGAAGTAAGCACATGCCTTCTTGTTGGCCAGAATTTGCTTGTCATCCATGGGAGGGGCAGCGTTGTTTTCGCTCATCTCATCGGAATCGTCCCCAGAGACGCTGGCCCTTCCAGATTCAGATGAACCATCAACCACATTCTCATCTTCCTCTTCGTCATCTTCGCCGTCATCCACATCTTCGGCCTCCTCTTGTAAAAGGATGAATTTGCCCTCGATGAGTTTATATAGTTTCAGTGGGTGGAATGGCTTTCGGGCGCGATAAACAAAAGATCCGATGCCATACCTAGATACGGATAAGCTCATGCACAGCGTTGGATATAAGGTGGCTTACTCCAGTGTTTCCGGCCTAGGCGCGATACGCTTCTTGCCATGAACGTCCATGACTGTCATTTCATGTAATGACTGCAGCCATCCAACGCTTGCGACAGCCTCACCAAAGTTGAAAATTCCCGTGTTCTGCAGATATGGAGAATTGAAGTCAGTATATGTCTCACCTCATTTCTATACGGCTATAACTTACTAGCATCTCGCGGATATCTACCTTGGAATACCTGGATTCGATGATCTTAGCCTTTGGATTGAGCGACTTGATATAGCCTTTGACACGACCCAGAGTTGCTTTGTCTGCCCTGTCGATCTTGTTGACGATGACAACGTTTGCAAACTCAATCTGGTCGGCGAAGAGATCGGAGATAGTCCGCTGGTCTTCGTCCGGTACCTCGTCCCTTCCGAAACGGTCTTGCAGGAACTCAGCAGTATCGAATTCGGAAAAGAAGCGGAAGGCGTCCACCACAGTTACCATGGTATCGACGGTCGCAATGGCCTTCAGACCACCGAGCTTCGCGCTGTAATCCAAGTCAGCGATAACCTTGGAAAGCAACATCTACCAGTAACTTACACCCTGGCGAACACCTCTTTCTCATCAGGTTCCATCCCTTCGGCGTCGATCATTGCCTCAGTAAGCTCTGTCGTAAAAGTCTCTGCAACCTGTTGTGGCTCGCTGATGCCAGAGCTTTCTATGACCACATGGTCAAATCCTTGTTCGTTCCAAGCAAGGCGTGCAAGTTCAACCAGCAAGTCGCCGCGGAGCGTGCAGCAGATGCAACCGTTCTCCATCTGAATCATCTGCAGGGTTGGAGGTACGAAGTGAGTACATGTTTCATGTACAGTTTGTATAATTAAGACTTACCTTTTCCTTGACACGAATTTCCCCATTATTGTTCTTGCTGTTTCCACGGCTGATAAGGTTCGCGTCGACATTCACCGATGCCCTGGAAGGTGCACATATGGAGTCAGCCTACGTCTGGCACGCATTTCGTACAGGAAGGTTTCTTACATGTCGTTGACGATAACGGCGATTCGCAAGCCATGGTCCGGTGATTGCAGGATGTGCCTCAGTAAGGTCGTCTTACCACTTCCCTACTGTTGTCAGCATATGGCTACATAGATCTCGCTGTCACGTACTAGAAACCCAGAGAGAACAGTCACTGGGAGCAGCTTTCGCTCACTGGTCTTTGTCTTCGTCTTCATCTCTGCACCGCCGGTTTTTCTACGCTTCGCAGGTGGCATAGGGAATCGTTATGGCCACTTCAAGCTTCGTGAGTATTCTGAAACTTTCTGAAATCTGTTTGAATGGTTTTTGTATCTGTACTGTTGCCGTTGTGCGCGTCGACCATTGAGCACCAAGATGGCTCGGTCGCATCAGCACGAAAGGGACGCATCTCATTCGTCAAGGATGCGAGAGATACCAACGTAGTAACTGCCATGCTAGTTATAGTGTCTCGTGTTCATCTTGGTGTCGGTAAGGAAGGTCAGGTCGATCCTAGATTGGATGAAGTCTACAAAGCAACGATCATTCTGGCCCATGATTGTGAACCATGTCCTTCGTACGCATTTGAGTGCAATTCCCAGTGAGTCTGGTCAAGCAGTACGCTGCAAATATCGTGGATGTTGTTATTCGTAACCCCGTAAACACTTCTCGCAATACAGGCTTTATGATTCGGGCGCCTAGCACGAGCACGATAAGTTTCCTAGGTCGAGCTGTACTTCAGATCCATGTGATTTCAGCTTTGTAGATGATAGAGGCTCTTCAGATTCGCCATGTTGCATGAAACGAAGCTCGTTGCGTTTGTCAGAGCGATGCTGTTGATGAGGTGCGCAAGGACTCCTAAAAGTCGCGTCAGTAGCGCGTCGATGATGTCACTAGTGGCGTCGTGTTTCCCCCTGTAATCTTCCTAATTTTGGACACCTCGCGCAGGAATCTGATACATACTTTGTCAATTGCTGTTTCACTAACATAGATGCCATGGCCAGGTTTTGTCTTCGCGATCCTGCTATTACTTCCCTCCATTCTGTTGGAAGCCTGCACCATATTCCGTCGTAGCATTCAACCTTTCCAGAATGTACTGTCCGGCCCTGACCGGTTTCCATCGATTTTCTTCACCCTCTTTTAGGCATGTTGGCAACGTCTCAATTACTGTATCATAGTTGCAACTGAAGAAAAAAGGCACAGAGTACCTCGCCTCCATGCTCCTGTTCACGACACGATGCACCGTACTCTTATAGAGCCCATTTGTCCAGCGCATCAGAAAGTCAGCGACATTTACGATCAGGGCACCAGGAACCCGCGAAGCAATATGCCATTGGCCGGAAGGCTTCAAAACTTCGAGACCTGGAGTCTCGGAAGTGAGGAGCAACGTGAAGCACTCGTAATCCGAATGAGCGCCGAGCCCAATCTGCTCTTCTTGTGTTGGTACAGGGTTATCTGCAAGAGAAGTTTTAGGAGGTGGGTAGTAGAGGAGTCGTGCGATGCCACCAGGGTGTGTGGTCATAGAGTCAAAGTAGTCTTCAGGGAGATTGAGCGAGAGCGCAAACAGCCGGAACAAATGACGGGCGAGACTAAGTACCTAAGAATTACTAATTAGCATGCTCGCGTGGCGCTTTGATGAGTTGAGGATGCAAAAAGACTTACAGCGCCATAGTAATCTTTGACGCCCTGCAGAGGTGAGGATACGAAGTTAGTAGACGTCTCATAAGCATTTCGTTCAGGTACAGCTTACCTGGTAGAACCCAGGCAAATCCTGCTCGTTCGGCCACAAGTTGGCCTTCTCTGTCGACCCGTCCAGATTTTTGTATTTTCCATCGCCACCAGTTGGATCGAGCGCCGCCTCGTACGCAAAATTGAACACCTCTTTCTCTTCTTTGTCACCCGCGATCGACGTGTATTCACTTGGCTCCCACCCCAGGCCGAACTTGTTGTTCTTCAGATGTAGCTCTTCCTTCTTACTCTGCGGGAGCTCGTGCACAAAGCGTTCGGCTTGGCGCAAGATTCCATTACAGGCTGCTTCGGGGATCTGGTGGTTGGTGATGTAGAAGAACCCAACGGTTTCACATGTTTGTCGAATTTGGGCTGCGACTGCTTTACGGCTTTCAAGAGAGACAGAAAATGAGGAAGTCAGATCAATGACGGGTATCTCAAAGTTCTCATCGGTGACATGATCCTTTGCCGAAAGTCTCGATTGAAGATACGCGGCGGCGCCGTTCCGGGCTTCATCGTATGTTGTACTGTCTGGTACGCTTGCCATGATCAACTTGGCCGACCTGCTGGCTTCTCAAGTTCAAGGCGACACCGGAGGATGGAATGGTAAGGCGTAGGGCGCAGGCCTGATAAGGATAGCTAAAGGTGGGGTACCGGCGATGAACCGGATCTAAGACTCCACATGCACGTCCATCAGATAGCTACCCCTCGTCACTTGTGTAACACAATCCTCTCAAGTTACAGATTCCAGTCATGTCTGATATTCATGATACTACGCTTTTTACCAACGGTCGATTCTTAAACAGCGGCGCGGTGCAACCGGAAGCACGGTTTCACACAACGTTGGCCATTCAAAATGGCAAGGTCAGCTTTATTGGCAGTTGTGACGATCCAGTCGTCCAAACATACCACGATGCTGGTGTGAAAGTGACCGATCTTGGTGGGAAGCATGTGCTTCCTGGATTCATCGATGCGCACATGCAAGTGGTTTCCTACAGACCATTTGCGAGACAAGTGCTAACTTCGCACACCAACTTCTAGGCACTTTTTGATGCTGGGTCAGTCACTGCACAAGGTTGATCTAGATCATGCGAAGGATCTGGAGGAGATTCGATCGCGCATCTTACAGTATGCAAAGGAGAACCCGGAAAAACCGCGCATACTGTGTAAAGGCTGGATGCATTCCATGACTAACGGGGAAGCCAAGGCGAGCATGCTGGACGATCTCGACGTTGGGGGAAGACCCATATACATAGATTCCAAGGACATCCATTCGTGCTGGTGTAATAGCTCAGCGTTAAAAGAGATGGGTGTTCAGGATTTGGAGGCGCCGGCTGGTGGAACGATCGAAAGAGATGCCGACGGGAATGCTTCGGGTCTTTTGAGCGAAGCTTGCGTGCTTTTGATCGTCTGGCCATATCTAGCAAAGGTCACGCCACGAGATGAGAAAATGGCGGCTTTGAGAACTGCAATCAAAGCATACCATGCGGCTGGCTGTACTGGGTGTATCGATATGGCGATGGATGAAAATGCCTGGGACGCTATTCTTGCTTTACGATCTGCCGAAGGTGTACCGTTGCGAGTCGCTGCCCATTGGTGCATCATGCCAGGCGATGGAGAAGAGCATCGATTGCAGCAAGTTGAACGTGCTATTGAGCTGAGTCAAGAGTTCAATAACAAGACGAGCCCGGATTTAAGGATCGTTGGTATCAAGATCATCTGCGATGGAGGTAAGTTGTGATGGACTACATGTGAGAGATATACTGACTTTGTATCAGTTATTGATGCCTGTACTGCAGCATTAGCAGAACCTTATACGTCCAATGGTCATTTCGAGGGTCCTATCTGGACACCTGAAATGCTCGATCCCGTTGTCAAAAAAGCAATCGAGGGTGGATTGCAATGCGCATTGCATGCAATTGGTGATCAAGCCGTTCACAACGCTATCAATGTCCTCGAAAAGTATGGCAACCATGGCCAAAGGCACCGCATCGAGCATCTCGAACTCACCGCGCCGGAAGATGCAAAGCGACTTGGCCAACTGGGCATTACAGCGAGCATACAACCAGTACACTCCGATCCAGCCATTCTTCGTGCGTGGCCGAAACTTCTTGGCCCCGAACGGGTGAAGCGAGCATTCGCATATTCTGACTTCGCAGAACACGGTGCACCGCTCGCTGTCGGCTCAGATACCCCCACGGCACCCTATGCACCTTTGCCAAATCTGTACGTTGCAACCACCCGTAAATCGGCGAGACAACCGAACATGGGTGACGCGCCTGTCAATGAGAACTTCAAGCTTGAAATGACCCAAGCAGTAGCTGCTGCAACAGAGGGCGCAGCTTATTCTTCTTTCGCTGAAGGTCGTGTAGGAAGTCTGGAAGTTGGAAAGATGGCGGATTTCTGTGTGGTGGAAATGGAGTGGGAAGGGGAAGAATTACTCAAAGCCAAGATATTGGGAACGTGGTTCGAAGGAAACCAGGTGTATAGTGCTTAGGTATCGTTACTGCTAGGGCAGAAAGCTTACTGTACAATCACGAGAAACGATGGTGTGTCAGGATACATAGCGCCCGCACAAGTAGATCGCTTTCAGACGTCATACTGACCGAGCACATGTCAAACACCAGCCAATCCTGGTTACTGCGATGTTTACACCAAGACAGTAATTACTACCGAACATACTCCTGTTAGCAGGTTGTTGCGACAGCGCAACTCGAATACACAGGATCAATTTCGTCGGTCCTGCGAATGTTCGAGCAAGCTTCACAAATCGCCACACAGGGGCGACCGCTATGCGTAGCTTACAGCGATCACGACCGCAACGATGCGCATGCAATGGCATTTCAATTTGAGATACGAAGTAACATTTCTCTCATCCAAAACTGACGGTCACATACCGTCTACGTGTCAGCGTTCGGTCTGAAACTCCAGGTGCAGCCCCGCAACTTCGCATGTTTCATCACTTCGACTCGACCTACCCAGACAACGCCTCAAACCGAAGTGCGGAATGCGCCTCCGCGTCTCTGCCATAAAGATTTACTCGCAAAAGACGGCTTAATCTCCGTCACACGCAGGCGCGTTGTTGCACGGCATTCCCGTCCGTCTTAGCAGCTCTTATCGAGGCTTAGACATGCACCTGGACAACATCGCGTGGTGAGGCATGATGCTCAGGTGTTTCGAAATCCGATGAATGCCATCATGGGTCGTATTTAGATATATTGATCGATTGTCGCGTCCTATCGTTCGCAGATCCGTTCACATATCTCGCACGCTACATCTACATTAGCAATCATCCCACAACCACCCTGATTATCACATTCTGTATAGAGATCGCACCCCAGATACATTCGCATCCCCGAATCAGTCAAGAAGATGTTGACAAACCGTCGCTCGACCATGATGGTCCCTCCCAACCGCATGCCCAGCTGGCACCCCCACTCGAAAGGCACTATGCCTCAACAGCCTTTGTCTTCACCTCTTGCGATCGATACCGAAGCGCCCTCGAGTCGTACGCCTGCCGTTCTGACATCCACGACAAATGACCTACCAGGACATCGAGTCATCCGCGTTCTCGGCGCTGTCCACGGAACCACAAGCGCGACGCGCAAGGATACAAAATCCTTCATCAAGAACATCGCAAGCACTTTCAGCAGTAATTGGGGGGAGGCAAAGAGCGTAACGAGTATTGTATATCAAGCGCGCGACCAAGCAATTGATAGGCTCGTGAAAGAGGCGATAAGTAAAGGTGCAAATGCAATTATCGGATTGGACATCAGAGAGAGCGAAATACTAGGATGCGTTGTGGTCAGCGTCAGCGGAACGGCCGCTTGGGTTGAGAAAGAGAGTCAGATCAAAAGGGATAGTGCGCAAGAGTCTGACCCCTTTCGATGACAATGTATACAAGGCGGAAGGCTTTGGGTGGCAGTAAGGTTAGAGGAGAGGATCTTTGAGCAGGTAATGGAACGATGCCGCACTGGATTGCGACATAGAAGTTTTGGTTTTCTTCAAGAGCGCGGTATTTGGGACCAGGTATTTATTTTCCCTTCGGGGTCCCACCAAGCCGACCGAATCTTTTATTTTTCGTGGGACTATTTCGTGACCGTGAGGCACAGAGGCTGCTGTCAATGTTGGTCTGGTAGTAATGGAGCACTTGTTCACAAAGCGACTCTTCCGCAGCGGAAATTAATCACCCGAGCCATTGAAGCACTAACTTGCCCCATATCAGATTAGTTTACCGTCTTGCTCTGAAAGCTAGCATCAAGCTCCGCGCGTTGGCTGTCGTGAGCATCTTTCGAGGGCGAACACACGCATTTTCTGGGCGCCAAATCCTCCCATATCTTACCGCTCGGAGGCTGGCAGGCGCTAGTACTGGAGTAGCAGTTTAGCCGCTCATGAGGCCGATGCGACATTTGACGGCGAAAGCACCGAGCCGCGATGAAGCGGAGACCCCAGCGTCCCCCAGGTTTTTTCCGCTGCCTCGGTAAGTGGAGACGTCTTATGGCACCAGTCAAACTCCACAAGATAGACGGTAGTCGAAGTTGGGGCCAGTGCTACCCAAGTATCTTGGGTGTTGCGACTAGATATTAGCAACAAGTTTCGCACACCCGTGGGTTAAAGACTGCACATCGTCCGGCGTCCCATGAGCCAAGAAGTCGGACCTCGCATCACGTCACTCGAGAGGGGTCGCTGCATCCGCCGACATGGATGCATGGATCGTCAGGAACTAACCCTCGACTTCTTCCAATTCTTCCGCTCGTTAACGCCAAAATCCTCCAATGGCGGGTGGCGCACCTCAAGTTCGCTCGTCTACCCGCCATTGAACCGGGAAATGTCATGACGACTGTACCGGAACCAGGTGTGGATATTACACGATTGTCCCTGTCGCCAAGATCTGGCGTGGCTGGTACGCCCGTGATTCTGGGGAACGGTTAGTGAACCGGGAGACGGGTGAAAGTATAAGGATGGCAGAAAGGTCGTTTTTGAGATGACCAGCAATTCATTGTCTTTTGATCGCAAAGATGGTGTTTCTCAAGGGAATTGCAGCTGCAGCCTGCGCTACTTCTGCGCTTGCTGCCGATATCATCGTTCAGTCGTCAGGTATGTCTCTGTGTGAACTGTACCTATGTAAGACATGTACTGATCCAACATTAGGTGGCAACTTGACTGGCAAATTCGGGCACTCTTATGGTTATGGTTTCCTCCACGAGGTACTTCATCATGATTTGCAATTACATACTATGTACTCACTGTTGCTTAGGACATCAACAACTCCGGCGATGGTGGAATCTACGCAGAGCTGATCCAAAATCGTGCTTTCCAGTACAGCCAAAACTACAGCGTCTCGACTGACCACTATTTTTCAGTCAATGGAGCTGCGCTCAGTATTCAGATGTTGGACGAGCCACTCTCTGAGCAGCTGCCAGCATCCATGCGTGTTTCTGCAGGCAATGGCACCTCCAGCACCAGCAAGATTGGTTTCAAGAATGAGGGTTACTGGGGTATGGACGTTCGTGTGCAGACCTACACCGGATCCTTCTGGGTCAAGGGCGCATACGATGGCGTCTTCACCGCATCGCTCGAATCAAACTTGACAAGCGATGTGTTTGGATCTGTTGAAGTACCCTCCAAGTCCGTTGCAGATGACTGGACCGAGCATACTTTCGAGCTCGTTCCCGAAAAGGATGCGCCCAACTCTAATAACACGTTCTCTATCACCTTTGACGGTGCTGCAGCCAGCGCACTCGACTTCAACCTTATCTCCCTCTTCCCACCTACTTACAAGAACCGCAAGAATGGTCTCCGTGTCGACATTGCTGAGGCTCTTGCGGACATGAACCCCACCTTCCTCCGCTTCCCTGGCGGTAACATGCTTGAGGGTCTCCGCAACGACTCGTACTGGGATTGGAAGGATTCTCTTGGTCCTCTTAGATATCGCCCTGGTTTTCAGGGTGTATGGGGATACCAGCAGACTCACGGCCTTGGTCTTATGGAATACCTTGAGTGGGCTGAGGACATGGGTCTCGAGATCGTGCTCGGCGTCTGGGCTGGGTAAGTTTTGGCTGCACGTAATGCATATGAGACATACACTGACTTCATTTTTTCAACTCTATAGTCTCGATCTGGACGGTGGTATCACTCCCCAAGAGGACCTTCAACCCTTCATCGAGGATGCTCTCAACGAGATTGAGTTTGTTCGCGGTCCCGTCAACTCCACTTGGGGTGCTCGCCGTGCTGAACTTGGACATCCCGAGCCTTTTGAGCTAAACTATGTCGAAGTCGGTAACGAGGATTGGCTTGCTGGATATCCCGGCGGCTGGGAATCTTACCGGGCATACCGCTTCCCGCTCTTTTACAATGCTATCAGCAAGGCCTACCCTGATATTCAGGTCATCGCTTCAGCCGCCTCCAGCGATCCTGCTGGCGAGCCGCCCATCCACGGCCCCAACAACGTCAATGGACAGGTGTTGCCTCTTGATGCAATTGGTGACTACCACCCATACCGTGAGCCTGATGAGCTTGTCTATGAGTTTAACCGCTTCGACAACGACGCTGGCCACATCGTCGGCGAAGTTGCAGCCACTCACGTCAACGGCGGTATCCGCTGGGAAGGCGATCTGTACCCTTACCCATGGTGGCAAGGTGCTGTCGGTGAAGCCGTATCCCTGATCGGTTACGAGCGCAACTCTGATCGCATCCCTGGCACATTCTATGCACCCGTTCTGAAGAACAACAACCGGTTCCAGTGGCCCATCACACTCATTCAGTTCGATGCTGACCCGAAGCGCACCACAAAAGCCGTTACCTGGTACTGCTGGAGTCTCTTTGCCCACCACCCGATCTCGCACACACTCCCCACGCACTCGAACTCTTCTTACGGGCCGCTCTACTGGGGTGCCGGATTCGACGAGAAGCGCGACGGTGCTATGGTCTGGAAGGGCGCAGTCTATAACACCACCAACCACGCGGACGTACCTGTAAGCGTCCAGTTCCAGGGCGTTGCTCCGGGAACTATGGCCAACCTGACCTACCTTACCAACTCTGTCGGCGATCCATACATGTACAACGACCCCTTCACCGGAGTCAACATCGTAAACACTACCAACATGATGATCACTGCTGGAAGCGATGGTGCATTCCGCTTTACTCTACCCGAACTCAGTGTCGCAGTGTTGGACACCGAGGTTTCTGGTGGAAACAACACTGGACACTACCGAAGACGGTTGTAAAGGTCTGTTCAGGAATTAGTCATACTACGATTTTATGAATGAAGCAGCTCATAATGATATGATTATAGAATCCACATGTGAGGTACTTTGCCCAGAGTGAAGCTGTCAATTTGGAGGTCGAGTGAGAATCAAACTTTCTCCAGGTATTATCCTAGTGCCGCAGATTCATCATAAACTATTCTACATAACTGTAGACTGGCCATTTGAACTGTGTTTGCACGTCAGGTCAAACACAGCACTGAGCAGATGGTATCCCGTGCGAAAGCATAGTGATTTGCTCTCTTCCCTTCCGATGAGCTTCACGCAATTCTCCAAACTGCGAGATATAGTTGAGCGATCCGGCAGCAGGCTGTCAGTTGGTTGAGACATGGAGAGTAGGTGTACACAAGCCGTTAGTGCAGCCGCAAAAAAGTCCAACATATAGGGTTGTGCGACCAATCCTAAATCTGAGCCTCGCTCCGATGATGATGATGACGACAGACTTTGGTGATGCCTCATCATTGCAAGGTTGCAGTCGAGACACGACCAATATGAGATAGGATATATGACAGCAGCGTTATGAGCTAGTGCGTAGTGCCCGTGAAGGACCGACAGTGCGCGACGAAAGAAAACATCGAGCGTTAAACGCAAGTGTTCGTTGCCAGGCAAATCTGAAGTTTGGCGCATCAGCTGTCGTAACTCAAGGTCGTATTGGATTACCTCTTCGTAAGTAATCTGGTCAATCTGCGAGTTGATTCGAGCCAGAAAGTGACAGACGATTGGAAACGATTGAGGTACAACGGAGTCGAAGCAATCTTCCAACATGGATGGGTCGCATGGTTCTGTACTGATCAGAAGAGCATCCTGCGGCAAGAGCGATTGCTGGCCAGTGATTAAGGACATTTGTATATCTAGGTATACAACCACCACCCACAAATGCCGCCGGAGTTTTCTTTCGTGGGCGATCACCGGCTCCATGTACCCTGGCATCCAGTCTTTGTGTAGTACCATGGTCATGGACAAGCGGACGACGAGACCCATAACGTTCCAACTGGTATCTAGAGCCCAGCACGTTGCATAAGCTACCGACTTCGCCAAAACCATCAAACATAGAGTAGAAATGTGCATGACGGTCGGACGAAACATGTATGATGTTCTCGCCAAACAAGCCTCGCTGGCGTAAAAGTATTCCGAAGAAGCCACTTCATCGCGAGCCAAAGCATAGGATCCGAGGCCCAGTACTACGAAGTACTGCGCAAGCCAGCTAGGATCTACTTGGGTATCGTGACTACTCTCCATCTTCGATACGAATGAAGAGGGGTCTAGGATCGGTAAACAGGGATTGTACACCCGGAAGTATGCCTCGACGTAGAGAGTAGCATTTGGTGTTGAGCTTTGCAAAAGCTTTTGTACTCTGTCGAGTGAAGCGTACGACTGAGACTCCGGACTACCTAACGGAAAGTTACCAGCCAACGCAAAGTCGCTTGAACAATTTCCCGCAATGTGCTCTCTCATAGCCATGACGAAAGGCGGCGCCTGCAGCCCGGGTAGTGCCTCCAACTAAAGACCGTCAGCACATGTGCAGTCGATGTGAAGTATTCTACATATGCATTACGAGCCCTACTCCGGCTTGCATATACTCCCAGCGCAATGCCTCAAAAAAGGTTTAGGCGGGTGGTTCAGATAGTGACAGACTCGGTAGGAGCCTTGGCAACATTGTGGCAGACAACATAGGGAGGACGCACCCGATCTAAGAGGGCTCTAAAATGACCCGAACCTCGTCTTCGTAGAAACCAGGTAGCGACAACAAACTCAGGGTCCTCAATTGCAAAGATAGATGACGGCAACGTCGACTTCTCGGACCTGTTCAACCTATGCGTATATATGCATGTCGTCTCGTATCCGGATCGTGTGCATCTGCTACACGGAGCTCTCCGATCGCACTTGATCTTGAGCCGATGGCATCTTGTGCAGGAAAAACAGGCTCGGGAGCGTCTTCTAATAACTGAGTGGGGTGAAGAAGCTTTAGATGCGGTATCGAGAAGTCCTTCCGAGCGGGTGGAAGACTCAAGTGGTGACGTTTCTGAGGTCTGTTCTTCGTAGATGCATTCGGCCTTGGCTTTGTGGCAGCGCGAGCAAGGTCGAAGTTTGTCGCATTGTCGTTTGGCTGAACGGCAGCGGGTGCAGGTCTGCACATCCCGAGCACGCATCACGGTGGTCTCCTGATTTGCGTCGGAGGTTGTCGGATATAAGCAAAGAAATGCAGCCGCAACATCTTTATGGTTCTCGAATATTGGAGCATGACAGTGGGGAGGCGAGGATGCGGGTGACGGCGGTAATCGGTATTGACGCATACTAACACTATCCGAGACTAGGTAGTCCGTGTGGGGCGCCAGCATCGTGGTTAACGGCGTGACTGACACAAACGCGTACTGCACTGCAAGGCACAGCAGCGGCTGAACACGTTCTGTTCCTATTGAAGATCTTGTGTTTTGGCTTGATAAGAGAGGATTATGATATGTTTGCACAATAACGTCACCGCGAAGAACATCAAGCTTGGCTTACCATCCGACTGGGCAATCATCTTCCTCTCATCGTCCGGCATGAACGTAACTCAACGTACCGCGTAGGCCTTGGGTAACCTAGAAACATAGCTTTGCTTGAATTCCAGATCACTTCCCCGACTTGACCCGATCGTTCTTCCCTACCAACCTAGCTTTTCGCTCTGGCTTGGCGTCCATTTGTACAAGATGCGGATGCGGCGCCGCCTAACACCGAGAGAAAATGACGGCACGGTAAACGTATAAGAATGTCAGCTACTCGTAAGTTGCTTCCTTCGACCTGTTCATTATCTCTTCCTTTGTCGCTTTATCGGCGTCCATTCCATTTTCGTCAACATGTCCGTCTCTCAAAGTGACACAAAAATGAACAACTCCATCGATATAGAACCTTCTGGATCGTATTCAAGACAGGCTATCACCCAAGCTTACCAAGAGCTACTTGCGAATCAAGTCTCTCAGCCGGACAAAATATTCATCGATGGCCACGAGCTCAAGCATCTTGATCCCAACTTTGCATCCCTCGATGAAAAGGCACAAGAACATCCTCGTGTAAGTAGAATTACACTCACGCCGGTCCCAGAACTGAAGTTGTGTCCCAGTCATGGCCGACCGCTAAGAAAATTCGAGCAACCGCTATTGTCGGAGGCTGCTGTTTCCTCTCCCCATTCGCAAGCACCATATTCGCACCATCCATTCATCTGGTGATGAAAGACCTGAGTATCACGGACAGTACTGTCGGCGCCCTACAAGTCTCCATATTTCTCTTTGCATTGGCTCTTGGCCCGCTCTTCATCGCTCCACTTAGTGAGAAGTACGGTAGAGCGGTTATCATACACTTAGGCAACGCTGTCTTCGTTGCATTCTCCCTCGGAGGAGGCTTCTCACGAACCGCTGCACAACTCTCAGTGTGCCGTTTGTTTGCTGGATTTGGAGGTAGTGCGGCCATTTCTGTTGTTGGTGGAGTCGTCGCGGATCTCTGGGATCTTGCTGCCCGTCCGAAAGCATCTGGACTCGTGATGCTCGGCCCGTAGGTTTATGCTTGTACATTTTCAGCAGTCTTGCTTACCAGAAACAGTGTTCTAGGCCCCGTCTTGGGTCCTGTATGTGGCGGTTGGATGTCGGAGCGAGTCTCATGGCGCTGGACTCTTTGGGTACCTGCGATCGCCAGCGCCTTACTCTCAGTGGCTGGGCTTTTTCTCCTCCCAGAGTCCTTTGGACCGAGAATTCTGCAGAAGAAACTGGGAAGAGAACGCAGTACCAATCCTCGCGCCAAACTATATACCGTACTGGATTTTCAGCACCGTCCGACTGACCCCGCAGCGCTTGTCAATGCGTTCGTTCGACCTTTGGCATACCTTGTGCTTGATCCTGCGCTACTGCTTGCATCGCTGTTCTACTCCGTGGTTTTTGGCGTTTTATACCTCATTATCGTTACGTACGCAGATGTGTTTGGTTCCGGATACGGACACTCTGTCGGAATCGTTGGTACAGACTTCCTCGCTGCTGGTATCGGTATGCTTCTTGGTACATTCGCCACTATCCGTGCTATGGAAGCTATCTTCAAGCGAGACACCGCATCTGGACAAATGAAGTATAGACCTGAGTCGAGACTCATCAGCTGCCTTGTTGGAGGAACATTATTGGTCGGTGGGCTGTTCATGTATGGGTTTACCGCCACACGAACCCACTTCATGGTTCCACTCGTGGCTACCATGCTCATGATGGCCGGAGGCATGAACATCCAACTCGCCCTACAACTGTACGCCATCGATGCCTTCAAGTTTCCCGCTTCTGCCGTCGCTGCCATCTCGTTCCTTCGCTGCATGTTCGCTGGTGCATTTCCGTTATTCGGAGAGAAACTTTTTGCCAAAATTGGCCTAGACTGGGGTGTGGGGTTGCTGGGGTTTCTAGTCCTAGGCGTGGGATTGCCGCTGGTACTACTGGTATTTGCAAACACCTGTTCTTGTTAATTGGAAATCAGCTGACCACATCATGCAGCTATACACCTATGGCGCCAAACTTCGCACGAAAGGTGCTGAGCGCATGGAACGTTTCGAAAGATCGAAAGCAGCCATGAGTTAATGTATTCTGGGGTAATCTGTCTGAACGCCTTCTTACGATAAACACCCATCAGTGTTTGAGTTGCAGTGCAACTCCAAGTGCGAGCAATGCTGTAACCTGCTCAATCGAATCCAGCCATATTTGACTCAGGTGGACCTAAATAGCTGTTCTTGACCCCGCCTCTGGTATCCAAAACAAGCTTCTCCAAGTAGACCTCAGGGCTGTTAACGCTCCAACGAAGCGTGTGAGCCCCTTCCTTTGCGTCACCAAGACTAACTTCCTTTGTCCACACCTGATTCATTACGTTGTTCGTCCATTCAGGTGGCACATCACCCGCGTCCTTCGGGTCACCTAACACACGTGTGAAATTTTGAGGAGCGTCATCAAGTGAAAGTGAAAACTCCATGAGAAGGTTGGGATCTGTATCTAAGCCAGCGTTGATGTAGATAGTGGCGTTGAGGGCAGGAGTGTCCTTGAAGAGGTAGATATTATATTCAACATATGCGGATTTCGAGTCGAGAAGAGAAGCCCGAGCAGCGTGGAAAGGCCGCAGAGCCACGGAGCCGGATTCAGTGCGCGTGCCAAGGTATGGAACGTGGACAAATGCTACTGTTTCACTCGCCGTTCTGGTATTCGGAGAGGAGGAAGATTGCTGGAAGTGTGGGCTTTCAATCGATACGTAACCAGCTGTCTCTGGAAAGCCGCGGAAATCAGTGGGTACTTTCCGATTTTGTACCGGGATACGTATGACGTCGTTGTATGGATAAAATGACGGTGTTGAAGTTATACCAACTTCCACTGTATCGTTGTATCCCTCCGGCACCTGTGTCCAGTCGATGGTGACATTGAGGCGTTGTTCTTCGGCCGTCACGTCAAGTCGGCCCGAACTTGGTGCAATTGACAGCCAATCCACTGGAATATCGCCAAGCTGCCAGTCGATTGGGACGCGGTAGTCACCTCGCATGAACAGATCTATAGTCCGCCTGGAAGGTCCATAAGGACTCATTTCTGGGAGCTGGGCTGGGGATTTGGTGAAGGGCATCGAAGGATCGATGGACTCAGCCCATCGACCCTGGTCGAGAGGGCTATTGGAACCCTCAGCGTAGATTCCGAGATTACCGACGGAGAACTGCATGTTTTGGCGCAACTGAACAAAGGAAAGGTTTGAGAGTATGTCGCGAGATGGGTTCATCCAGTTCTTTGCCTTTCCGGTATCGAACGTTTCGAGCTTGGCCTGAGACATGATATTTCTCCATTTGCCGTCAAGGAGGGCATCAAAATCCTGTACCAGATCGTAGTCATAGTCAAATTCAGCAAGAACCTGGTGGGCAAGTGCATTTGCTGAGTTCCTCCGTTCCATGGCATGTCGATAGTTGAGTCCCGTGCTGTGAAGACGAAGAAGTACGAAGTCAGTGTATGTCTCCTATGCATCTCGTATAGCCACAACTTACCCGATGTTTACTGCGTAGTGTGTAGCGCCCGATACTATGGGATAGAATACTAACTCATAGTATGCGGCTTTGTAATCCTCCGGTATCTGTTCAAACAATGTCTTGGTTTGATCAGCGAGCAGATTCCATCTTGCTAATATCCTTTCCGCTTCATGGTAGTTTAATATCGAGTATGTGTCTGGCTGAACCATCTCAAAGCGGCGCATTCCAATGAGGTAGTTGAATTCCATCAGTAGAGCCGCAACATCATCCGCATGTTCGCTACCGAGTTCCCGCTCGGAGTAGAGGCGCAGATACTCTGGTATTATATCAAAGTCAAATTTCGAGACGTCCCAAGCCAAGTCCATGGCGAACCCAAAGGGTTGCTCTAAAGGCTTGATATCCCCTAGATTTATGACCCAGACCTGGTTCGCGCCTCGCCAGTAAGCTTGCAAAAGTTCCTTCAAAACTTTTGGCTACGCTTGTAAGTCATTGATCTCCTTAATAAGATGCACTCACTAACCAAGTTGTTGGTATTCGACCACTTGTACGACCGCGGTCTACCGAAGTACTCAAAGTGGAAGTAAATACCAGCGCCGCCTTCTCTAGCAGTCTCATCGCCAGTGGGTAGCCGCAAAATCTGGCCATGGTTGTCATCGGGCATGATGATGGTGACCTGGTTATAGATGTATGAAGTCAGCATAAATCTTAGGTGCACTTTGTATCGAGAAGTTACTTGCGTCATCGGGCGGACTTAGTCCAGCGGCGTAGTAGGTCGCGACTTCCTTGTAGATTGTCCATGCCTCTACGCCGTATTAGCATGTCGCACACCTGTTTCCCTGAGAACCTTACGGTTTACTTTCTGGTCACCCAGAACTTCTTTGAAAATCTGACGTTCAACTTCAAACACTTCTCGCAGAATCTCCAAAGCATCATCCCCAACAATGGCAGAATCACTTGGACCTCTCATGCCTAGTGTCACATAGCTCTCGTTGTTTCCCATCCTACGGATCCCCTCTTCCATGAAGCGCGTTACGTTGTCCTTGTTCAATCTCCAATCCCAGGGCCCAGTCTCAGTCGCGTTCCACTCATTAGTCGCTCTTTGCATTGGCTCGTGATGGCTAGTAGAGACTACGATACCGTAGTCATCTGCAAGCTGCTGATTCCTCGGGTCATCGGTGAAGAAGATGTGGCCTGGGGCTGGTGTTGATGATCCCCACATGGCAGGCCACAAGTAATTGGCTTTTAGTCGAAGAAGCAGGTCGAAAACATGTGAGTAAAACTCCGTGTCTAGAGGATAGTAGGAGGAGTTGTGTCGCGCAGCCCACCAAGTGACCAGCGCTGGAGCTTCGTCATTAATGAAGAGCCCTCTGTACTTGACTGATGGTGGGCCATGAACAGTAGCTTTTGGCAATGCGAAAATGGCGGCGTGTTTCTTCGTGGGAACATCCGCCCACCAGTGGTACCTGATGCAGCTCATTAATTGACGTCTAGATTTACACGACGTACACACTTACGGAGACTGACCACTCTGTTCGGCGAGCGTGTGTATACCAAAGATAGTGCCGCGTTTATCGCTACCTACGATGACCAACGCTCGTTCAACTCCAGCTATTGGGTTGGCGATGACAGCCGTTTTAAACACTTCCCATCTCCCCTCAACGTCTGAGATGTCGAGACCTTTCTCGGCAGAAATTTGGCGAATGAGCTTCGAGCCCACAGAGCCGACAATGACTCCAGTTGCTGAAGCTGGTACTGTGGAATTGGTGGTGGCATTGTTGAGTGCGGGTCGGATTCCAGTGATCTGTTCGAAGTCTTCCACTAAACTTTTGAGCGCAATGTGAACACCTAAAAAGTCATCCGCATCGGCTATGAGTGTGGCCCCAGCAATGTCCAAGGTTTGATCTTCAGGCTCGAAGCCCACGAACTTTTCCTCAAGCAGTGCATGTACTGTGAATTCCGAAAAGGCACAAACGGCCACGAAGAGATTTAGAATCTGCATTACTGGAAGACAGGAACTAGGGGCAAGTACCTAGCTGGGCTACGAAGTGGTCTGATCTGAAGACTATAACGTTACCATCAGTGTAATGAAGACTGGGCGGGGAAGTACCCAGGATTGGAAATGCTCCCTGCGGAGAAAGCCTACAACCGCATACGGATTTCTAGCTTTGCCATACGAGCGTCGCCAACTCTTGGTTCCATGGCGAATGGACCTGCTCATCTTTGAACTGCATGCTAAGGAAGCCGTAGTGATCATCTGAGGTCGCTAAGCCCAGAGTGGAACTCAGCATGTCGGTCGAAGCTACGGGCTCGGGTTAAAGTCATCCGCGTTCAACACATACTGCAACGAGCTGAGATCATGGAGGCTGCATCTGAGCAAGACATTGTCCCGACGTGCGTTGCGAACATGTGGACGTACGACACCTCGTGTCTAGCGTGTCTTCCCCGCATCATACTCGATGGAAGCTACGGAGCGAGTCCGGTGCTGACAGTATCTTGAGTGAGCTTCGTTTGTACCAAATTGATACTTATCCCGGTTAATCGTAGTTTGAGGACATTTCTCCATCACAGTTCTGGAGCTGTTCATTACAGCTGGATCGGAATCGCGCTTGTGGGTGGTGACGTCACGCGTCTTAGCGCTGATTCTATTCCAGACGCGTTGTTTCACGGACAACTCTTGCTTCAACAACGGTGCCTTCATAGTGTCACCGAGCATGCCACCGAGATTATTCTATATTGCCTAGCTTTGTCTCTTGTTCGGCCTCCATATATGAGGTCCTCACCACCATCAAATGTACCTTAGCACAAGCACGGTACTCTCGCAAGTCTTATCTAGAAGCCATCCTTCATGTACGTTGCGTAATTTACAGCAGCAGCTAACAAAGCGTTCATGTATACAAACAGTACCCTATCCGTGGTACTTCGTACTGTTGCCCGACCTAGGCCTAGAGAAGCAGCTCGGTCCGCTGCACTTCAAGTCGAAGAAATCCATCACAGTGTCGCTATCTGTCGGGATGTCGTGTGTAACACTACCAGCTTCATACGCCTCGAATTTATCGCCATACCGAAATCTTGTCCAGCCTTGGAAAGGAACGTTTTCTGTAATTTCGGTCGGTTTCTGGCTCACACCGAATACACTCGTCCATTGCTTGATCTGCTCGCGGAAGTTTTGTGGATAAAGCGTCGTGTCTGCTGTTCCATGAAGAGTCTGGAACTTAGGACGGAAGCCGCGATACGAAGGGTATGCGTTGCGCACGAGAGCTGCCCACTGGGGCCCAGTCTTAATGATCTGGCCAGTGGCACACGCGTCACTCCAGACATCGAAGCCGTCGCCGGCAAAGCATCCGAATGGTACACCCGCCCATGCGCTTCCTGCAGCAAAGACATCTGGGTAGCTTCCGATGAGCACATTTGTCATCATTGCACCTGAACTGCAGATGTGAAGATGCGAGGTCAGTGTATGTCTCACATATATATTCTACGGGCTCAACAAACCTCGTGCCGGTAACAAAAACGCGGTCTTTGTCTGCATGATACTTTTCCAAGGTCCACCGTACCATGGATACAATGCCGAGCGCGTCGCCTCCGCCATTGTGAGTGAGCGATTGCTGGCTACTGACATCCCAGCATTGGTCCGTGTTCAATGTTGAAGCATTAGGATAGATCGAGATGAAGCCGTACTCGTCGCCGAGAGAAGCCCAAGGTCTATAGTCAAAGACCTTGAAGGTAAGATATCAAGTCAGTGCATGTCGAAGACTTGTTTGAACGATCGCAACGTACCTGCTGTGCCGTGCCGTGACACCAATGTGGGGATACCTATTGGATTTAGCCTTTGGACGCTGAATAGAAAAAATGTGGTGATACCAAAATCGGTGGATTAGGCGGAAGATTTGCCGGCACGTAAATGAACATCGAAACGTTTCGCGGATTCGGGCCGAAGTCACTGATTTATTAGTATCGAAAACATCCTATTCCTGATGGCATCTTACATGATTTCCGTGAGTTTCGAGGTGAGCTGCGCAGATGTGACCGCTACGCATAGCACCTGCAGGATGGCAATTGAGGCGAACATCATGTTGACTGAGATGAATCTTGATCGTCTTGGGTTTCACTTTACAGTGCCATGGCGGCTTCTTATAGCCTTACTCGAGCAAGGTTCTACGAGAGCACCTAGCACAGCGATCTACCCTGTAGCTAGCCCAGGTTCCAGATGGTGGTAGACTAGGTTGCATGTCACGCTTGCGCGTACATCCGAGTATGCTCAACGCATCAGTCGTCCGGCTATACCTATTCTGACACGGAGGGGAGCACACATTAATATCTTGCAATGTTTCTCCGCAGTCATTCGCCGCTAGCCCCGCTCGCCTAAGTCAAGCACTGGAGTAAGTACCGAAACAAGCATGAATCTGAAGGTGACAATTCTGCAGGATGTAGCATTAGATGGTTTAGCTCGCGCAAAAAGCATTGCCAACAGTATATCAACGATCGTACGCACGGCCCGAATCTACACCAGGTTCACGATCTATCGCGACTATCGTACGTGTCAGTATTGTGTAGACATTGTGCGGAAACATTGTGAAAGAGATACGGGCTCCGAAGACTTTTGGGTTATCAGACTATGTTGTTGCTATACAATGAACTTGAAAGAGTAGGGGCCCAAAACGCATCGTCTCGATTGAAATGTATATGAGAAAATGTTCCTTATCCTGAGGAGATTTATCCACATGATCCCACAAGACTTCTCACGCTCATTCTGTAAGACCAAGTAAGAATGCCTCAACTAACACAGCACGATGTCTTCCAGACGATCCAGGACGAAGCCAAGCATAAGAAAGACGAAGGTACAACACTGACCAAGGCCGACATTACTGAACATCTGAAGGAGTTGTACAATCCGTACTTGAGAGGTCGGTTATACTTCTATGCTCAAGACCAAGATGGTCTACCAATATGCAGAGTGCCTACATACCTAGCTAGTAACAAGACCTACTGCTCCGTTGCTCGGGAAAATGTTTTTGGTGTCGAAGACTGGCAAAGCCAACCTAGACCGACAGAATTCATAGGCAATGTCTGGCCGCCAAAGGTGATTGAAGATCTCATTGGAAACGTCGACGAGACTGAGTACGCAGTAATGAAATGTTACGTATGTAAAGAAGTAGGAAAAGCCTTCTGCACATGTGGATACAAGTCTTGGAGAGATTACTGGCCTGACTACTGGATCACCTGTCTATTGTTGCGGAGAGCCGGTGCCCGCGGTTACGGCATTTTTGCACGCGAAGCGATACAAGTCTCAACCATCGTAGGAGAGTATACAGGCCGTATCAAACCAGTCAAGCCCAACGAGGAAGATGGAGAGGATGCTTACCGTGTACCGATCTCAATTGGACGACTTCAAATGAAACAAAATTCGCAACCCACGGCTATACTTAGTGCTCTCCATACCGGGTCAATATCAAGATTTATCAATCACTCGTGTAACTCAAATGCGCGGTTGCAGGAGTTTCAATGCGGTTTGGAACGCCGCGTCATCTACGTGGTGACAACACGCGACATTAACATCAACGAAGAGCTAACGATAGACTATGGTCCAGAGTCGTTTGACGGCGACTGCCTTTGTGGCAGTATTGGTTGCAAAAACCCACCAGAGAGTCCTAAGCTACTCGATGCGCCCGTAAAAGATCTTAGTGAAGAACAGGCAGATGAGGAAGACTCCTATTCGGATGCCTGGGATACGGACTACAGGTCTTCTGACCCTGAATACGAAGAAGATTCTGAGTACGAAGAGGACACGGATTGCGAGAAGCGTCGAAAGAGAAAGGGAAAAACTCACTAAGACTATTTCGATGACTGGTATAATCCACTTCTTCACATGGGCATTGATCTGTAAGTAGATCATCTAATACTTTTAATCATACTACCACCCTGCCACTCCTCCATTGACCATGAGTTTATCAAGAACTTCCCCTCGAATCAAAGCCTCAGCTCCAACCAGACCAGTTGGAACATCTTGCAAGACGGTGAGACCATGACAAAGCGTATAGTCGTCTAATACTGCTGTTGCCTTCCCAACAGCTATACTGGTCTCATGAATTTTCGGTGCTAGCGTACCGTGTTGCACAAACGGTGCTGCGAGACGCACTGCTAGGTCACTGCAAGACTTCGAATCGGTTATGGCAATCGTGACATTGATCGACGAACCCTCCAGCGCTGTCAAACTGGGTACGAAAAAGGCTTGACTAGTGATCGGGAAAGGCGATTCTGATATACCCGGTCCGTACACCAAGAACGATGTTGCACCATGAATGGTAGGTCCAGATAGCGAGAACGGAAAGTACGATGTGATTCCGTATATACTGTTGCTCCGACCGAACACGGAGCTTCCAGTCTCGGCTTCCGGCTCAATCTTTGTCTCGTGTTGGTTGATGCGAATATTCAATGATGATGGCGGAGGAACACCCGCTGGGGTGAGGATTCTGATCTTTCCGTTGAGCATTAATTTTCCGTCTTCGTTGAAGTCGTATGTCACATTGATTGGCTTGATAAGGATTGCTGTAACTGGCTCACTCAGCTGGACACCAGCAGGTACTGTATTAATGGCTCGACTCATAAGCTCGACACACGTATCCAGAAAACCCGTGCCTTGGGCAAACAGGGCATGCACAGTGGCGTTCTTGTCGCTTTCGTACAATCGCAGATCGGACTTCATAGTGTCGTTGTATGAGGTGACTAATGGTCCTCCTTTATTCCCTGTTCCATTTAGGTATTCGCCGAGGACATTGGGATCAAACACGCCACGTGTAGTGTCGAAATTGCTACCGCCGTTCGTGTTCTCGGGTGTAACGAAACTCTCATCTACGACTTCAGGGAAACCACCCTAAAGGGGTTAGCGATTGGAAGCTAGTCCAAGCGCTTTGTGTATACGTACATGGTGAACAGATCCTATAGTGTGTCCACAAGCTGTAAGACCGATAGCATCTACCTTGTCGAATCCAGCGCGCTCGAAGAACAGCAAAGTTTCTTCGAGATCAGTCTCTGGTGCGGGTACTCCAGTAGTACGTCCAGCCTCTGTCGCATCGGTGCGCCCAGCGCGGTAAGGCATCTGCGCACCTCCACACAAGTTATTAGACATGACGGTGGCGAGCGCGATGAGATCCGCCACTACCAACACATCAGCACCATTATTTACTCTCGATCGGTTCCGAACTTACTGGAAAGTCCATCGTGAACGAATGGCCTCCAAAATGCAAAACTGTCGTTGAAAGCACTCCCTTTGTTCTCCACTCTTGCCGTTTCGAACCCGATGCTAGCATCGATACCACCCGTGCCTGCGCTCACATTCGCAGTGACGAAGTCATGAAACATGACGCGCATCCATTGTGCCGACGTCGTGCGGCCGCTTGTCAGCGCCATAGTCCCAGTCTGCGAGACATAGCGTGTGCAAGGGGTTATTGCGGAAGAGAAGTTCGATGCGTATGCTCCCCAGTTGTCGACGAGGACGTGTTCGATGAAGGAGAGAGCCGGCGTAGGGTGATAAAGAGCAGCGTGCGTAAGTGGAAGCGCGTACAAAAGGGAGAGGATATTAAGTGGGACCATTGTGGCTACTACCATGAAGCATGCGCACAAATTAAGAAAGAGACCGACGTTGGATGCGCAGAGAAAGGGTCATGTTATATCCGCTCGTACTCCTGGGACATATTGGGAATATTTCCTATTCCGTATTTTGTGTTACACTGCAGCTATCAGATGTTCTAGTCTTCAAAGTAGCGTCTAATGTGCGGCCACAACTGAGAGCTGATCGGCGGAAACAACCTATTGGCTGCATCGTGCAAGAACGACCTGATGCGGAAGATTCGTCGTGATTAGATAAGCCACATTGAGCTGACATTCGCATGCCACCTGCCGTTCAGATAGCTTGAAGCTCAATATCTGCTGGGCTGCTTATAGCTTGGCGGGGTTGATCGCTACTCACACTCTTCCTACAGCCCACGCGCTACCTAACTTCAACCACCTAGTGACAACAAGCGCCGCAACACCCGCACCCATAACAGCTGCCGCACAGAGCCATACTCCTTTGAAGTTGTCTACTGCACCGTTGCCTTCTCCTTTGATAGCGCCAGTAGCGGGATTACCAAACAATCCACCGAAAGCAGCGACGAGGTACGCAAGACCAAGTCGAACGCCAATTTCAGCCTTGTTCGGCGACAGATCAGTAATGGTAGGTCCAGGAATGATGATGACGCCGCCAGAAAGGAAGCCATATACGATACTAATGGCAATGAGACCGTTGATTTCATGGGCGAGAGGAAGCATGCAGAGGGTGATGATGCATGCGATGGCAAGAGGAAGTAGGGTGTTGACACCACCGTACCTGAGACTATTAGCCGACGGCTACTACAAGGATAAGGTGATGGAAACGTACCGGTCAGCAATGAAGTTGGGCACAAAACGTCCAAAGATGTTGGCAGCGTTCATGATCGAAAGCAAGTTGAACGCCATGTCCTTGGACACACCCAATTTGATGGCATACTCCTGGATGAAGAAGAATGGTACAAATGATGATGCAACAAACAGCGTAAATGCAATGACGAACACCGTGTATGGCACATCTTTGAAGTGATGAAATCCGAAGCTAGAGCCCTTGGATCCATACTGGAGTTGCAATCGCATCACAACAAAAGCGACAAGATTCGTGATGAGAATGATGAGCGCGAAGATGCGGACGGCCCATCCAAAACCCATGCTGAGGAAAAGCGAGCGTAAAGAAATTGTAAAGACGATACCAGCCACACTGGCACCAGTTGACGCAAGACCAGTAGCCAGCATACGTTTCTTCTCGAAGAACATGGCTAGCACAGCGACGGGGACTATTGCCATCAGCCCGCTTCCAATGCCCATAAGCACTCCTTGGGCGAAGAAGATGGCCCAGTAGCTCTTGAAGAAGGAAGTCAGGATCAGTCCAAGCACTTCTAGCGCCGTGCCGACTGCAATAACACTTTTGAGGTATCCTCGATCAAGCAGTACACCTCCAGGCAAGCAACCGATAGTGGTGAAGAACAGCTGGATCGATCCGATCCATGCGATGCGCGCCGCATCCTGCCCTGGAAGTAAAGAATCAACGTAATAGGTTTGGAAGACACCAAATGTATTTGGCAAACCCCTTCGTCCTGTTAGCGTCTGTATCACGGCGTGTGGTAGACTTTGAGGGAACTCACCAGCTATTCGCAAACAGAATAAATCCACCCAAAACCTGCATCCACGCTACTTTTCCATGATCGATGGGGTAGTCCTCGTTAGCCTGCGCGCTCGCTGTGATCTCATGAGCGAGTAGCTGTTCCGTTCTCTCCCGCTGCACCTCGTGATAAGAAAGCAACGGCTCTCTTTCGTCGGCCATTTTTTTTTTCAGGACTTCCGCGTGGAGATTTCTGGGGTCTGTGGGTAGCAATACCCGTTTGTTGGGGGCAGCGACTTGTTTTTCTCAGGGACGCTGTTTGATGGGCGCTAGTGAGTAGTTGCCGCGGCTGATCGTCATATTTAGTCATAAATATGCAGGTACGGGTCTGAGCCGTGAAAGCGTTCGCACATGAGAAGTAAAACCATGGATTTGATCTTTATTCACAAATCCGCCAATTAAGGTACCATGATTAGTGTACTAGGTAAGTCTCCAGGTGCAAGCTATATATACAAAAATCAAGTCATGACATGAATCATGGAATGCTCCCCCACGCTAGTCAGACTACAATGACGCCCTCGCCTGTCCAACAGACGGCTTCGCCTCAGGGTCTTGATGAGCTCCAAGTATGAGCTGATTCAAAGTGTCGACGGTGTTGTCAACGGGGGAATCTACCAACCACCCGGCACTCTGCAAACCATACTCAAACCTTTCCATATCAGCTTGGGTAAGGCTGAGCATAACCTCATACGGCTCTCCTTCTTGCCCTTCTTTGTCTTCTTCCCTGGGCAGAACTACGATGCCACCCTCGCTTACCCAAGCCGCCCTCCGGATTGCAGTTGCGTTAGGCGTACTAGTTCCAGGAATGTACCATTCACGGTCGGCGCCCATCCTCTGCCAGCTAGTGATGTACAGATCCGGACCTTTGGGGAATTTCAGAAGAGATTGTTGGGCTTCGGTGGGGTTCGTAAGAACGCTGTTAATTTGCGTAATCGCCCACGCCGCATCAACAGCATGCAGAGCATCTGTGATTTTGACTGCAAGGTTCTCAAGGCAAAAGCTCTGCTGGTCTGCAGGAACAGTCATTGCCGGAAAAAAGCTGTCTGGAGCATGGAGGGCTTCCTCTCGCAGCGACGTTACGCGGTCAGGTACCGCATTCTCAAGATCGAGGGTAGGTAGGGCAGACAGTACGAGGTTTCCGAGGTAATCCGGCGATGAAAAGGGAATTGGAAGATATTTTCTGAGATCTACAACGACAGCGAGTGTGGACTGCTTGTTGTCTGAAGCAGCGAGCAATGCTGATCGAGCATGTACAATGTTTCCCCAGATAATCGCTGACAGTGCGGTAAAGATAGAGATATTTCTGCCAGTCTTGGTCGATAGCTGGCTGCGAAGCTTTTGAAGAGCTGGCGATGAGAAGCGGAACATGTTCGTGATGACCTTTTGTAGTCCTTCATCCGGTCCCTTGCGCAGTTCGTAACGCTTGGCAAGTAGCGGGTTCCCTGAATGATCTGCAAAGCTGTCTGCTACACCAGCTTCTTGGACCAGCGTTGCGAGTGCGCTTCGGGCTGATGACGGATCTGGAATGTCGTTCCACTCTTTAATAATCGCCTGCAGTGGTTGGAGCTGATCTTTGTAGCTGGGTGCTCGGTAGAATTTGGAAACCCTAAGCACTGGTTTGCTCGCTTGAGGATGCAAGGCTCGTACTGCGTCACTCCATATTTTCTGGATCCTTGCATTTCCCGTCCCGTCAAGGACAGCGTGATAGAACCAAGCGCTCAGCACCAAACCCCCAGGAATGAATGTAGCCTGGGTCGCGAAAACTGGAACTGGACCTTTTTGCAATGAAGTCATCCTCTCGGCGTATGGGTCGCTGCCTAGTCCAGCGTGGTATTTCAACTCGTTTGGACAAAATATGGTAGCGGGCAACTCGCCGGGTTCGAACGCGTCTTCGGCAAGAGCGTCGTAGTCGTGTTGTGCATCATCGTAGCTAACCGTGAAGACGCGACGGGCTTCCGCTTCGAGATCGATGGGGTCGGGGTAGCGTACTCGAAGAAGTTGTGTAGAGGGGTCGGGAATGTCTACCGTGCCGGCAAGATAAGGAAATCGTCGCAAGACTTCCTTGAAGCCCGTGTGTAGCGCTTCTTTGGCTGCGTGCGCATAAGTGATGTCTGGGAACGGAAAGATGATGTAGTAGCGTCCGTATACGCGTATATGAGGTTGTTGGTCGAGGTGAGATAGCTCTAGCTCTTTCGTGGTGTCGCCTGGCATTTTGGTGAAAGAGGCCTAGAGAAGTTTACGAAAGTAGGTGACTTCCGTTTCTGGTCCTTTTCTGTAGCAAAGGCCTTCAAGGTGCGCTCTAAAGGTACGTCGGCAGTTGAGTTGTAGTTGGTTGAAGTGCGAGAATCTCCAAGAGGGTTCCAAGAGAATCTTCCAGCTAGTATAAATACTTCGCGGTTCTGTGTAGTCGCACTTTGACGAGGTAGCGCAGGTGAATGCATCGCTTTGTGCTGTGCAGTCACACTTTGACGTGATAGTACAGGTGAAGGCATCTTGGTTGATCGTAGTTGCAGACGGGTGCTGCTGTGATTGATATGCAACAAAAGACAAGCAAAAAGCACATTGCTTTAATCTCCGAGCTATGACATGGTTCTGAACATGCGCTGGCGATCCCATCACACGGAGTGCTTGATGGGGCTGAAGCTATTGGGCACGGGCTGCAAACCGCCTGCGGATTGCGTGGTATGACAATCAGCGGTCTAAGCAGATTAGGTTCATGCCAGACGTCGCTCGAGTCCGATCATGGTCTTCTGGTCAACCTGTCCGCCCAACACGCCAGCCTTCTGCAGTATACCAACGGTCTTGTTGACCACCTCCTTGTCTACGCCCTTGACATCTTTGGCAAAGCGAACAGTCTTCAGCCATTCTCTCGCGTCCTCTTCTGAGTAATCGAGCTTGGTGCTGATGTACTGCACAGCCTCTTCCTGGTTCTCTTCAAAGTGTCTAACGCCCTTGTTGACCTTGTCCATGACGTCGTCGAGCTCCCCAGTAAGCACTGGTTTGCTTGCGTTGGGCGACGAACTCCAGTTCTTTGGGTTCAATAGATGGTGTGCAGCGACGATCTTCCAGGAAGACCACGGCGTGTAGATCTCACCAATGCGCTTGATCTCGCCGTTGTCGTAGTAGCGCTTCGATGTAAAGTGCTCCCACATGAAGAAGTCTGCTGTGCCGTCATTGACTCCATCGCGGAGGTTTGCGAACGTGTTCAACGGCTCGACTGGGAATGGTGGGCTGTCCGACGTCGTGTCCAGCCAGCCTTGTTGGTCAGCCAGCACGAAGCTCATGACGTAGCTTCCGCTTCCGATTCTTGACACGCCGACCTTGCTGCCCTTCAGGTCCTGGATGCCGTTGAGCTCGTTTCTACGGGCACCTGTCGATATGGCCCAGCACAGTGGAGTCTCAACATAGGTACCCACTACGCTGAAGCCAGCGTCCTCCTTAGCTGCCTGTGCTTTTCCCAGCGCCGCTATCCAGCCTTCGGTGAGGCCAACACCAATGTCGATCTCGTTGGACTGCAGAGCGGTGACCATGTGGCCTGTACCACTGGGGTAAGGGATGAGCTTCGCATCGAGGCCATAGTGTTTCTTCGCGAACTCGAGTGGGGTGGAGAAGTGTTCTGTTGCCGTTAGCTGGATGTGTAGAGTGAGTGATGACGCGCTTACCCGGTACGAATCCGATGCGTAGCGGCGCCATGGCTGCACTGTGTGTTGAGAAGCTTCGGACTGGTCGCGGTGCTGATGAAAGACGGGCAAGTCGCAGTGTGCGCAGCATTGCTGACTATGTTTCACAGTACGGGAAGCGGGCACAGTGAGGGGAAACTCGAGTGATGAGGGACAACGGACGCGCTGTAGGGCCGAATCGTCAGTCTACAGCCGGTGGTATTCGTCTGGCAGCTTGACGCAGCTGCCCTCCGAGGTCGATGATGCGCAACTGCCTCGCCTAGTTCCGATCGGAAGACAATTCCGACAAGCCCCGAATCTCGGGCGCTCTAGCATCATGGCCATCTGAACATCTCGGCGTCATCTCCTATCACCGTTTCTTCTCTATGGTCTCTTTTGTGTTTTCGGGATATCCTCGATCTAGAACTTGCATTAGATCGGCGCCCAACCCCCTACCATCTCTCCTGTCTCGTCTTTTCGCCACTCTAGAGCCACGTACAATGTCTTCCGATAGTGACAGAATATCACTAAGAGCTCGGACGATCGCAATAGTGGGCGCGGGGCCTTCAGGGGTGGTGGCAGCGAAATACCTCCGCGCAGAGAAAGCATTCGACAAGATTGTGTTGTTCGAACAACGAAGTAGACCAGGAGGAATATGGATATACACAGGCGATCAACGAGACGAGAATCTCTTCGACATACCCCAGACTAATCCAAACAAAGACGTACAAAAGCCGGAATGGCAGTCCAAAGAAGCAGTAGCGAATGGGAGTATCGATGCCACTGGGATAAACGGCGCATCAAGGATACCTTCATTCTTATCACCAATGTACGAGAAGCTGGAGACGAACATACCCAGGGGATTGATGGGCTTCCAGGATCTGGACTGGCCATCTGATAGCCAATTATTTCCTACGCACCAGACGGTACTCAAATACATCAACGACTACTCTGCGGACGTCCAAAGTCTTGTTCGATACTGCACACAAGTGACCAGTATCAACCCAGTTGATCTGAATAAGACTAGCAGCTCATGGACCGTCACGACACGGAATCTGATCACGAACGAAGACACTTCCGAAGTATACGATGCAGTGATTGTAGCAAACGGCCATTTCATAGTTCCCTACATCCCTCCCATGGATGGTATCAAGGAATGGGCCGCACAGCACCCTGGCCGCATTAGTCATTCGAAATACTACCGCAAACCCGAAGACTTCAGTACAAAAAAAGTAATCGTTGTAGGCAACTCGGCATCAGGCGCAGACGTCAGTGCCCAGATTGCCGAGTTCTGCCAAAAGCCGCTGCTATGGTCTACACGCTCACAGTCCATGTTTAGCGCTACGCATGGAACAGCAGGTGAAGATCAAAAGAGACGAGAAGTTCCGCCAATAAAGAAGTTTATCCCCGATAGTAGAGGTGTTATGTTTGAAGATGGGACGGAAGAGCTCGACATTGACGCTATCGTTTTTGCTACAGGTTACTTCTACAGTCTGCCTTTTCTACAAGATGTGAAGCCTGAACTCATCACAACCGGCGAGAGAGTAAACAACACCTACCAGCACCTCTTTTACGCGCCACGGCCTACTTTGAGCTTCTTAGCCCTAAACCAACGCGTAATCCCTTTTCCTATAGCAGAAGCGCAATCCGCCGTCCTTGCACGCGTGTTTTCCGGTCGGCTTTCCCTACCACCACTGTCCGACATGCGCAAGTGGGAAAGAGCCATAGATGAAGAGATGGGCGCTGGGCGAAACTTCCATCTCTTACCCTTTCCCAAAGATGCAAATTATATCAATGCAATGAGTAAATGGGCATTGAGCGCTGAGAACAAAGAGAATCTAGAGAACAAGGGCAAAGGAAAGATACCACCCATCTGGGGCGAATGGCAATACTGGTGTCGTGAAAACTTTCCGAAGATACGACAGGCTTTTGGCAAGATGGGAGAGAAGAGAAGAGAGATTAGAGACGTCAAGGAATTAGGCTTTGACTTTGAAGAATACCAGAAAGAGCAAGCACTAGAGAACAATGGCGGAAAGAACAAGGAGGACGAAGAGCTGAGCTAGGAACGATTGATTGAGGAACTCTCCGTCCTGCGCTAGACGCATATTTATACAGACTGATACCGTAATGTCTGATCTAGCAATCTCTCTAAACATCTGTCGCCACACGATCCAATTTGTCTGTTCATTTCGAACCTCCTGCTTGATCTCATCCTTTTAACGATAATCCTCTCCTTTTCTTATGATTCTTTGAAGAACATGCTAGACAATTAGCATATCGAGCAGTGCTGTCATAGTGAATTTGGAGTAACGGATCGACTTTCAAGCATCATCTTTCCTCCACCACAGGACTATCTCCTCCCCGTCCTCAATCCAGTCATCGAGTCCAAAGCAGCTCGACTGCTGCGCAGTCAGCGGTAGTAAACGCTTCAAAAGGCCCTTCCATAGCGCTGTCTCACTTGCACCCGCAGCCCAACAAACAACCACCCTCCCCACGCTTCCCTTCTCAACTTCTTCATCTTCGTCAACAAATTTCCTCACGATCAACTGCCTCAAGTAACGAATCATATGAACAGATGTATGATAACTGTTCGGCTGTGAATTCTCCGGCATCCGCTGAGGCGCTGGCATCTGCTGTGGTTGCAGAACGATCTTGAGAGCTTCTGTAAGAGGCAGCCTACGCATTCTCAGCACTTCCGCCAAAAGCACTTCTAATGTGATCAGGTGGCGGATATTCTGATGACCAACAGGAAGTGAAAGTGTCATGGTAGTGATAGCCAACAGTCCAGCACCTCTTGACGGAACGTTGACGTCAAAGTCTATTTGTGGAAAGCGTATGCGTAGTTCGGATATCATCTGTGTCAAGTGCTTTTGGTGGTAGAATGTGACTTCCTCGAGACATTAGTGAGCTAGCTGACGATTGACCTTGAGTATGAAGGAGAGGTCCTGTGACGCACGAATGAGGTGCGCGAACATGTTGTTACGGACTTCGCGATGGAGATTCAGTAGAAGGACCATGTTCTGATGCCAGTAAATGGTAGCGGGTAGTGTGAGACAATACCAGAGGCTTATCCGGAAGTTATATGTAAACACTTCAACAACCCAAACAGTGTTGAAGGCATTGCTGTAAGGGCTCAGAAACCACAAACCTGTATCCTGGAAACAGCTGGCATAGTCATTCTCATCGGACCAAACATGATGACCGAAACTTGTGGATAGGGAGAAGATTAAAGAGGGAAGCAGGCGGAAGTAGTGACATACGATGTGTACCTCAACGCAGAGAATCCCCCAGATGTGATAACAAACCCAAACGCCGCGGCTATGCATCAAAAATCGCAAACTGATATCCTCATAGCTCTGACACTACCTCCTCCCCTTGCCTTGCCCTGCACCAGCACCACCTCCACCCATGCCCGGCATGCCACCCATACCACCCATCATCTTCATCATGGCACCCATATCAGGCATGCCACCCATGCCGCCTAGGGCGGACATGTCGGGCATGCCGCCACCGCCGCCTCCACCGAGCATCTTCATCATAGCACCAATATCTGGCATACCACCACCAGCACCGCCGGCGCCTCCTCCCATACTTTGCATGCGCTTCTGCATAGCCGCGAGTTGCTGTTGCTTGTTTCCTCCTCCCATGGCACCCTGTGCTTTCTGCATGTTCGCCATTCCACCCTTCATCTTCTTCGCCATGCCGGCCATCATACGGTGTTGGGTAAGTAGTTCCTCGACTTCACGCACTGAGGTACCGGAGCCACGAGCGATGCGTGTCATACGTGTGGGCTGATCAACGAACATCTTTCCATCCGACTCTAGCTCTTTCTCAGTCATACTGTCGCAGATGTAAATCATGCGTTTGAGCTTAGTGCCACCCTCCTCATCGTCCATACCACCCATCATGCTGCTGAGACCGGGAATCATGCCTGCCATCTTAGACAATGGTCCCATCTTCATGATGTTGGAGAGCTGATCCCGCAGGTCCTTGATGGTGAAGATTCCCTGAGTGATATGCTTCATGGTGTCTTTCTGGTCGAGTTTGAGCGATTGCACGTGTTCGACAAGCCCTTGCACGTCCCCCATGCCAAGCAGTTTCGAGACGAAAGCCTGTGGCGCGAAGCGCTCGAGATCCAGCATGTGCTCTCCGTTTCCGAGGAAGACAATAGGCGTGTGCGTTGCTGCGACGGCGGAAATGGCACCACCTCCTGCTGCTGCACCATCTGTCTTGGTAATGACGATAGCTCCGAAGTCTGCAGCCTCCTTGAAGGCGCGCGCTTGCGACTCAGCAGCCTGGCCAATTGTTCCATCCAGCACCATGATTGTCTGATCGGGAGTTACGGCATTCTGAATCTGCACCATCTCGTCGAAAAGGTCCGTCTCTTGTCGGTGACGTCCAGAGGTATCCACGATGATGATCTCGAAGCGCTCCTTCTTGAACTTGTCCACCCCCTCGGCTGCCACGACGACAGGATCGGTCTGTGTATGGCTACCGTAGTATGGGATCTTCGCCTTGGTTGCGTTCTGCTTCAGTTGATCAAAGGCACCAGCACGGAAGGTATCGGCGCACACCAGACAGGCCTTGAAGCCTCTTGCCTGGTACCATCTCGCCAGCTTTGTACACGTTGTCGTCTTACCCGCACCCTGCAGACCAACAAACATGATGACGTTCGATTTGCCCTTGCGGGGCTTGAAGGGTTCGGCGTGGGGGTCGACCATCTTGACGAGTTCATCGAAGACGGCTTTCTGGATGAGGCGCTTCTTGTTCACGCCTGGCGCGAGATGCTTGAAGTCAACGGCTTTCTTGATGGATTGTCGCAGGTTCATGACGAGTTTGACGTTGACATCGGCTTCGACGAGGGCGTTGGAGATCTCCTTGACCATGGCTTCGAAAGCCTGCGCATGTTAGCCACCTAGCATCATGTTGCCCTCTCCTGTGGCGGCACGCACCTTCTCATCGAGGTTTGGCGACCTCGTGAGGTCAGTGACGGCGGCATTGATGCGCCGCCCGAGATCTTGAAGCACCATAGCGGCGGTTGTTGAGGGGGGTATCGGGGGTATCGGGGGTATCGGGGGTTGGGTGAGGTTGTAGGGTGTTTGGTGCTGGTCATCTCTCGTGGTGTTCTGTGGGGAATCCAGTATGGCGGGGCGCGCTTGTCGTCGTCGGTGTGATTTGGGCTGCTAATGCCGATCGCCTCTGGAACTTTTTTCTGCGTCCGCGCTCTACTTGCAACATTCACAAATCTCGACTTTCACAACCACAATGGTCAACACATCGCTGAAACGGAGACGGACCGAGGAGCAGTTGCGCGGAAAGGTGCCAAAGAAGGAGAAGAGAAAGGTCAAGAAGCAGAAGAACTACCACAGTTCGAGTGACGAAGAAGAGGGCGCCGCGCGCGATGCGCCTCGGCGCGGGAGCAGTCTAGAGCCTGAAGAGCCTTTTCAGCCTTCGGGAGTCAATGCGACGTTGCCCGGAAAGCAAGAGCTGTCAAAGCAACAGCTGAGGAAACAAGCAAGGTTTGAGGCCAAGAAAGCAGCACAACAAGCGGCGGCAGCAGACGAGTCTTCAGCCAGCGACGACGAAGAAGAAGAGGGGCAGGTTCAGGCAGCGCCACTGAAGAAGCCTGAGCCCAAGTTCAAGGCTAGCATACCAGCAAAGACGCCAGCAAAGTCTGCCCTGAAAAAGACTGCGCCCGTCGACCATGAAGCGCCATTACCCAGCGACGCCGAGGATGATCAAGACGACTCTGAACCCGAAGCGGATGAGTTCTCAATCGCCGACTCTGAATCGGATGCTTCCGACGCCTCATCTGTATCCGAGACCTCCACCACCGCTGCGCGCAAAGTACGAAAGCGAAACGACCCCGAGGCCTTCGCCAACTCGATTTCCAAAATCTTGGGTTCAAAACTGACAAGCTCAAAACGTTCCGAGCCTATCCTGTCCCGCAGCAAAGATGCCGCAACCGCCAACCGTGAGCTCGCCGACTCCAAACTCTCGGAGAAAGCGCGCCGACAAATTGTTGCTGAGCGCAAGGCGGCACAGGAGAAAGGCCGGGTCAAGGATGTCTTGGGCCTCAACGACCCAAATGTCAGCACGGCTGCCACATCGGCAAAGGAGAAGGAGCTCAGGCGGACAGCACAGAAGGGCGTCATCAAGCTGTTCAACGCTGTGAGGGCGGCACAAGTCAAGGGTGAACAGGCGGAGAGGGAGAGCAAAGCGGGCATGGTAGTTGGCATGGACAAGAGGGAGGAGAAGGTCAAGGAAATGAGCAAGCAGGGTTTCCTAGATATGATTACTGGAGGGCAGAAAAAGGAGGGCAGTGTGGAGGCTTGAAGACACTTCAGTATGCATAGTTCGGCGTTTGGGGACAAAAGAGACGCAGTTTCCGTGTGTTCATGATACCATATATTATACATAAATTCAGAGTCGTGCTCAACGCCAGTCCATCTGCAAGCGGAGTTCTCGTATAATACATGTCGTCTCCAATGCTGAGTACGCGATGCGATCCCTAGACGCTGCCGATATGACTGTGCAGTGTCGTTCCTTGATGTATTCTCACCACTACTACATCCCCCTCTCGATACCACATGTTGATCTTGTTCAGTTGACTCATTTGCTGTCGAAATCGCTAGCCTGCAGGTTCCTCGTCATGCTCGGTAACCGCACGACCAAGCCATCAAGCTCTTTGCTCATCTTAACCTGGCACCCCAGGCGACTGGTCTCAGTCAGACCAAACGCCAGATCCAGCATGTCATTCTCGTCGTCATCTGGCTCCTCCATCTTGTCGTAGTAAGCTTCGTCTGCTACTATGACATGGCACGTTGAGCAGGCGCAGGATCCGCCACATGCGCCTTCCATCTCTATGTCGTTGGCTTGGGCGATGTCGAGGAGGTTGTCGCCGTCGGCTACTTCGAATGTCGTGGCGTGGCCATCTTTGTCTACAAAGGTTACCTTGCGTCTGAAAGGCGTCAGTCATCTTGTGTTGCTATGATTGGATGCATTAGACGCACTCTTCACCCGGTCGGGGTGGGTCTAGGTGACCGTGGCGGGATGTGGGAGACGAGGAGAATTGGCGGCGGTTCCTGAGCCACGACGGGCTTGTTGCTTTGATGACACTCGATTGTGATAGAAGGTATGATGCCATGATTGGTGTGTGTAGAGACTTCTGACATGCCGATGCCGTCCAATTGCTGGCGAACCTCTGAGGACTCGACGATGCACCTCTTGCGCCCGCTATCCTCCCCTCCAAAGCGCTCAAACAAGCTCTTCTCACAGCCATGGCGGGAGCGAAAGCCCAAGAAGTGTCTGGAATGGAAAAGGAAAAGGAGAAGGGTGTGCAGAAGCGAAAGACTCGCAGTGTTTGCAGTGTCACCAAGAGTGAATGCGCCGACAATTCGGAATGCTGTGAGACGTCAGAAATGTTGGTGCACAGACCAGGCATGACCCCGGTCGATCTTCACAGCGCATCCACCACCGCGGGTAAGAAAACGATAAACATCCCCAGCCTCACGTAATCTTTGCCCGAGAAACGAGAGATACAATGGCGACCTCTCGTGATGCTCCAAACCCCCTGAGACCCTACTATATCCCGCCATCTATTGGGCCCCCTCCCGATGTCCCGCAGAACCAGACAAGCTCGTCATTACCGCCCGCTTTGAAGCCCAGTGCCAGTAGTAAATCAAGTCTCGGCAGTCAGGCACGCGACATTCTGTCCGATCTCGACTATGACTCGTACTTTCCAGAGACGTCGCCTTCAGTAGCTGGGCATGCAAAGAAGCTGCTCGACCATGCCTTGTGGAATTACACCAGCGTCCTGTTAGCCCAACCATTCGAGGTTGCGAAGACGATATTGCAGATACACGAGGCAAAGGGACAACTAGCAGGCTTGGAGGGAGATGTGCTCGGCCACAAGAGCAGGCCTCAGAGCTTCGCGAGCGGAAAGTTTGAGGATGTATGTATTAGACACTGGGCGGGGTCTGACATGTGAATGTGGGCTAATGGACGCAGTATCCGCCTTCAGACGAGGAGTCGGACGAGGACTCGCCGTCATACTTCACATCTACTGCGCCGCGTATGAACCCCACCTCGCCCTCGCCATACTCCCCTTCCGTCGAACAATCGAGGTCTCCACGGAGGCATCAGAGGCGTCTCGACAGCCGATCACGGTCACGAACACCCACACGACCCCCACCATCCGCCATACGCAAACTAGACCTCAAGCGACCGGACTCGCTTCTTGAAGTCATAGCACAGCTGTGGCAGAAGGAGTCGGCGTGGGGGGTGTGGAAGGCTACAAACTGCACCTTCATCTACAATTTCCTGCTTAAGACGACTGAGGGATGGTTCAGGAGTCTGATCTCGGCCCTGCTGAACATACCAGACCCAGGCCTAGTAGGATCAGCAGGAAGTGGCATAGGAGGTTTGGATATCCTGGATAGCCCAAGCCCACTGACCTCACTCGGTGTTGCTGTCGCAGCTACAGCTATCGCGGCCACCCTCCTCGCACCCCTCGATATGGTGCGCACCCGCCTCATCATCACACCCATCTCCTCTTCCCCACGATCTATATACCCTTGCCTCTCTCTTCTGCCCTCTTTTTCTGTCTCACCCAGCCTCCTTCCGGCTACCATAATGCACGCATGTGTGCCCACACTTATCTCCTCCTCAACACCTCTCTTCCTCCGCTCAACACTGAGCATCGACCCGATCCTCACGCCTACCACCTACTCCTTCAGCACATTTCTCTCCTCCACAACTGAGCTATTCGTCCGCCTGCCCCTTGAAACCGTTCTTCGGCGCGGCCAGGTCGCTGCCCTGCAGGACCACGAAACCCAGCGTCTAGCTTCTGAGTACCAGGTACCTCCTAGCCGTGCTAAAAGCCCGGCCTATGGTCTGGATAAGCCGAGCTCCGATCAGAGCTTCAAGACGATCGTGGACCCGGGTCAATATAGGGGTGTTCTGGGTACTATGTGGTTCATCGCTCGCGAGGAAGGCATCTCAGTTCAGACCGCAAATGCTGCCAAGGCCGCGAGTGCAAAGGCAATGGGCTTCTCAAGGCCGCCGCGCACAAGGAAGGGTCAGGGCGTGCATGGTCTATGGAGAGGATGGAGAGTGGGTGTTTGGGGTTTGGTGGGCATCTGGGGCGCTGCCGCCCTTGGAGGTGGCGGCGGTGAATTCTAGGTCGAGACCAGAAGGAGGCATAAGGCATGACAGCTTCGTTGTTGCTCTTTAGATCATGTTGTTTTGTCACGATTTTCATATGCGTATGTTAGGCGATGCTATATACACCACCACTCTTAGCTGTCATTGAGAAGTATACGCTTCGTATTCGTTTGGTTTCTCTATTCTTCTGGGTTTTCCGATCTTGACACCTGCTCAATAAAGTACCTTGTTGTAGCATGCCTTCGGATCACACGGTAGTCAATATTACTCACACAGCAACAAACCCTTCCTAGAGCATATTGCCGACTCTTAGCATTTGAGAAGGACCCGTCAACAGATGAGATGCCAATATCCCCATTCCAACTTGGATCTGGCTTCACGGGGGGAAGTGTGTAGAAGTTTATCTTGCCTCACAATGCTGTTGGTGTTGTATAGACGAGCCAGATACAGCCTAGTGGTATCCTTACATAGAAGCCACGAACTACATGGGACGCAACTCTTCACCAACCACCAGCTTGCCTTCACAAGAATCGTTGTCAATTTACTAGATGCAGATCCGTTATTCGTTCTCATCTCAAGTGATTGTGCGACTGTACCAAGGCGTTCCCCTTTCTCAGTCGGCCTGAGGTACAGTGGATCGACTCCATCCAACAGCCCGATATGAATGAGACGCCTGATGTGGCACGGCGTATGGCTCGCCGGCACAGTTCTCTTTGGGTTTCCATGAATCAAACGCTCAAGCTAAATGAAAGCGGGAGCTCGCATTCGGCACTTGGTTCCGAAAAAAACTTATACGCTGAGACAGCATACCACACTACAGGTAGTTCCCCTTATCATCGGCATGAACTTCGTTACATGTCACCACTAGCGTCGAATCTACCCGCTGTCTCCACCCCGGTCTGTCTGGTTGCTAGTCAAGGCTTGCTTGATCTGATTTTGCCAGCCAGCGTCTGCACCCAACATGCAGTGGGTTTCTAATTACAAAGGATCACTTGCTGCGACCGACGATCAACCTTTCGGCGTCTACTCTACAGGTATAATGAGAGGTGGCTTCCACCATGATAAAGCTGTCACATGTTCGCCAGTATATCTAGCATCCACTCCTGAACAGCCGGCTATGGCAAGGCTTGCGCGCAGACTACAATACCATAGTGAGCTCCACTGGCGGGTCCGACACACTGGCAACGATGGCGGTCGCGCAAACTTTCGTACGGAATGCTAGTCTCGGGTTCAGTGGATCTGATGTTGTCAGACAGCGGCCCGTCCGTTATAACCACCGGTTCTCTATACACAGTCCGTGCACCCTCAACGTCGAATCACAACCATTAAAATTCGCATTTTAGCACCTATTAGGGAAGACAAGGCGTCAAAAGTTTCTAAACGAAACAGCGCTACGTCCGTCAAGCCCATAACAAGGACACCAGCGTTTCGCCACTTCGTGAGCTGGAACGGAATGTTAGTAGACGACCTTGGCAGGACCTGAAGAAATCACTACCGCATTGACTTTGATTTACCAAACAAGCAGTTCCCTTGCCTCCTGAGATGATTTGAACGTTTTCACAAATGCTGCTATGCTCAGAACGGTCTAAGGGATAAGGCGATGCCCACTTCCCAAGGGATCCAGAACGCCTACAATCACGGAAGGAAGACTGGTGTTGTCGACGGAACCTGCATTGCTATCTCCTGTGTTACCTTCTATGGGAAATTAATGTCCGATCGTACCAGGTCGCCGGTACCTAGGCGCTGGCAGCATGAAGTTGTTTCGAATCGTGGGCTCACAATTCTGATATAAGAATCAAGACGACGTCCAACATTTACAACTCACCAGCAAGCAATACGTTCGTTTCAGTCGCTTTCTACATTCGCTTCTTCAGCCTTTACATTCGTTCATCAACACTCTTTTTTTATCAAATATACAAGTTTCATTACTGCTAGCCAGAATGAAGTTCAACGCCCTCGTCCTCAGCGCCATCGCCCAAGTGGCTTCCGCCCATTACTTTTTCGACACCAACATTGTTGCCGGTGTTGCGCAGCCCCAGTTCAAATACGTCCGCGAGTCGACCCGTGCCACCAAGTACAATCCCATCAAGTTCTCCTCCAACCCAGCTGCCGATATCCGTGATGGATCCACCGCCGATGGCCCCGATATTGTTTGCAACCAGGGTGCCCAAAAGGCCGGCAAGACTCAGGTCATGACCGTCAACGCTGGCGAGGAGATCCGCCTCAAGTTGGCTGTTGGAGCCAAGTTCCAGCACCCTGGTCCCGCCCTGGTCTATATGTCCAAGGCTCCCAGCAGTGTGACTTCATATGATGGATCCGGTGACTGGTTCAAGATCTTCGAGGAGGGTGTTTGCGGCAATGGTGACTTCACCAGCGACGCCTGGTGCACCTACAACCGTGACTGGGTCGCGGCCAAGATCCCCAAGGACACTCCCAACGGCGAGTACCTCGTCCGCGTTGAGCACATTGGTGTTCACCGCTCCCACGTCAACCAGCCTGAGCACTACGTTTCCTGCATGCAGGTCAAGGTTCAGGGTGGCGGTAGCGGTACCCCTGGCCCCATGGTCAAGTTCCCCGGTGCCTACAAGGCCACCGACCCTTACGCCAACTTCAGCATCTACAACGGCAAGAAGGACTTCCCCATGCCCGGCCCCAAGGTCTGGGCTGGTGGTGCTAGCAGCGCCGGTGGTGCCACCACTCCCGCTAAGGAGGAGGCCACCTCTGCCGCCCCTGCTGCCCCTGCTAAGACTACCATGGCCACTGTTGTTGCTCCTGCCCCTGCCGCACCCACCAAGGCTGCTGGCGGTGCTGGCTGCGCTGCCCTCTACGGACAGTGCGGTGGAAAGGGCTTCTCTGGTGCCAAGTGCTGCTCTGCTGGTACCTGCAAGGCTGCCAACGACTGGTACTCTCAGTGCGTCAACTAAGCTTGTTTGCTAGGATTTGGTCGAAAATCTGTGTATATTTTTCATTCTTTGTGTCTAGAAGCGAGGCGTTGCATCAGCATAGCATTGTTTTCTCAGGCGCTGTTCTCATAGTGGAACACCTTTTACCCTTCTGTTTGCCTGGTGGATGCGGTGCGAGCCTGTATCATAGCAATAAATCGTAACTTATCATCTGCGTTTCAAAACATACAGTATTCATATCGTGATCAACCAATCTCTAACTAAGAGTAGTTACATCAGCCTACCAAATGCCAGACATACTACATGAAGTCACCTAGCCCTTCCGCGTACTCTTGCACATTTCTTGGAATACCATGTCCCATCTCGACCCAGTCCAATATCTCTTCGCAGATGTCGGCTGGCAGTCGTTGGCTGAAAGCTAGGATGAGGTGGCTTCTATATTCGCGCCGCAAATCTCGCACCACGAGCGATAAAGTCTTGTCTAGCACAGACCTGAGTTGATCAAGGACTATAGCACCTATATTTTTATGTGAAGAGTCAATTGATGACTTATAGACGCGCACATTCGAAATCTTACCTCTTTGCTCGCGCTTGATGTAGGACGTCAAGGAGAGAAATGCGTGGGCACAGTCGAGCGGATATTCAGGGTTCTAATCTTTCTGCTCCTGCTCCAGCAAATCGAGAAGCAATGCATCTGTTTCGTGGACTCCCTTTCGCCACCAATTCAGTTTTAGCTTTTCGAATCTTAGGAAGTCCAAGCGAAACATCAAAGCGAGCTGGAAGGCTCGGGCTTTACCGTGTGATATCTGGCTCATCCGCTTTAGTTCAAGGCATGTGCGGGAAGTGAAACGAGAAATGGGAATTGTGACATTCGCTGCGAGGTTATAGCCTGTCAATTCCGCGAGCCTGTAGTCTTCCTCTTCTGAATCTTCGAAATCTGAGTGTCCAGAATCTGAGTCGCTGAAGTTTGAAGTCAGGTCGAAGTTCTCGGAAAGGTCGATGTCGGATCGGCGACAAGCTTCCACCAAGAAATTCATCTCAGCGTTCTTTTGGGCGACGAGGATGTTATGAAGTTCATGAAACTGCATAGTATCACGACAAATCCTGATGTCAAGATTTGCGAATAGCATCTGAGACTCCAGGTAGAGAGCCCAGCTGTCCAATTGGAGTTGAGTCCATCTCGGCACGAGCGCCTCCTTTTTCAGTGTATTCTCTAGACGATAGCATGAGTAAAGACGCTGAACAATCCGTCAACTGCAATATTTCGAACTTACCCACCCTTGTTAGAGGCGATGCCTCCCAAAATCGTTCTCGTGCAACATCTCGGACTTTACCGGAAGCTCCTCCTTGATTGTGGATTTCTCTGTAGAGGTTTTCCAGCTTGATCACGAGTTGTTGTATAGAATCCTCCATTCGAGTCCTATCTAATAATCGAGCATCAACGGCATAGTGCCATTTCGGATCCCTCAAGCATTTTCGCCATCGAGCAAGGATTCCTGACTTGTCGCTATTGTCTCCAAACTCTTCACACATCCTCACCAGATGCTTCAACGTCCTTCTCTTTCCCTTCTTCTTCGTCTGTTCGCTGGACTCACGTTCACGGATCTCGTTTTGCTTCACGTTCGGCGTGCTGGTAACGTCGGTTCCATTGTCCTCTCCATTTTGAGTCGCAACTCGTACAATCGGCCATGTTTGAATATCGTCCATACTTCTAGATAGTACAGCGTTTTCGAGCTCACACCTCGACATTGATTTCGGAGTAGCAACCCCTGTAGATCTACGTTGCGATACGTGTCGATTGGAAACAGCGACTCTCACGTGAGCTTGAAGACACTATATTGGAATCGAACCGTACATATTTTTTTTAACAGAACAGACGCAAGAGATGGCAGACGAGGCCAGCTGTCAGCTGAGGAGACATGTTAAGTACGATTGCCGTGCCGCAGAGATTGGTGTACGCTAGCTACAAATAGTAATCCCTTGGCGAATTCCATGGCGTTTCGTCGACGGCAAGTGTTCCTATTGTGAGAATGCCTATATGTGACACTACACTTCTTGTTGCTTGTATCTTCGTAGAGAACGACACGCTTGGACCGCGGAACTTATAGTCCGCAAGCTCTGGAAGGTTTGCAGGAGCTGTGCTTCGAGCGCGTGACGTCGTCGCGACGCGTCCACGGGTCTGTCTCGGATGAGCCCCTACTACAAATCACTCACCAGGTAAAACAGGAGTTATGTCACACTCAGACTCGAAACACATAGATTGTTGGTCTACTCTGCGCGATTCACACATTCCAATCAAAGGTGCTACTAGGGAGGCATACACGCAGTTTTCTCTACAAAGATGCCTAGGTAATGCACAGAACATACTATGCTAAACGTGCGTGTACAAAACCAAACTCTTCTCATGAGCAGTTCGCAAAATGGATAGCTATATAGGTGTCGAACCGTATGATGATCGATGTAGCTGATATGACAGCATTGTTTGTATGCAAGCGTCCAACTAGCGGCTTGCAACTTGTTACATTGAAGATGTACTTCAAGAAGGACGTTGTTTGAATCCAGGTTGCTAGTCGTTTGGTGAGACTGTAGCCGTCTATTGTTGCCTTGCCTTCAGTTCGGAAGCGACTTATCCGACTATAGCGCGGAGGATCTGTGTCTTTTGGGGCGCTGATAACCATTTAATTTACTCGGCAATATATCTTGCCGCCTTTAGAACCAGGCTAGCGCTACGCGAAGGATGGAAAGATGATAAGCAGCCGAGTATGGCAGATCATTCGTGAGGTTGGACGGATATGGAAATGGAAATTTTAACAGCGTAGCATTTGCAGATGGCTAGCACGCCGGGCCCGCAGAAGCGGGGCAATTCTACGCGATAGCGCTTACTCTTGTCTCATCTTACCATTAGATATATGACGCCTACTTTGCGACATCTCATGTCATCAATCACAGCTCTATTTTGTGACCCATTACGCCCAACATGACAGGCTCAAGCGAAGTAACGGAGTCGCATACCCTCTTCACGATTCCACATGTCGCCGCTGCAATTATCACCTACTGGATTGTGGCAACCACTTACAACTTGATCACATCGCCAACACCGCCATCAAGTATACCATGGATGGGCTACGGCAAGGGCTGGATTGCTGACTTCCGCAATTTCACTGCGTTGACTAAGAGCAAGGAATGGCTGTTAGCTGGTTACGACAAGTATAGTCGCAATGACAAGGTCTTTGTGTTACCACCAACGCTTGGCATGGCAGCTGAGATCGTAATGCCGCGAAGCCAAATGGGCTGGATGTTTGATCAACCCGATACTGTACTGAGTACAAGTGAAGCGCATTACGACTTCCTCCAGGGCGATTACTCGTTCGTCAAGCCGATCATACTGAAGGACCCCTACCATGAACATATAATTCACAAGAATCTTGTACGCAATCTCAATGCGATCCTCCCGGAGCTTGAAGAAGAGGTACCCCACGCCATTTCCGAAGTGTATGGAACGGATACAGATAGTTGGAAAAAGCTGGATGTTATGGAGTCTTTCATGAAGATGATTCCAGTCCTGACCAACCGCATGCTTCTTGGCGGTTCCCTCTGTCGCGAGCGCAAATTCCTGGATGCGGTACTGGGTTTTACTGTGGACTGTATACGTACCCAGAGCCTTATGCAACTTTTCCCGAAAGCGCTGCACCCAGTGATCGGGACGATGTTGAGTCTGACTACAAAGTACCATTACTGGCTGTCGTCGAGATTCACACTACCCATGATCAAGCAGCGCATCTCAGATATCGAGAAAAAGGATGCTGGGGACCCCGAGTATAAGAACTGGAAAGAGCCGAATGATTTCATCAATTGGAGCTATCGGACTGCGCAAGCTGAGGGACGACGCGACGAAATGCAGCCAGATCGCATCGCTCAGCGTATCATGCCCATCAATTTTGCCAGTATACATACAACCTCTCTCACGGCTTATGAGACCATGGTCAACATCATGAGTGCCGGACCAGAAGTGGTAGAGCAGTTGCGCGAAGAAGCGCATCGTATTCTTCAAGAAGAGGGAGGTTGGACCAAGCAGGGTCTTAGTCGCATGCATCGTATCGACTCTGCTATCCGCGAGTCACAACGAATCGCGCCTATTGCGCTTACTTTCGTTCATCGTAAAGTAGTAGCGAAAGAAGGGGTTACAACACCCGAGGGCGTACATGTCAAGTATGGAACGCTTCTCTCATGTCCATGGACGCCGCTATCTGGTGATACAGACATATACGAAAAGCCAGAGGAATTTGATGCATTCAGATACTCGAGACCCAGGGAAGAGTATGAGGCGATGGATGCGGAAGAAAGAAGGAATATCGATGCGTTGAAATTGAAGCAAACAGGTCTTGTCACCACAGGCGTGCATCACCTTCCTTTCGGTCATGGACGTCATGCTTGGTGGGTTAATTTACTCTATTGATCCAGGCTTTTGCTGACAACATCGCAGTCCGGGACGCTTCTTCGTTTCCCACGAACTGAAGATGATTTTCGCTGACTTGCTACTCAACTACGACATCAAGCCGCTTGCGGAGAAGCCCAAGAAGATATGGGTGATTAGATTTCAGGTCCCAATGCCAGCAACAATTGAGGTTCGACGACGGAAGAGTGTATGGAAACCAGAGACCGCCTCGTGATCTACGTAACAACAATGTATGATATAATATTTACATGGGCACGATGACTGCAAGGGACTATCGCACTAGTTCCAGCTTTCTTCTTATCTTCCTATTTTGTCAAAGCTGTTCACGCATCGGCCGAAGATAGCCACATACCCAGTTCAACACCCAACTGCCCAGGCTGATCGTACATGATGAGATGTCCGGCTCTGTCAACCTCTACTACCTCCTTCGCACTCAACACCTCACCAAGCCTATGTGCATCTTTTACAGGAATCCAATTGTCCTGCTTGCCCCAAATGACTTTCACAGACATGTTCTCCCCTACCTCTGCGTACCGTCCCTCGACCTCTTCCGTACTCCGGTGAGCAGCTTGGCATAGTTGGCGGATGAACCCTCCCTTGCCGCCTTCTGCCAGCCATGGTGACTTGAGCATGTTCATTGTCTTCTCATCCAGCTTAGTGTACGCAGCGTTCCTGATGTACGATTCGAGGATACCTTCAAACGACATATCAGGTAAACTCTCGATAGCCCCCGGGTTCTCTGCGACGCCTTTGAACAAAGGCTGGCCAAAGGGACCGATAGCAACAACGTCTATGAGGCAAAGACTCTGATATTGACATCCATGCAGCAAATAGGCACGAAGACTCATTAATCCGCCATGATCGTGAGCGACAACGTGGGGTTTCGACTTCCATCCTTCTGTGGTCTGCCAATGCTTAAATATAGCGGCGAAGGCTGAAGTTTGGCGAGCGAGATCACTGTCTAGTCTCTCGTCTTCGTTTTTTGGTTTGAAATCGACGTTGGGTAGAAGCTGCTCGATTGGTGAATCTCCGAAACCAGGGTTGTCGAAGAGGTACACCCTGTACTTGTGGGATAGAGCCAGCGCGAACGGTACCCAAACGCGGGAAGACCAGGGAGTGCCATGTATGAAGATTAGTGGCGGCGAGGTCAGAGAGCCGAGCGATGTCCATCTGACATTAAAGGAATGCGTCGGGGATTTGAAGTCGAACGTTTTGCTCAGGGTAGTTGGGTCGCTGGTTGGTAGAGACATGCTTGTAGTAGATGTACACGTTGTAGAGGAAGACTTGCAAGAATTGTTGTCCAGTATCATGCACTTTGCTAGTCGTTTCGCTATCTTGTTTTTGGGTGCGACTCAGCTTATATGTTTCTGATGTATCTCATGAGGCTGTCGCTGACTATCGTTGTTCTGCCCCGTCTATGATGCATAATAGCCTGTGTATCTTCGCAGGATTCCAGCACCTATCAATGGGCACTTATCATACGTCGCTTTCACAGCAACAGCATTGCTATCGGTCAGCAAGAGACGCGGATTGACGTATCGTCATGCAAGCATGTCTCCGAAGTGGCCAATCAGAGCATCCGCTTATCGGGAACACGATGACTTGAATGCCTCAACGAGACGTGCTCAATCTCTGTGTGTCATTTATATGCTTAGGCGGCGTTGTCGCATCAGGTCGTGCTTTCGGCGGCCGCCCTCTGCGTTTCACAACCGGTGTGGTGATGCCATTTTCCCGCAGCTTTGTTTTTCCGCGACCAGCCTGGCTTTTAACATCTGGATTTTTTTCCAGATAATCTTCAATTGCCTCAAAAATGATAGGGCAATACCCAGACACGTCCAAGTGGCGCCTTGGGACCAGATACTTGACGAGATAAGTATCCGGTACTTGATTGAGTCGCTTCCCTTCATGTTTACCGAATGTGAGCTTGTAGTCAGAAAGTGGCGGCGGTCCCGCCGCATACCACTTTTCCAAGATACCGACGTCCTGATATCTAGTCGGATCGTATCTTGAGAATATGTCCTCGGCGCCCAGGGCTTTCAGGTTTTTTGCTCTCTCCGCCGTGTCCTTTCGAAGAGATTCCCACAAACAATCGGGTTTGTTGGGCTCATCACGACAGCAGACGAAGGGCCTGAGGGATGGATCCGTGGACTGTTCTCTCCAAGCATATTCTATCTCTTCCTCATCGGAACTGAAGGCAATCTGTTTATGAGCGCGAACGCTCCGAAAGTCGCGTCTCGACGATACACCATGCCCCGGAAATTCGACCGATCTGCGACAAAGAGGAGAAGTGATGCGGAGAGGCGTAGCTACGTGCGCAATAATGCGGTGCCTGCAAGCTTGCCTGTACATGATGGTTACATGCTACTCAATACCTCCATAGAATTCGACGATAGGTGAGCGTCAGGCCGCCAACGCAAAGTCCTCCATAATTTTGCGTGCGGGCACGGGCGGCATGTTTGTGCGCTTCGATAGCCAACTGTCTGGTGCAAGCTCCAAGCCTCTCAGCTTGATCGAATAGATGTACATCCGGGCGGGTTTGGTAGGGATCTGGATATAACAAAACTATGAATGCATTATGAATTTATTATACATATTACTGTTTCCAGTATTGCGCACCTAGCTCGTCTCCGAGCTTCACGTCATCACCTTCGACGATGATTTTCTTAAGCACGACTCCCACTACATCCCATTTACTGTTGGTGTCGATAGGCAGACCCGAGTCCCTGCGTTTACCCGCAGCGTCTTCATTGCCAACCTCGCGCACGACTTCCCAGTTGTTGTTACCAATGTCGACGAGCCTAGCACGCTTGTAGCTTGCGTTGGAGACCTGACGTTGCGCGACTACAAAGCCAGCCTCGTCTTGCTCCTTGATCCACTTCCTGGCTTCTTCATCTTGCCATACTTTCTGGAGTGCTGCGTCGGCATCCTTGAGCAGCCTCACACTCTGTTCCTCTGCCTCGATGGTGCCAGCCTCGGTGCCCTCGTCAAGTGGTTTCTGGAGCAGATGCGTACCACCAAAGCTCTCGACGAAGTGTCCGTTTTCCGCATTGAAGAAAATGACATCCTTGTACCTAGGTCTCTTAGTATCTTGCACACAAGTACCATGTGTGTATTCTGGCGTACCATCGCGTGCCGATGTCGTCGTAGTCGCGGTCTTCGAGGGCTTTGGACGTGTACTTTGACGTCTTGGACACGAGCTGTCCGCAAGGGACCTTCTCGGCAGGGAGAGGTTGGGGTAGGATTGCGAGCTCAGGAATGATGGAGGGCGACAGTGGACCGTCGAGGTAGCTGGGTCGACGAGAGTACTTTGCTGCCATGGTGAGGAGCTGTAGCTAGAGCTGTAGTAGTAACGAGAGGGTAAGCAGAGTACAATTGACTTATGACGGTCTTCAAAGCAAGCTATAGAGCTATACTCAGGTGCGGAGATGCTCTCGTGAGGGGTCAGCAAGCTTTATGTGATATCATTGTACCACAGCTCTGGTAGGTAGACAACCCCGCTCGCCATGGCTACAGTCTTCTCAGGTCACGCTCATGCTACGGTACCTGTTTTTGGTAACCCAGATATCATACCAAAGATGATGCGACGCGTACCTGCGACGAGACGAGTGGTGTGATGGATCAGGTGGCTATGATGAGGTCGGAGGCATGGCGTGTTGTTGTACCTGACTACTCGCTTCCAGGTGGATCCGGAAGGATGCGGCCGACTCTTCCCGGCTCGTCTTCGTTGTATAGACACGTACTGACCTGTCAAGCAGCCTCGACATCATCATCATCACCACCCGAAATTATGGAACAAACAACTAATGAGGAGAATTTTGATTTATTGAGTAGAGTGCGCATGCTCTCCGGCGCCACTATTTACAACTTCTGGCGACCCCTATGGTAATCAGCCACGCATCATTCCAACCAGACTACAAGACTCACGGCTTCATCGCCATGGCCTTTACGAACATCTCGTTCACTGGCAAGCCCTTTGCGCTGAGGCTCTGCTCAAGATTGATGTTTGGGTCGGATTTACCCATAGCTCGCCTGTACGCTTCGCGCTCACCAATGCGGCCCAGCCACGCCAAGATTCCAGGATACTCACTCAAATCCATCGGCTCGAAGTGTCGCATCGTTGTGAAGCACCATCCCGTCATGCACTCTGCGGCAGTGAATTCATCGCCTGCAAGCCACGTGTTGCTTTGTAGTCGGTTTTCGATATGGCTCAGCGCCTTGAGGACACGGGCATCGTTTCCCTTGAAACGCAGATCATCTTCGCCGACCATACCACGCGTCATAGCCCTTCGGAACATTCCAGGCTGTAACGTGCCATTCGCGAAATGAAGCCAGTAAAGGTAGTCTGCAAAGTTCTTGTCTTGTGGTGCCAGGGCCAATCGTCCGTTGCCGTACTTATGGATAATGTAATCGCAGATGGCCCCAGATTCGGCGATTTTGATGGGGTTGGACGGATCCGTCAGATCCTCCAGGACGGGTGAAGCACCGAGAGGGTAAACAGCTTGGAGCTCGGGTGGTGAGAGAAGAGGTGATCGCTGATATAGCTTCAACTCGTAAGGAATGTTGAGCTCCTCGAGAAGCCATGGGATGCGCTCGCCTTGGCCGAACTGCAGATGGTGGACAATAAGCTTTGGGGGTGACATCTTCTGAGTTGATAGTGAAATGATAGATCGTATGGAACCTTGAAGACTCGGATGTAGTGAATTGTTCTTGTATTCCAAACGTACTTGGCTTCTCGGTGTTTCGGTTACTCGGTGATCGACAGATCCGGCAGATAGTGTACGTAGTGTAGGTAAAAAGCTCCGCTGACTATGATTCGGCGACTTGCGGCTCAAGAAGTGGGATTAGTGGGGTTATGGACTCCATTCTGCTTCGTAAACTTCGATTCTTATATTCGTCCAGATTCCAGGCACCCACGATCTGTGTCGTCGATGTCTTCGCCCTATATTCCCAGATTGGCAGACTACTCGAATGCTGACAATTCCAGTCACGTGTTGTTCGGCCGAACCTAGTCAGTACCCAACGCCGATTCGCCAGGTACGACTCGCCAGAGAACTCTGATACGTCAGAGTGGACTTTGCGGACGGATCGCATGATATCTATAGGTGCCGTGCTTACAGGCTTGTAAAGACTAGGCCGCTGCTACCTTCAAGATACCATGCATCTAGTGGTTGCTGATAGTACAGGCACCAACTTTTTGGCTACCATACTGATTCTGTCCCGACACTACTATGAAATAGGTAAGGATGAGCTGCAGACTACATGTCCAGCTACAAGATCACGTCTTCTGGAATACGCGCATCCTCCGAAAGTGTCTCCTACTCAGCGTATGCCTCCCTAAGCCGCTCTTTCCATTCCTTGTCATCCTTCTTCCGACACTGGCCGAAAACATGCACAATCGCATGCTCCTTCTCATTGGCCACTTTGACATACCGCCGTTTGCAATTGGATATCTCAAAGACACTCTCATCGCACCCAGTCTCGTCGTGATCAATGCGTGAGTAGTAACCTTGGTACTGCAGATTATACTCTATTGCATTGCATAACACCTCGATGGTTGCTTCGACAAGCTCCGCGTCGGACAACACTTCGATCTTTTGAATGAAGAGTCATCGTGGTCCATTGCTTCACATCGGTGAAGGAACATGATGAGATACGACTTCCACGTGAGAGAAAGCCACATGTCGTCTATATGTTATAGTTGAATCATAGTACTAAGAATGAGATAGCTCAGGTGATCATAATGGGCTATAAAACGGAACGGTCAACCCAAAATGTAAGTCAACGCTCTTTCAAAGAAAATCTTCGCGGAGAAAACAACAAGTGCCATGACAGCCCAGGCTGAAATAGCCACTTCTCCTTGGCTTGCCTCATACACATGATTCTTTATTTATTGAAATATCTTCAAGCAAGAAACGAAAGCCGTATTCCTCCGCCGTCTCATTCACCTTTTCCGAGAGCGTCTTACAATACCAACATGCAGCTTCACTGATAAATATCTCTACCTCCAATAGCTCAGTACGCCGACTGGCATCATGCTTATTCATGAACTGCTGAAAGTCCAGACGACGAGAATTGCAAAACTGCTCTACATATAGCGCCATGAGCTGTGGCTCGGCGTGCTGGAATATCGTTTCTTCGTTTACAGCCCCTAGAGCCCGGAAAAGTTTGGAAGCTTCTTTGGAATAATCTTTTCCAGATATCAAGCCATCTGGTGTGGCACGGTGCAGACCATTCTGAGCCAGATACCTCTTTCCACCAATCTCCACAAACGCTATAACGGCTCGGTCCGGACCATACATGGGCTTTGTACTGAATGTCTGCACCAAGTCAAACTTAGCGTAACGAGGCTCTGAGTCGATCGTGTATCTTCGAAATTGGAGGTCGTGGACAGTTTTCCGTCGGCGTTCTCGCTCCATCAGGTCTTCGGCGCTCTTCTTCGCATTCTTTAGGTCTGCCTGGGCGCTACAAAGATGTTCTTTCTGGAGCGCATACTCCAATCTTACAGCTTCCAGTGAAGCTTCTGTTTCGTAAAGTTTCGCTTGAATCTTTTCCATTTCAGTTGGGACCGCCCGGATTGGATGAAACGAATTGTCTGTTTGTGTTCCGTTTTGGACATATTTAGCTGTCAGCTCACTGAAACTTCCCTCCAATCTAGCTCCAACTGCTCCAGTTTTCGTTGAAGCAGTACCGCTATTCGTAGGCTTTCGTGAGACACGTCTCTTTCTAGACTGGGACTGGGATTTGGAGTCCGTGTCGGTATTCGTCCCATTCGATACAGTTACTTCAGCAAGCTTCGTTGTAAGTTCATCCATGACGTTCGTTTCTCCCATAGGCGATGTTCTTTTAGGTTCGAATGACTGACCGTCTTCCGTCAGTCCTTCCAGGGTATTTAAGTAGGGATGTGTAAGTAAACCCCGCTTCTTCATCCTCGAGGGTCACTGGCCTTGTCAATGAGTAAGATATGATCTCTATGCAAATAAGCATTGATACTCTTCAGTGCAAAGCATTCATTGGTTTATTGCTGCCCGCAAGTGCGCCGTGTAACGTGGTACTAAACATGAATGCGGTTCACCGGTTCATGCCTTCTTTGATTCGATGTGACTGTTCGCCTTCTACTGGCTTCGCGCATCTTGCAAATACAACTGAAATGTTAACCAATTTTAAACCAAAGAAAACTCGATATGCCATGACGGTGAAATGTTGCGTAAGGTTGACACTTCCGAAGTGGTCGGCCATGAGAGCAAGTTCATTTAGCGCCCGAGTGGCGATTGAAGCCCCACCAACGCGTCGCTTCAATCGCGCTTCAACCGCTGCAGGGCAACCACCTCTCACATCACGGTTCCAGCACCATGACGCGGGGGAAGCTCATAGTATTCGAAGGCCTAGATCGGGCAGGCAAATCGACTCAATGCCAGATGTTGGCTGAAGATTTGCAGAATGACGGGATCAAGGTGCGGCATATGCGGTTTCCCGGTATGTGCGCGCAGACTGAAGGCCGTCAAAGGCTGTGGGATTGAACATACGGATTGAAAAGCCGAAGACTGATCACTTGAGCAGATAGAACGACACCAATCGGCCAAATGATCAACAGCTACTTGAGTGGTCAGAGCGAGCAAGACGACCATGTCATACATCTCTTGTTCTCCGCAAATCGGTGGGAAGCAGTGTAAGTCGTTCCATGCTCAACTGCACACAGACAAGGTTTTCTCAGCGTGCATTGCAGACCTTCTATACAAGCCGACCTCGAAGCTGGTACAACGATCATCGTAGATCGTTACTACTACAGCGGCTGCGTGTACTCTGCTGCCAAAGAGAACCCCAGCATGAGCCTCGAATGGTGTCGAAAACCCGAAGTAGGACTTCCACGGCCTGACTTGTGTCTTTTCCTTGACATATCCGCCGAAGACGCAGCAAAGCGAGGCGGATATGGCACTGAGAAGTATGAGAAGAAGGAGATGCAGGACCGCGTACGAGGGCTGTTTGAGACAATGATGCAGAAGAAGGAGGGCGAGGACTTTGTGCGCATCGATGCGGGTGAGGGTATGAAAGATGTGGCGGCAAAGATCAGACAAGAAGTCGATAGGTGCATTGAGCGGGTCGCCAAAGGCCAAATGCCGTTGAGGACTGTTGAGGAGTGGTAAATGCTCTCAACTGGTGTTGACGCCTTGCGGCTTATCCTCATCGTCATTGACATTCTCGACCCACGTTTCATCAAGGTCCTCGTCAAGATTGACATCAAGGTCATCTATATCCGGAAACTCTTCCGCATCGTCCTCGATGGTTCCGTCCGACTTTCTTTTCTTTCTTTTTGTCTTGAACATGACCTTCAGCTCTTCTTCACCATACATGCGCAGACTGAGCTCCTTCATCAAGTCAGACCATCTCAGAGAGCTGCGACAGCTCGGACATGTCCCTTGGATTGGGATAAACGCATCAATGTTGCTCTCTTCTGCCAGGAATTTCTGCGACATACAGGCCATGTGTGACACAGCGTGACATGTTTCCACTGGGCAGACCAACACGAGTGATGTGTCAGGGCTTACATCTTCCTTGCAAACACCACACACTCGCTTTTGATCGTCTCCGAGCGTCATTTTTGACTTTTCGACATGTGTCTTGCAATCCTCGTACGCAACAGGAATTGCTCGTATTATTTCCGGTATGAAGTGAGTTCGCATCTCGCTTTGCACATCCGGCGCAAGCTTCGGAAGCTCGGCCGGCGTCACCCAGATAGTGATGTCCTTCCGCAGGGTCGTCTTCATCTTGGAAATATGCTTCTCCCATTGCGTAAACACATCCTGGGCAAAGAATCGGATATGCAACGGCCATCGGCTGAAGCTCCCAACACCCAACAGATGATGTAAATTCTTCAATCGCGCTTCTAGGGACATTGGTGGTCTCGGCCTCTTGACGGGCGAAGGATTCTTTCTTCCCTTTTGCAACTCCTCTAGCCTCGCGTCACGCACATCTCGCTCAATGTGTCGTGTCGCGTGCGTGTTTTGCCACGCCCATTCAAACTGCAGCGCAGCGAATCTGGAAGGAAACCCAGTAACAATGCACGTCATCTCCCACGGCCGCTTCCCTTGCATCGACGTACGCTTCGCGCCGCCCTTGCTCGAGCCATTGTGCTGACCCAGGCGGCGGGCCGGATTGGGTGTGCTGCCGATGTAGAAGGCTTTTCGGTTCTTGGAGCGGAGTAGATAACAACAGTAGAAGGCTGGGATGGGGCGGCTTTCGATCTTGAGAGAATCAGCCATGATTAGACTAGATAAAGATGAAGTCGATGTTGTTGTTGATCGCATCCAAAAGCGTGCAACGGCCAGTTAGGGCTGACGGGACGATGCAGATGGAGGCTGTCGTGATTGGTGGGCTGGTACGCTTCCCGGTACGACAACCTTGCTGCCGACCTCACCTGCAGGAGTTCAGGCTTGGGTATAGAATGAACACGAAAGTAAGAAATTGGCAAAAATGTGATGCGAATGCGCAACGCTGCTAATGTTACGTTCGCTGTTTCGAGATGCGGTGCGATGATGCAAGCACGTGGCGAGTTTAGCCCGACAGGCGTTCACGCAGAAAAGGAAGAAAAAGTAACCACGTATGGAAATATCTGAGTCAGGCTGATATATGTGCTTGTTATGCGAGCCAATGTGGTTCGTTGGTCGCCGAGATGGTAGACAGCGGCGCAAAAGAAAGTTGGTGAGGTGAGGTCGGCACATGGACAGCCTTGCGTGCAGTCGCCAGATCGGCATGATGTAGCTCTCATACCTGATTGTGACTGCAGTTGAAGACTGCATTTTGGTATTGCGCCCATGCAAGGTAGAAATTGAGTGGAAAAGTCGCGTTAAATTCTCGAGTCTCCCTTGGGACAGACCGAGTTGTTATTCACAATGTTTTTCCGCGTGCCCTGCTGAACAAGCGTTGACGTTCTGGGTTCGGTACCTTTGGCTCGATATGCATCCGCCGCTAGCGGGAATCTCGCACCTTTCAGCGGGCCCCATCCATCCTCTCCATATCTCCTCACCTCCACAACCGAATTGCATAACCGCCACCTCTACCACGTCGTTCGCTCGCAGGCTGACGTACAACCGTACTAATATTTGATTCTTGTAGAACTGCATCACGCGGTGCAAGCGGGTCGAGAGCGGTCGCCTGCCGCTACAGAGGCTCCATGCCTACGCCTATATCCCCTCGATAGTGCCCACGACCGACCGATTCACTACCGATCACAATCCCCATACCTACCATATCATCTCGTACTTCGTTACGAGGCTGCAACTAGGGCGGAAGTCGCGATAGCGCTGCATGCACGAGCAAGAGGGTCATGGTCGACTTCATGCCCCCCAGTGGGCCCTCGACAGGCGCCACTATGACTACCTTTCGAGTCGCTACGGACAGCGGAACGCCTGATGGAATAGCCAGTGCACCCAAGTCAAGAATGGGCGGTGCTGCGGTGCCTGCCATGAGCGGCGCGCAGCTGAACGGGGCTGGCACGATTCCCTTGAGCGCGCGTAAGGCAGCGCCGCTGGATCTCGCTACCGTAGAGCGCAGAGGACATGGGGCGCCGAACAACCTACCACCCAAGCAAAACCGTCTCTTTGGCTTGCGCGAGTCTCCAACATATCGACCGACAGCCGAGCAGTTCAAGGATCCCGTGCAATACATTCAGAGTATCCGAGACGAGGCACAGAAGTATGGTATTGTCAAGATCGTGCCGCCGGATACCTGGAATCCGACGTTTGCCATCGACACAGAGCGCTTCCATTTCCGGACACGGCGACAAGAGCTCAACTCAGTCGAGGGCGGCACACGTGCTAATTTGAACTACCTTGATCAGCTCGCCAAATTCCACAAGCAACATGGCCACAGCCTCACTCGCTTTCCCAGTGTCGACAAGCGACCTTTGGATCTCTACAAGCTCAAGAAGGCCGTTGAAAAGAGAGGTGGTTTTGAACGTGTCTGCAAGCAGAAGAAGTGGGCTGAGATAGGACGCGACCTCGGCTATAGTGGCAAGATAATGTCTTCGCTGTCTACATCACTCAAAAATTCATATCAGAAGTGGCTGCACCCATATGAAGAGTATCTGCGTCTAGTCAAGCCTGGCGTGCAACAGATGCTAGAGTACGAGCATGGCGGACCTTTCACACCATCGCCAGCCCACTCGCCCATGAAGAAATCGCTACAGGGCACGCCTGTCGCCAATGCGACGGATTCGCCTGCCATAAGAGCTTCAGCAGCTCTGAACGCGACACTGCAGGGTGACTCCGTACCCACACCACCATCCGATCTGTCGCGACCTGCTATGCAGGCAGGCTTCACACCGGTGAACTCTGGAGGCTTTACAGCGGTCAACGCACTCTCATCACAGAAGCCATCTACGCAGCCCTCGACACCTAGTGCTTTTGTTGCGGCCAATGCCTCGGGCGCTATGCACCGGGATGTGCTGGAGTCGCGCACATCGACACCCCTGCGCAACGCTGGTAGCCCCATGCTCTCAGCTGACAACACACCCGACCTTCGACCGCCCGGCAATGGACTGACACCATTGGCCAACGGACATCAATTTAACCAGCTGAAGCGAACCTTCTCCCAGGATCCAGAGAGCAGTGCAAATGACGATGTGGATGAGGCAAGCGGGCGACGGAGTAAGCGACTTAAGAAAGACGCTCCTCCTACGGTTGCTGGCTCGCACATGACTCAGCCTCGCCAATCAACGCCCAGCCGGTCTTTTCCACGCGTGAGATCGGCCGACGAACGACCTGGTGATCGTTGCGAAACTTGCGGTACCGATAATGATCCACAGAACATTTTGTTGTGCGACAGCTGCGACTCCGGCTACCATGGTTATTGTTTGGACCCACCGATCAAGGCTATTCCTGCATATGACTGGCATTGCCCCAGGTGTCTTGTCGGCACGGGCGAATTTGGATTCGAAGAAGGAGGCATTTACTCGCTTAAGCAGTTCCAGGAACGAGCTCATCAATTTAAACAGAGTCATTTTGCCAACAAGATGCCTTTCGATCCGATCACCAACGCGCCAAAGCCGGTCACCGAGGATGACGTAGAACGCGAGTTTTGGCATTCGGTCGCAAACGTGACAGAGACGGTCGAAGTTGAGTATGGAGCAGACATACATTCCACAACACACGGCAGTGGCTTTCCTACGATCGAGAAGAACCCACGCGACCCTTACTCTACTGATCCATGGAATTTGACTGTACTCCCCTACGCGCCAGATTCTCTGTTTCGCCACATCAAGTCCGACATCTCAGGCATGACAGTACCTTGGCTATACGTCGGTATGGTGTTCTCGACATTTTGTTGGCATGCTGAGGATCACTACACTTACTCGGCAAATTACCAGCACTTTGGCGCTACCAAAACCTGGTACGGTGTACCCGCCGAAGATACAGACAAGTTCGAGCAAGCCATGCGTGAGGCAGTACCAGAATTGTTTGAGAGCCAACCAGACCTTTTGTTCCAGCTCGTGACGCTTTTGACCCCGGAGCAGCTTTTGAAGGCTGGTGTCAGAGTCTATGCGATTGATCAACGCGCTGGAGAGTTCGTGATAACATTTCCAGAAGCCTATCACGCTGGGTTCAACCATGGTTTCAACTTGAACGAAGCAGTGAATTTTGCACCGAGTGACTGGGAGCCATTTGGTGAGCACGGAGTCCAACGTCTTCAGGATTACCGACGTCAGCCATGTTTCTCTCACGACGAACTACTATTGGCCGCTGCAACGCGTAAAGACACAACTATTAAAACCGCCAAGTGGCTCGGTCCTGCAATGGAGCGAATGCTCGAGCGAGAATCGCGCATTCGTGCAGAATTCCTCGAGAAGCACAAAGCTGCCAGACCACATACTTGCAAAATTGACAGCACCGGCGATAGCGAAACACCATGTGAGCTTGAGTTCATCGTCGATGATGCAGACATGCACGAAGATGAACTGATCTGTGCCTTCTGCAAGGCCTATGGCTATCTCTCTCGGTTTTACTGTAGCAAGACTAAGAAGGTCTTGTGTCTACAGCATGCGGGATGGTTTGAGTGTTGCCCAGAGACCCCAGAATCTGAACGTCACTTTGGAGCCCAAGGTCAACACAAGCTAGTATACCGCATGCCCGAGGATGCTCTTACTACGCTAGTCCAAAAGATTGTTGACAAAGCAGGCATGCCAGAAGCTTGGGAATCAAAGATGGAAGCTCTGCTTGCCGAAGGGCCTCGACCTCAACTTAAGTCTTTGCGCGCCCTCCTGAACGAAGGTGAGAAGATTGACTGGGACCTGAATGGCCTTCAGGATCTGAAAGATTTCGTCGATAAGTGCCAGGAAGTCGCCGAGGAAGCTATTCTTTATACCACTCGGAAGCAACAAGCCCGTCGCAAGGCAGAACGTCCCGGGAGAGGACGACCAAGCAAGGCGAACATCGCTGAGGCGGATGAGAAGGACCGCGAGTACCGCAACGTGGACAACATACAGAAACTGCTCAACCAAGCGAAAGACCTAGGGTTCGATAGTCCGGAAATAACTACGCTCCGAGAACGCGCTGAGAGCATTGTCGAGTTTCAGACTAGAGCGCGCACTGCTTTGCGCGAACGCACGTCTGAGCAAAGCATCGCTCGGCTTGATGAGCTCCTAGAGGAAGGGAAAGGTTTCAACGTCGACCTCCCCGAGCTTGAATCCCTCGAAAAAGTGGTACAGCAGTTGAAATGGCTCCAAGAAGCACAGGACTTCAAGGTGAGGCTGGCACCGACGCTTCAAGAAGTTGGTGAGCTCATCAAGAGTGGCGTTGAAGTCGGCATGCCAGAACACCATCCCGACCTTCGCTTCCTGCAAGAAAAACGAGACCAAGGCGAGTTCTGGGAAAAGAAGGCCAAAGAGCTCATGGAAGTGGAGAACGTGCATTATCAGCAACTCGATGCCTTTTCCAAGCAAGCGACCAACCTGCCCGTAACACCAGAGACCCGTGCAGCTATGGATGCTATCTTGAAAAAGCAGCGAGATGCACAAGAACTCATCATGTCATTGTACGAGCGAAGTAAGAATCCTGACTTCTCTCAGCGACCAAAGTACATGGAAGTCCGCAATGCCATGGAATCGCTGAACGCACTGAACGGCAAGCCTAATGGCACGAACGACCTTGAAAAGGAGCAGAAGCGACACGAAGATTGGATGAGACGAGGAAAGAAGCTCTTCGGCAAAGCCAATGCGCCCCTCCATATTCTCCATGCGCACATGAAGCAAGTCGACGAGCGTAAT